TTATGTTACTGCTTTACCATCAATCTTAGCTTGTCTTTTGCCACTTTTACCTTTAGTTGTATCGTTGCCAACATGTTTTGTTGCGCCTTTTGATGTAAAGTACGTTTTGGAAAATGATTCTTCTCATGGAAATTCTTCAGTGACAAGTTCATACAATCAAGTGAAAATGAGCAATTATGTTCCATGGCTAAGTAATATATTTATATTAATGCTATTCTCCAGACCGTTTGTCAGTATGTTTGAGGGCATTACACATGCGACTGTTAATGTGGCAACTTTAACACATCTTGCAAAGAATCGGGAAGATTTTGGCTCATATTATATGTGGAATGCCATTGGGGCAACAGTCTCTATATTTGGAACGGCATTGGTAGCATGGCTAGTGCGGATAAATATTTGTGGAAATGAAAAATATGGTTATTTTGCAGCTTTTATTATCGCAGCATCTTTGGCATTGCTATCTTTGGTCTCTATACCGTGGTTTAAGTTCGAATATAGCAATGATCACACAATAAATTTTTCAGAAATGAAAAATCTTTTGTGTAACTCTCATTGCATTTCCATGTATTTACTAACATTGTACATTGGACTGTGTGCGGCGTTTCAGATTTATTGGGAATTTTGGTACTTAGATGGACTTAATGCCAGTCCATTGGTGATGGGTGGGGCAGCTTTGATTCGAAGACCAGTAGTTGCTTGTTCACACTTCTGTTCATGTCACGTCATTAAAAGGATAAATGACGTGGGTGCTCTAGCATTGTCTTTACTGTTGTTTTCTGTATCATTTCTGGCTCTTTCGTTTACAAGAATTTATTGGTATGTTCTCGCCATTGATGTTACTCAAGCTTGTGCTTTTGGATTGGCTTACAGTGCATTGGCAGTACATTTTAAAAGTAGGCTCTGAAGCAAGCTCTGGTGTCATAATGGGTAAGAATTTAACACTTGGGGACGCATTGCGTACATACTACACCATGGAATTGTTATACAAGGGACGAGAGTTATAGAAATAAATAGTAACTACTCAAGCAGTAGCATAGTTAAGACGTCTGTAGTTAAGGTCAGGCATATATGACGTCTTTAGAAATAAAATTGAATTTGAGAACATTTGCATATACTTGATATAATGAAAATATTATCTTTTTTGTTTTTTTTTTGTAACATGAAAGTAGTTCAATCCTCACTAGAGGTGACGTAAAAAAGAGAACACATTTATTGAGCAGACAGCTTTTATTTTACAGAATAAAGCTGTTATAAGCGAATCTTCTCAGAAACTGCACTAAAAGTCTTCAAATATAAGATGCCGCATAAGTGTATAATTTGATGATATAGTTTAAGCAAATAATAATAATAAAACGTTTTAAAGTTATAACAGCGTTTTCTTGTTTTTACGTCACTTCCGGAATGGAGTCACTACTTCTTGGACCAGAAACTCTTAATAAGATAAAATTTTCGATGTATCAAATATATTCCAAATGTTTTTGAAATCAATTCGTACATCTAAAGCAACTATTTACTTGACCCTGATATCGGCACGGTAACACAAACATATTTGTTAGTAGACAACCTGATTCACGTGATGCATTTCTGTCAGCTGTCATAACAATGTTTTAACGAGTCATTCCATCCTTGTGCACATACATTCACATGATAGGATAACAAATGTTTAAGAAATATACGTTCAATATTGTTTTGTTATGTAATTGACAAATTTAAACAAATTTATAATACTTCAAACACTTGATTATTACAAAAACTGCCAAATGCTGCCAAATAAAGGAATCCCTTCCATGTTACGCGCGCTTGATAACGTAACAAGATAGCTTTCTCGCGCGGTGGATTTGTATTTGCAACACGTACAGGAAATAATAAACATAAGAGATATCACGCAGTGGTGGATCCAGAGTACTTCAAAATAAAATACTTGGAGCAAGGCGTTTGAATTCAATGTTTATCATGTATTTATTGTGATGAATCATGACAACAATCATTTCACGCAAAATCAGCATTTGATAATGCAATGTTCTCATTTATATAACATTTGATATACTCGTAATTATTAGAAATTTTGCCAATCCATGAAAGCAAGCACTCATCAAAATCTTTTTTAAATTTTAGGGATTCTATGCATGTGTCTTCAAGTGGGAGCAGATTCAGGAGCTTCACTCATGGGAATAATTTTTCACCACTTGGGAACACGCTGCACTTTACTAATTTATGCTGTTGTATCTGGTTTTGTCTTTATCGCATTCATTGTGTATCTCACAGTTTCAAAACAAATGAATCAATACGCGAAACTAAATAATGCTTGTGATGACGAGGCTGTAAAAGTTCATTTTGATGAAAATGCTGACAATGATTTTGATGGCAAAAGTGATGATGATTATGGTCATGATGACTGATGATATTCGTGACAATTGGTGATGGTGAGTAAATGGCAATATGGTGATTGGTGATGATAATGAGCAAAAAGTTTATTACAGTATATGACAGTAGTAGATTTAGCGTTTGTCAAAATAAGTCATAGCTTTCTAATTTTAAATTCAACATACCTTCAAAATAAAAATATTGTTTTGGAATTTCTAAAGAACATAATTTACCAACAAGTTTGCTTTATCTAAAGTATTTGGAAATTTAAATATAAACCTAAAAGAGCTGCTGTAATTTATATTGAGTTTCCTTAGATGCGCCACTGGAATATATTGATGATAGCTAAGGTTTTAAATAGTCCAGAATACTTTGCCAAAAATCCTCTTCCAATATAAAATACTTGAGAGAATTTAGGACTATACCTAGTACTTGACTATGGGCAGTACTTTATTGTTCCAACCTTTAATATTCTTCTGAAATTTCTTGTAAAAAGTATTTTGATTATAAAATGGACTCTACAATGTATTTTGACCCACCCAGACCCCCCAATAATGATGTCAAAAGATGGCGTGTATTATGAATCATTATAATGGCAGATGATATAAATCAGTAACAAAGCATGTGTGCGTGTGTGTTTGTAATGAGTTAACTAAGTAACAAATACATTATATTTAACCATTGCATACGACGTTATTTGTGACAAGAACTAGAAAAGTGGGTAAGAACTGCCAAGAACAGTGATGACTTTTTGTTTTAATCACAAATGACGTATTACTGGTGTATCTATAACTGAACAGACAACGGTTAAATGTGAATTGTTTTACATAATAAAACTGAAAAATTCCATTTTTAACTGGCAAACAAGTTTCCCAAACACTTGGAAAACAAAAAGCTACGATTTTGCAATTCCTACGCGTAAATAATCTACAGGATTGAAGAAATGCTATTGGCTAGCTTAGTTCATGTGCTAGAATGTCATTGGCTGACAATTTAGTGAAAATTATGTTATCAAAGACAAAGTACAAGTCGACGTTTGAAAACCGGGGATTTTCTTTTCTTTTTGCTCAAAAACGTCAACTGCTTCAACTAGGTCTTTTTAATGTCTTTATTTGCTCATACAGTGATAAATTCCATTGATAAATTCAGGTAAATATCCAAATAATTTAGTCGTTCGTTTGTAATTTAAAAACAAGAAATTTTTGTGGTGTCAATTCCGTGTGTATATGTCCAAATAGCTATAGCAGTGAAATTGCTCAAATTCTTATGGTTATTATGCTAAAGACATTGCTACAACGTCGTTGTATTAGAAATTAAAAAATTTCTATTTTTTAAATTACAAACAAACGGCAAAATTATTTGAATGTTGGGCAGAATATTCCTGAATGTGCAAATAAAGACATTAAGACGACCTAGTTGAAGCCGTTGACGTATTCCAGCCAAAACAGAAGAAAAAACCCGGTTTTCAAACCTTGGTTTGTACTTCTTCTACCATAACAAAATTTCAACAACATTGATAAGCCATTGCTTTTTTATTCTGTTAGCCAGTTTGATTTGGGAACTTTTTTTGATTTGATTATATAAAACAAATAGATTACAACCGTTATACAGTTATAAAAATACGGTTAAGAAATCATCAATTATGATAAGAACAAAAAGTGATCACTCGCCTCGGCGGCTCGTGACAACTTTTCTTATTTCTTATAACACATGATGTTATACCCGTGTATTTGTAGACAACGGTTGAATGTTATCTATTTGTTAAATAACACATAAAAAACTCTAGAACACCATCATATTACCAAATTTCATGAACATTACCAAGTTTTTTCTTTATCAAGTTGTCATTTCACCTTTTTCTATAACGCTAAGTTCATCCTTCTTGTTCACTTCTATTCTAACGTGAAAAACGATTGTATTTTTTATTGATTTTTGTACCGAATGGGTTCGCTTGATTTTACCACAGAAACACCAGTGATTGCTTTACAAATATTGAAAAAATCACAAAAAGTAAAAAAATGATACACGTTATTATGCCTTAAATAACGTCTTTACGGAGAAATATCGGAACGAGATTATTTTGTTAAATTGTTTCAAATTGTATCGTTTGGATAGTTAAACTGTTTTCCAAGTGTTTTTCCTTCGAATCACTTTCGTAAATAATTTTTTGTTTCGCTTATTTTGCGTTTTTGCTGTTTGTATATACAAAGTTTCTTTATATATTTGACTGTAAAATTACGCGGTTTTTTTTGGACCGTGGTAGATTACGGGAAAATAATGGGACCGGCAAAAATGTTTCTTAGCTAATCAAAGCGTGCCATTTAGCCTAAAGTGCGCTTGCCATAAAATTATAGCCATGTTTGCATGTATGGGCAATGAATCTTATAAGTTTGAAATTTAAGTAAAATACAGAATAAGAAAAAAGGACAGTAAACAGCTGTTTGTTTGTTTGCCTTTTATCAAACATTTTCCATGCTCTCCGATTAATGAAATATGCAATTTCAATCGGCAATGACACTTTAGTTAAATCTTGACAAAATTGAAAATTCTTCATTGACATTTTTTCAATGTTAAATACCCCTGTGGTCTTTTGAATTTCACACAATGTTCAAATATTATTTGCATACGGACAAGTGGTAAAACTTGCCGCTCGGTGTAATTTGATCTTATCAGGAAGCAAGAAAAAACGATGTACAGAAGTTTAACTTGTTGAAACATATCGGACGATTTTTTGTAAGTTTCTTATTAAACTAATTTGCATTGGCTATACTTGCTTGTCGGGGTTGAGAACTATCATATGCGTTAAAATACTATATTTGTATGCTCTTTCATTTTCTGTAATAATAATGTAAACAAAATTACGTTGCATCAGACGTTTGAGTCGATTACCAAAAGCTTCTCAATTTTTTATCTATAAAGCTATAAAAACCGCTCAACGGACGATTCTTACTTTATTTTTTTAAGTTTCGATTTTCAGCATATCACAAGAAATTACAAAGTTTTCATAAGAAAATCACCAAATAGACTAAAATAAATTCACAGCGATTGCATATGTAATGCATTTGTTGACTTTTTTGGCCACATAAAGATGTGGCTACGGAATCTTGACAAGGTTACACTTGAATTTTTTTATCCATCTAACTTTGTTGACATGAATACTTTCTCTTGTTCATAACTAGACGCTATATATTGTATTTAAAATAGCGTGGGCGAAAATGCACACGCGAGCAAATTTTCTCAGGAAGGCCGTGTTTGGTGTTAACTATAAATGTCTTGGCAATTTTAGTTTGCTTCTAAAAATTTTTGTGTCGGTGCTTCAAATGTGAGACTTGAGAAATATTTATCTGAATCTCTTACCTTTAAAATGTTTGACTATGTAGTAGAGAAACCTACTCTCATAGTGTGTGTCTAATACTTCAATAATTATAAAATTGAGAAGATTTGCATATATATTTGAATGTTTGTATATACCATACAAAAACTACTGTATACATTTTTTACTCTGCTGTTTGTTTCAAACTGTCTCACTAATCTTGTTAAACAGTAAATGAATAATAAGTCCGAAATAAGAAATATTATAAAGATTGCCGACAGTGAAAAGTGAAAAGTCGAATAATTAATGCAGAATGCTTGGAACTGAACAAAAGCAGAATGTCGGGAATTTTTAACTTTTCCTTTCATTCAGTGTCATGCATAAATTATTCTATATGAATATTGCATCATTTCCATGTATTCATCGACAAACTTTGATTCAACTTTATTAAGTTGTATTCCAATTATTACGTCTTATCTACAAACAATCGCTTCTACAATTGTGACTCCACAGTTCACATCCCTTCGACAAAAACTTTACAAATACTACAACAGACAGCCAGGCACCGTATAATACTCGTTTTATGGCACCGTGGAGTTCTTCAAATTTTTAAAGCTTTAGATGTTGTGCTCTTTTGATGGAGGGGCTCAAGCCTCAAACGTGAAAATAACGTACTTTTTTCTTTTTGGATTTATGTAAAAGTTGTTGCTGGAATTTTGGAATTTTGGACTGTTTCAGTTTCTGGTTTTACTCCGTATGGCCAGTAGCGAACCCAGCCGGTTTTTTGTTCCCTCAACGCAAATATTTTTCTATTATACTTTTGTTAAAAGAATTCGCTTCACCACTGGGTATCGTACTGTCTTAACAATGATTTGTAATTACAGAATTTTTCCAATCTGAAATGGACGAAAGGAGCTACTGCATAGAAAGTGCCGACATATATTCCTGCATTTCTGAAAGTGGCGCCAAAGAATTGGATATTTCAAAAGGTAACGTTAGTAACCTTGCTGTCCAATTTTATATAAGTCACTATATAAGAGGATTATATAAATACAAACATTTCATCATTCTATAATGTCTTTTTTATACGGATTAATGTGTTAAAATCAATCACAATATATATTATCATTGTTTTGTTTTTCATAATACAGAAATAATAACGATGAGAAGAGATTCTGAAGGTTAGTGTGCTCATGCATTATTCTAAGCATGCAGTTTTTCAAAATGAACTAGAAAACGTTCTTTTTAACCAAAATATTACAGTTTTTAAAATGTATATTTCAAAATCTCAAACAGGAATGTAACATGCATGCAATCAAGTCATTTTTTAAAAATACCATTGCCAGTTGAAAAACGGCAAGATCATTTGCATTTAAATCTTGAACTTCAAAAATAATAAACAATATTTAACATTATTATATGAATCAATTAACCAACGTAAACGTGTTATTTTTCTTTCTAGGAGAGATTTTCTATCAATTTGTGGAAAGATTTAATCTATGCTATGCAGGTTTGTACGTATATGTAGTAATGCAAAGATATTTGCTCCTTTTATTTGTGTTCCACACTGTATCAATTCTTGCGCACTTTATCTTGCTACACATTAAAAAATCGTTATCTAAAGAAAATATATTTTCTTGTTTTAAGAAAAATTTTCTTAAAACAAAAAACAATTTATGAAGAAAAGAGTATTTCTTATTATAAGATAATAGATTTAAAAAAAGAAGAATTACAACGAGGTTCTGAAATTTACACAGCAGAACCAGCACTTGCAGGCTGGCTACGCTACTGACTGTACAAGTCACTAGTCACAGTTTACTTATCAGATTCATCTAATTCATTTTATTCACAACAATTTTTCAACAATAATATACTTCATGTACTCAACAGCAAATCTGCAATATATAGTAGTGATGTATCAAGTGTAAATATAAAAGTGTTATTTTTTGTGTTTCAGACATTTTTTATCGTTTTCTTGAAAGTGTCAATGAGCTTTGTGCAGGTTTGTAAGATATTGCTTCATTGCTACTAGTCAACTTTGACGTTAATGTTGTTTTGTACAAAATTGCAGAACTTCGCTGTATTTCACTGGCAGGTTAGTGGCTATGACTGCTAATAGTTTAAAAAAAGAGGAGAATAAATTTTTCCACCACCAAGTCAACGTGCAATAAAAAGTTAATGTGATAATTCATTTGAAAATTCATGTGGAAATTTATGTGGAAATTAATATTTTATTGAATGAAATATCCTTTCGATTGCATTTTTCCATATCGTAAAATACGCAACAAAAAGTAAACTATTTTGCAAATCATTGCTTTTTCTAAGAAAATTTTCGTACTTTTTGCTCGCCTTTCTCACTTGTAAAATTTCCTACCACACGCCTCCGTTCACAGCCAAGAATTATTTTAGAATGCTCCTTTATCAAAAAAATTTTCTTCTTCAATGAGTTGAACTTTTCTTTTCAAGTCAATCTCTTTCATATTGTAATCCAATTTCTTCAATAGTAGTCTAATCTCTTTCATATCTGTCAAGTCTCTTAATAATAGTCCAATGTTTTCAATTATAGTTCAATCTCGTCAATGGAAGTCCAGTCTCTTCCATACTAATAGTAGTCCAGTCTTTCCAATGGTAATCCAATCTTTTCAATAGTAGTCAAATCTGCTTGTGAAGAACCACTATATTAGTTTTAAGTAGAATGTCCTTGATTACAAGTACAAAAATACTTCCATGACTCTATTGTTCATAATCACCACTGTTTACTCAACACTGATAAGAAACTTTGGGCTGTTCCTTCTACAATTAATATACCATCGTCCTTCACTTCGCAAGACAAAGTTCATGAACATACTTGATTTCCTGTTAACTTTACTATCTTTTCAAAGTTTTTGCTGCCACCTTGTAATCTTATGCAATCATTGAAAAACGGTGTCAAGTTTTTCTGTTAGCCTCATACAATTTAAGCGGAAGCAACATGATTTTTATTCAGCTATTTTATATAACTAACTCTGGAAGTTAGTTTGTTAACGTTCTGTTTCGTTCTTCTCTATAAAATCGTTTTACAAAGGTGAAATTTCGATATATGAGTCTATCTTTTCTACATAAAAACAGCATAACAAATGCAAATTGAAGAATGAGGTTACTTGTGATTTAAGGAAGAACGTATGGTTTCTTAAATTAAAAAAAACGTGATTCAGAGTTAGAATGAAGAAGTAGTGTAATCAGTTTATTATTCAGCAACATTCTTTATTGGTAATCGTTATCTTGAAAAGGAGTTGGAAAAATGCTTACATTATTGTACCTGGGATTCATTCATTTAGTAATTATAATAATTAGCCTATATGGAGAACTTATTTTTTGTGTTGCCCTTAGCTACAATTAATAACAGTTTTTTAACAGCTAATTAAATTGTTAATCTGTCATCTGTAAACATTACAGGATTATAGAGCAATGATATTTTTGAAATTTCAGAGATTTTTCCTCGATTTGCAGCTAGACTCATTGGAATTCGTGCAGGTTTGGTTCTTTAGTCATTTTTTTATTATTACACTTACAAAGTGGAAGACATATTTACTTGTTTATATAAACAGGTGCGAGAGTTTGGGAGAAACGAAATGCTGGGTTACCGAGCAATTTTGAGTTTCTCCCAAACTTTCGTAAGTGTTTATATAAATCTATAGAAACCAAAAAATATGTTTTCTATTTTGTTTAAAAAATAGCGTTTTAAAAACAATATTTAAAAGATAAATTGATTGATTTTATTAGCGTGTTGCTTATATTCTTGCCATTAAAATTTCCTGCAAAAACCACACAACCTGCGAGATTTTTGCGAGACTGAAGTCTCGTGCAATATTGAGTGACATCAACACAGTTTTTGAGCATTCGGGTGATTGGACCAATCATCATCCGTTCTTTAAGAGGTTATTTTATTATAAGTAACACATAGTTTTAAAAGAAGAAATGTAAACTATCATATAAGCATAGCAAACTTCAAGAAAGAACATAAAAACATTTACTGTCTTGCTTTGAACGAAACGAAACATTTTTTGCCATTCCACACATACAAACGTCCATCAAATTTATTGCCATTTTAAGTTTAGAACATTGAATAAAATAAACAAAACTAAAATAATTGTGAACAAATGAATAAATTAGCAAAATGGAATACTTGCTTTACTTGATAAAGTTTATTTGACCACTCTTGACTTGGAGTAAGTAATTTCAGACATATCTTTGGTGTTTCCACCTTCTCGTCTTCTTCTTGCTTGTTCCAAAATGTCCACTTTCTTCTACACTAACTATTACGTTCAAGTTCTATTTTACAGCTGTTTTAAAACTCGTTATATGACTGCGTTGCATTGTAAATTTTCTTGAAAAAATAATAATATGTTTATGAAATACAATTTCTTTACGTTGACGTTCGATTTTTATACCTCAACACTGAACTAGAATTACCAAGTCAATAATCATCGGAGGCGTAACTAGAACGTTAAGTGGGTGAGGGGGGATGTATATTGATATATTCAGTTGTGCCCAACTGATTTCTTTTGAAATTCAAATTACTTTCCACAGAAATCAGTAGGCCACAGCAAAATTTATAAATGTGTACCCCGTCCCTTCCCCACTTAACGTTCTAGTTACGCCTCTGATAATTTTTTATTTTCTAACTTCATCCGCCTGGGTAAAATCGTTATGATACCATAATGAGATAAATCAAATTTTAATCAGTTACTCTGTGATGTGCAAATATGAACGTAATGTTGTTGTTTTTATTAAATTGCAGAAATTCACCGTGTGTCATTGTTAGGTTAGTATGTTTTGTCATATACTAATGACGATTTTTACTGGATAAAGCATTAATAACAAATAGTTTTATAAAAAGCAAGACGAAACTGATGAAAATCTCCCAACAGTAAGGCGAAATAGGCAAAATTTATTCGAGCATTAAGAATGTGCATCAACCAAAATGCATTGCGCGCTTTTGTTTATGTTTGCATCTTTAGTTTTGATCTTGCAGCACACTGAATTCAATTTATCACTACGTCGTCTAATTTATCTGACAAGATAGCAAAACAAAACATCCATTAAAACCTCCATTTTACATTAGTTATTATCGTTTGTCTAAGTTGCATGGACTATAATCACAAAATCCGCCATTTTCTCGACCCACAAAATGCCCTCAAGCCTCACGCTATGATTAACGCGCAACACACATTCTTTTAATATTATGACCATTCTTTAGGAAATGAAATATTCTTGCCAACGGTGAATAAAAATTATATCATTGCATGTGAAGTTTTACATATATTGAGAACAACGTTAACTTAAATGTTATAAAACTTCCATCATTGCATCTGAAGTATAACATATATTGAGAAGAACTTAGCTGTTATTTTCACCGGTTGAAACAAAATTTTTCAAACAGCAGATCATTGCTAATTATCTAAAAAAAATCTTTGCTATAAGAAGTTTTGCAGCCTGGTTTAAAGTGCTTTGAAATTTTTTTTCATTGTCTTAAATAGAAGATCTCGTTAAACTGTAATCGACTTTCTTTCAAATATTAATCTTTATTGGCTTGAGTCTGGACATATTGAACTTTTGCATGGTTAAATATAAATTGGGGAATTCACATCTTCTCTTTACATATTTTAAAATAATATTTTATTTCGTTATTGCACTACAAATCTGCTTGTGTTCAATTTAAACTGTTTAACTGATATGTGAACTGATCACCAACCTAATTTTAGGCAAGTTTGTTCAATTTTTGGCTAAAATGAATGCAATTATAAGGTAGATGTTCATTAGGCAAACGGCTGAACATACATTCCCCAATTTACGTAGTACAAAAACTTCAACAAATCCAAAACTAATCATCCAAACATTGATGTTGAAAAGAAAGTCCATCAGAGCTTATGGAGATCATTGAAAATGAAAAAAATTCGTGTCACATGACATTTTGCCAAACGTCCACGTTAGCCTTGAAATTTTTTCAAGAATCTCCTTTATCGAGTACTATGCCTTTTCCTTGCATGGTTTGAACTCACCCCATTACTAACATTGACGTTCATTTATTTTTGTACTTCTCTTTCAGGTCGCAGGACCATGGCTAAAGTCCAATAGTCGAGTTTACTTAAGTTACGTTTGCACACAACGAGATGTCGGGCCGACACTGACGCGATATTACGTGATTCTTGCCATGTATGAAAAATTTGTCGTGTGCAACAAACCGCTGTGTGTAAATAATGCATCCGATGTATTTACGCGATTTCGAAAACAGTAAACAAAAGAATAATAGAAAAACAAAGAACAATAGCTACGATCGTGGCAATGTTTATTATTATTATTGCCTCAAAAATAAAGGAAAAAAGAAAATAAAGATTAGTGCGTGTAAAGTGCAAATGAGGTAAATTAGCCGTATTTTTTTCAGAAAATAATGTTGACTTTTTTCTTTTCTGAACCTCTGCAGCTTTTGGTTTTCGATAAAAACAACAACGCTCCAAATATTTTCCTTTTCCGTGTTGACAGAAGACATTCGATAGTTATTTTTCTATAAATGAAAATTTGCTTGTTTCAGAAACTATAGCAACATAGTAAAAATTGGGAGCAAATCTGTAGTTTGCTACAGACTTTCATCCGACTTTTCGAGTCGGGCAACTTTCCAAATATGGCAAGAACACATAATATGGCGTCAGTGTCGTCGGTCCGACAAATCGTTGTGTGTAAACGTACCTTAACAGCAATTGGCATTTTGACAACAATGAAATGCTCGACTATGAATCAGACAATATGCCCAGAGTAAGCGCACTAGTGTTTCTTAAGTTTTTTCAATATGACATTCTTCTGAAATTTGAACGATAATTTTGTTATGTAATATAATAATACTATTAATTGTTAATAATAATTATATATATACCTTAACCGTTTAAAAACAATGAAATTCTCAACTGTGAATCAGACAATATGTCTAGAGTAAACGCACACATGTTGCTTTGTGTTTTTTCAATGTGACATTCTTCCGAAATTTTGAAGATAATGTATTTGGGTAACATACTAGTCAATACTAAAATTTTTTGTTTGTGCTTGTTTGAATTCGTTGTGTTGGAACAGGATTCATTGTATGCGACAATTTCTTTTCTGTATGGTAAATATTCTTCGAAAATTTTGTACTCCATTGTAAACCTCAGTTACCTCACATCTAGCCATAAAATAGCTGTGACGTTAAGGAGACAAATTTGATTCAGAAAAGAAAGTCTTGAATGCCATAAACGGAAATGGTCAAGATGTGCTTCCAGCTGACTGCAATACTACAGCAAATAGTATTATGGAGGTTATCAGGGTACGTATTTTGTCTTCAAGGTAGAAAGTGGATAAGACCGACATGATAGAATGAGGCCTTTATGAGTGCGAACAGAGCAATAGATTGGTGAAGACGAAGTGGGATACAGAGAGGACAAAACAGAGTAAACAGGAGTAAAGAAAGACAAATCGTATGATAGAAGTGGAAGTGTCAAATACAAAGTACACCATGACACTCACGATAAGTTAAACAATAAGAACTATTTGTGAAGATTATCAAGGTAAAGAAACAAAGATGTGAAGGATGTGCAAAAGATTAGGATTATCAATCCTCAAAATAACAAGTATTCAATATGGAGGCAGACAGTGTACTCACTGCAAAATGAAGGCACAAAAATTTTAGTGATGATTTTGAAGAAATTTTCCCTTATTCTGTAATGACAAAGATTAGATTCTCACCAATGAGAGCACGATGGATCAAGGAATCTATCCTTCCTTCAATTCACTAACACAAGTGCTGTAGAAGTGTGTGTGTGGGGGGAGGGGGCGCTTGGGGAGGAGCCCCCTTCTACCTTGAAATGGGTAATTTTTCATAATTTCATGGCTTTAGCTTCGTCAAGAGAGCCCCCCCCCCACCCCATCTGATAAATTTAGTTCTACAGCACTAACACTATTCGAAAGAAGAAAATTTTAAAACTTTTTATAAGTGTAATACGAAGAAGAAAATGAAAATTCCCCTAAATGAATTCTGTATATCAAAGAAAGACAAAAGAAATCTTTTATAACAAAAATTTCTTGCTTTGATATTTTGAGCTCTGTTCTCATGACGAATCATTTAAATTTTATTACAAAACCAGCCGTATCCTCAAAATAGAATAAATAAGAGAACATCAGCAACATTAAACCATAGTAACAGTAGTTCCTAGAGTTTGAGACAAATTGTCTTCGCTCGACGGTGTTTCCAACTTGTTTGAGTTCTGGGCAAACTGTTTTGCTATCTTGCAAGTACCCAAATGTCTTTTCATGTTGCATTTCTGCGTAAATCTGGTGTCACAAAACTCACATTTGAAAGGCTTTAATCCATAATGAAGCTGCCTATGTACTGCCAACGAATTCGCATTCGCCAATGTCTTATTACATATTTCACAAGTAAGATCCTCACCATTTACATGCGCAGCTTGATCAGCATCTGACGTTTCTTTTGATTTGTCTTTTTCTTTTTGCGCAATAATTGCACCCTGGTGTATGTATCTAGGCAAAGGGAACAAATAAAATAAAAGTTAGGTGAGTGAAGAATTGTAAGGGAATTTTGATGCCAATGCAAGATCACAACAAAACATGACCAAAATTACAACATATGTCAACCCAAACTATGACTTTTACACTGCAATATAATTAATAGCTAACAAAATCAAAAATTGAAAGATTTACAATGGGACTTTAACTATGTCGACTTAAAAATGCCAAAAGGGACATTTTCAAACGAACGTTGGGGGACATTTTCAAATGAGCGTTGGGGGACATTTTCAAATGAACGTTGGGGACATTTTCAAATGAACGTTGGGGGACATTTTCAAATGAACGTTGGGGGACATTTTCAAATGAACGTTGGGGACATTCTAATTTTTACATCCCAGTATTGTGTGACATTATAAATTGTACGTCTTGGTTGAATTCAACAAACGATTCTTCTCGTTTACAATTCAAACTTCAACTAACATGACGATAATTGCTTTGTCTTTCAAATCAATGAGTTATTGATGCAAGCCACCTACTAATATGTATCCCTTAAACTTGTTAGTCTGTATCACAAAGCTTGAGTGCTTTGTGTAAACAGTACCAACAATGCGGGTATACTTATTGTGTTATACATCTGATCTCATGAAGCCAATCTCAGTAATTTGTTCGACTGCATCATCGCAAAGACCGTCTTACCTCATGTGTTTGTTTAAATTTGTCACGTGACTGAACATTTTACCACACAACTCGCATGGTATGTGATAATTTTTATGGCTTCTTCGATGAACTTTCAAATACCAAGCACTCGTGAAGTTCTCGCCACAAGTTGAGCAGGAAAATGGTTGGTCGACGTTTGTGTCTTTGACGAATGTTGTTTCTTTTGCAGTCCTTTGTGGCCTATCCTCTCGGAGGAGAGTGGATGTATCTTGTTGTAATAAATTTTCAGATGGAACAGCAACGCTGTCAACGTTTTCATAAGTCGATAAATGCATCTCCTCTTTCTTGATCACACATCTTAAGTACCTGAGATGAAAAATGAAGGCAGAACATTAGAAAGTCTAAATGCATTACTTGAGCGCTTACGAGTTCCAAAGTGCGATAGACTTGCGTTCCAATTACGTTTCAATTGTGTTCCATTTGTGTTTTATCTGAATACGGAATTTTACTTTTTATAATTCCGACAGTAATTAAACTTGTTTAATTTGCGACGTTTTCAAAAGTTAACGAAAATTTAGTTCAAATAAAATTTTGAACGCGTCTACTACAACACTATTAACTTATTTCCACTCATTATCGCAACAAAGCGTGCAATCATAAATTGATATTACTTACTTAATCAATTTATGAAACTAACGGGGAAAAAACAGAGCTTCCTCTTTTCCACTCACCATCGCACACAGCGTGGAATTACAAATTGATCGTACTTACTTAATCAATTTATGAAACTAACGGGAAAAAACAATGTTTTTTCCCATTAGTTTCATAAATTGATTGATTCAAAAACATTGTAACTCCATTAACAATGGAGTTACAATGGCCGACTCGAGCCTATTGCCTTTCAACACGGATGCAGTGCTCTTGATATCGAAATATAGAGAACACATGAAATTAGGCAATGTGTTTAAAGAAAATACTTAAAAAACATATTGTATTCAAACAAAATATATATTTTACCTCTAAGAATGTAAAATGTTTCAATCGTTCAGCTCAACTAACTAGGGGGTGCAAAACTGCTATCATTAAAATCACCCAACGTATAGCAATTGCATGATATAGAACTAATTGATCTCCCTAGATGATTTACGTAAACGCTTTGGTAAGATTTACGTAAGCTTGCAATGGTTAGTGGTGGCTATTCGCGTGTGTATTTTTGTATTTGATATACTGAGCCTTCAAGATATATAAACCTTTACATTTGTGGCAACATGATTTTTTAAAACTTCTGTCAAAACTAACCGCAAATGCTTGGAGAGACCCGAACGCGTCATAAATATCTTGCCACAATTTTCACACTTGTTCATATCCTTCTTCTTGTTTTTGTGAGCACTAAACGAAAGAAAAAATATATTACGAATAAAAGCAAATTACGCATAATCAATGCCAATACAATAAAATTAAAATAAGAGAGAAAACACAATTCAGTTCTCTAGAAAATTATTAAGTCATTCCAAGAGGAATTGCTATGGTGAACATAAAAGAAACTCAGCTGGTGAGATACGTATATCAGAAACAACAAGAGGTGAGGTACGTACATCAGAAACAACAGGAGGTGAGGTACGTACATCAGAAACAACAGGAGGTGAGGTACGTATATCAGAAACAACAGGAGGTGAGGTACGTATATCAGAAACAACAGGAGGTGAGGTACTTACATCAGAAACAACAGGAGGTGAGGTACGTACATCAGAAACAACAGGAGGTGAGGTACGTGCATCAGAAACAACAGGAGGTGAGGTACGTACATCAGAAACAACAGGAGGTGAGGTACGTACATCAGAAACAACAGGAGGTGAGGTACGTACATCAGAAACAACAGGAGGTGAGCTACGTAAGTCAGAAAAGAAACCTTACCTCATATGTTTAGTATATTGATATTCACTTTGAAAAACGCGCTCACATTGAGTACACTCGTATTTCTCTTCATCGCCGCCATCCGTAGGCATAGAAGACATCGTTGGATGGCCTTCGAACGTATCATTTTGAACATAGCTAGATTTTACCATCGTGCAGTTGCCGTGGAACGTCTTCCGGTGCTTACTGAGATTACCAGAACTGGAAAATACGTAGGAGCAATCGTCACACGAGTATATCCGATCATTACCCGAGTGTTCTTGAATATGTTGAATGTATAGTTCTCGACTTGAGAAAGAGCCCTGATTACAGCCACGACGGCGACACACGAACTTCTCCTTGTTATTACGTGCATCTTCTGCGGTTTTGTCCGAATGAGCTTGTTTGCAATGGCGAGCTAGATTACCTTCAAATTAAAATCCCAAGTATGGGCAACGTCAAAAATAACACAACAACGTAAATCGGAAAATATTCCATAAAAAAGTACGATAAGACAGGCGACATTTTTTTATTTAAAAATCTCAAAATTTTTCAAAACTGAAAATGTTTCGCACAACTTGCATGACTTTGAACACAACCAGTAAGGTAAACACATGAAGTGCGCCCGCAATGTCACTTGACTAAAAGATTTTCAAAAAATAATTTGCAAGATTTCCCGGGATTTGTCAGCGTTTGATATTTCACGGCAATTTCAAACATTTTTCTGCTTAATTTTTGTAGACCTCCAAAATTTTTTAATGTGTCCGAGATTTTTCAAGTGACGCGTCCGTCGACAAGGAATGCTAATGTACGGAATACGCAAAGAATAAATAATCAATCTACTTTAAAATCTCTTCTAATTCAAGTGATCTTCCTAAACTAATGAATTTCGCACGTACGTAGCAAGAACATTTACTAAATATATAATCAGAATGAGCAAATGTCGCAAAACGATTTTGCAAAGCAGTGATTTTCTGTCTGGATGCCTTGCTCTACGCCGATTGCAATGGTCAAAGATTTAAAAAACGCGTTATGTGAACATTCGTTCTTACTCGAAATGTTCATAAAACAAACAATCGTACAAACCTCTTTGTGTGAATGTTTTTTCACAGTAGTTGCAGCTGAATGGTCGAATGCCTTTATGAACAACAGCATGATGTCGACGCAACATATTTTTCTGGGCAAAAACTTCACCACAATCATTACACTTGATTGGCACAATACCCACATGTGTACTACGATGTACCTACAAAATAAACTAGTGTGTATAAGTCGAATTTATAAGCATAACAAAAAAGCGGATATTTTTCGAAAAGACATCGAAATCGTATTTACTTTAAGAATCCTCAACTGTGAAACTATATTTAGAAACGTGTTTCAATAAAGAAAATGTTTGGGTTTGTAAGCGATTGTAGTTGTGATTTGAGCCTAAAGTTTTAGCAATTTGAGCAAGTTGGCGGTTGCACGAAACATCGCCAAGCAGGGCAGTATCACCGTATAACTATGCTTTTTTTCACTAGATTTGGTCCGATGAGCATAGAATCACATGGTTGAAAAGTGAAAGTGTTTTGAATCATCCGAGCGAGTTTGGTAAAAAAATTGCATATGTGGTTACACTGAAGGGGAGGCATGACTATAACACAGAATGATTATACAGAAGGGTCACTCAGGTGTACAACGTGTCCTCATGTCGGCCATTATTCCAGCCAGATGATTAGGATTTCTCACTTGTTTCCAAGCATTAAATTTACATGACGTCAATACTTAAAAATGACTCAAGTATAGTTTAACTTAAGAAATGACTTCGGATCATTTTAAAGGTTGGGAAAAAGTCAAAAACCCTCATCATCTGGCTGGAATAAGGCGGCCATCATGCGCAGCACGACATGAGCAAAGACAAAAACATCAAAGGTTCCGACACGAGTGACTCTTCTGTATATTCTTATCATGTGACTATAATTGTAACAAGACGCCAGCTCAGGCGTACACTCGTGCTCTGGTGATCAAACAATTTCCGTTTTGGACGATGTGATCAAAACATGAAAGAGTATCGCAAAACACGAGCCAAAGGCAGGTGATTTTACGGTTCCTTAAGTTGAGCGACATTTCCAAGTGTTTTGATTGGGCCACCGGCCATCTAACTGATCAAAACATTAGAGAAACATTAAGCAGTTCTATTTCAACACAAACATGAGGGTAGTGCCTGAAGTATTATTAGCGAAAATATGAAAGCTAACCTCCCAAATACCAAATTGCAGCGCTAAACTCTCTGAAGCAAAGGAAGCTGTGAAATTTTGAAAACAACAAAGTCAAAATATCGATGATATTTTTTGCTTTCGTATAGGTATTTAAAAGTAAATATTGCCCAAAACATTATGTTGTAGCGTAGCTTTGTCTTCTGAGCGTATATATTTTGCATCCTTCGTATTGTTTGTAAAAGGATAACTTTACTGTTTGTATTGTCGAAGAATTATATTTTACCGCTCCTTGCAGTCGCCATTTTGTAAAAACGCAATGCATTCTGGGTTAAAAAGTCGATTTCTCGACGTACCCAAGCCAAAACCTTAACTCGTGCCCCCCCCCCCCAGTAAAAACAGTGAAAAAGTGCAGATGTTTAATTTACTTTACAAAAAAAGTTTAGACTCACCTCCAGGTCTTTCTCGTTCAAAAACGTTTCGATGCATTCCGAACACTTGTACAAGCGCTTCTTCTCGATTGGAGGATAGCCATTCTTTTCGTGTTTCTTTTGATGTTTGCGTAGATTACTTATACTGGAGAAAACCTTGGAGCAGATGTTGCACGTGACACGAGATGATTCATTATGAAATGTCATGTGTTCTTTTAAGTATGAGCTTGTGTACACTTTTTTGCAGATAGGACATTCAGCCGAATGAGCTGTCTCCATGTGACTGTGCCGTTCTTCTGCTGTGTCAAAGGTACTTCTACAGCTACTGCATCTGGAGATTTTCATATGATATTACCATTTATATTTTGATTTATGATATAATAGGCGCCGGAGGAAAGTGAGTACTTGCTCAAATTTATGTACGTGTGTGTACTTGTTCAAATTTATGTACGTGTGTGTACTTGTTCAAATTTATGTACGTGTGTGTACTTGTTCAAATTTATGTACGTGTGTGTACTTGTTCAAATTTATGTACGTGTGTGTACTTGTTCAATATGTCATAGTATTAATTTAAAATTTTGACTTGCACGGATTTATATAATACAATTTATTAGTATATTGAATTTTGTAAATACTATAAGTAAACGGGTGCCTATGAGTCCTGAAAATTTACCGTTTTTAAATATTTTTAAATAATAATAATAGTAATAAAATAATAACATGTAAGAAGGTACATTTTACTGATATTACGATTCGAAAACGAGCATGCACGGACAAAGTTTAGGTACAGAAAACACTAAGTCAGAAACACATTACATAGTTCAAAGATGACAATAAATCTGAACGTCAAGGTCAGCATCACAGATCTAATAATACACTAGATAGTGCAACGGCTTACATTTCATAAGTGGTGGTTGAAGCCAGGCAAATTTACTTCCGGAGCCCCAAAGTAGTGAGAATCAATATGGCGTTGTATTAGAAAATATCTGGTCAAACTGATATCTTGCAATTACTTGCAAGTCACGACTGTTACATAAACTGGTTTACTCTATTAATGAAAAATCAATGTGACCATAGTTTTCAAGAAAAGATAGCAGAATACGCCAATACATCGCCGTAAAATTGATTTCAAGTGTAGCTCGATTTGAAAGCATCAAGCGACGAAGGCTTAAGATACTGGAATTTGCACATCTAAATATCGTATCACAGACAATCTGCCACAAAATGTTCAATCGAACGTCGTAGAATTATCTTCCGATATTTATTGTTAAATAAAACGAGTTGGAGATAACAGTTTGAAAGATTTTTCACGATTTATATAAAGTATATTGTTCACTGTACATAATTAAATATTGAACTGATTATTGTACCAAAGGCATTTATCTGGTGTTTCTGGTCCGCAAACAGAAGTTAAGCTATGTCAAGATTTGAGTAATTAAACGTTCAGAAATTATTTGCAGTAGAATGTTAAGAGTCTACCTAAGAGTCTATGTCTTGCTTGTCTATGTCTTGCTTGTCTTGCTTATCTATGTCATAGAGTCTGTCTTGCTTCTGAATTTGTTTTATATTATGAGTCTACCTCTGCTACACCAAATTTTTAGTGAAGTATAAAATAGCAGTGTCACTTGTGAAACTGTTGATACCACAGGTTGATACAATACACTCTGTCCAACAGGGAAAATATTTACTTGTTAAAGCAAGAAGAGTCACCAGACTTGTAGTCTTGACTGTGTTTTACACATATATATAAACAATGTATTGACATAGTCTAAACCAGTGGTTATATGGCACCGCCCACAGTGCTTAATGTACTGTTATGGTGATGTTATGCTACTGTTTTCAACATTTTTATTGTCTTTTTTACCATTCAGGCATGTATATGCATATAAAACTTTCTACACATTCTTTTTATTGAAAATATCAAACCTAAATTATTTATTCTATTCAAATATTTAATTTGTGCTTGTAACATGTGTCAATTTCAGACTGATTTTTGTAATATGCCTGTTCTATTACAATACATCCATAGATCGAGTATGATATCGCTGTATTTGCACGAACTAAGCCACACTATCGCAGATTGTGCTGTGATACGATATTTAGATGTGTAAATTCCAGTACTTAAGCCTTACTCGCTGCTGATGCTTTCAAATCGAGCTACATTGAAATCAATTTTACGGCGATGTATTGGCGTATTCTGCAATTTTTTCTTACAAACTATAGTCACAATGATTTATTTCATAAATAGTGCAAAAGTTGATGCAACCTCCGCGATTTGCTAATAATTGCGAGATATTAACTTGGACCACATATTTTCTAATACAACGCCATATTGATTCTCACAACTTTGGGGCTCCGGAAATAAATTTGCCCGGCTTCAACTTTTATGTCAGTTGCACTATCTAGTGTATTATTAGATCTGTGGTCAGCATACGTAGTTAGACGACTTTGACAAAACCATTCACGCAATTTAATTACATAGACGGTGTGCTGACACATACACATAAGACGCAATGCGTGCGTAGTATGGACGAATGATGCAATTTTATTCCCTTTTTTAAAATACATTTACACCAAACTGTTGAAAGTGGCGTAGCAAGCATGCAAAATTGGTCAATCTGTGTAAATATTCTGTGTTAAGTCACTTCAAAAAAAACAACAACAGACTGTCAAGAAAATAAAAAATGCTTATGATGTGAAATTTATGTAACACGATCTACCTTGCAGACTGGATACGCCACTACCTTAAAGGCATTTAAAGGGTTGTCAGTTCAGCTGTAAAAATATCTTAACTCATAAAAGCTGGCTATTGCCATTCATTTCTAAATCATAAGTAGGTATTCCAATGAGATATGTGTATCTTTACTTTTTCGGAAAATTGAGCTATTATTGACACTATAAATTAAATTAAGCTGTGAATAGCTACTTTCCACTTACTTAAACGTCTTCTTTTTAGAATCATCCTCATTAAGTTTGTCTTCAGTAGAAACAATATGAGTGAAATCATTTGAACGAGAATTCCCTACAAAAAGGAGAAATATCTTCATTTTGCAACCGACAACAAGCAGGAAGTTAAACATTTGAGATAAATTTCTAACATAACACTTAAATCGTTGACAGCTATTCCATTATGCTTGCCATTGTAGACATGTTAAGCTAGGCCGTAGCCAAGGGGGGAGAGGGCAAATGCACCCTCTATTTTCATGAAAACTTTAAATTGACAGCCACATTAGTTCCTTTTTGGTACGTCCTTAGTGACCTACTGTCTTATGTCATAAATCCAGCTTAGGCTCCTGTTAAGGCTATTGAATGTTTAGTGATATTACATCAGCGTGTCTCATTACAAAGATCTTGAGGCTATGGAATGTTTATTGATGTTACATCAGCATGTCTCATAGTAAAAATCTTAAGGCAATGGAAGATTTGGTGATGTTATGTTAACGTGTCTCATTAACAAAGGTCTTTAAGAAGGCTCCCTGCAGTTACTATGCAGGGACTGGTGACGCTTCGCAGTGCCTAGGCATTACGTGTAGGTACACGCGCGGGAAGAGTGACTAGTTTTGAGCGTGAAGTTTGAATCCCAATAGTTAGAAACAATAGCTTCGCGTTTTAATAATCTGCTTTCGTCGGTCAAGTTCGGTCAAGTTCGGCAAAGTGTCAAGAAATACTTCTCTTGTTACAGAAAAGGTAACGGGTGAACTGCAGGAAGCCTCCTTAAGGCTATACTGCTATTCAAATATTCAATATTGTTACAGGAAAGGTAACGGGTGAACTGTAGGAAGCATCCTTAATGCTATATTGCTATTCAAATATTTAGTATTGTTACAGGAAAGGTAACGGGTGATCTGCAGGAAGCCTCCTTAAGGCTATATTGCTATTCAAATATTCAGTATTGTTACAGGAAAGGTAACGGGTGAACTGCAGGAAGCCTGCTTAAGGCTATATTGCTATTCAAATATTCAGTATTGTTACAGGAAAGGTAACGGGTGATCTGCAGGAAGCCTCCTTAAGGCTATATTGCTATTCAAATATTCAGTATTGTTACAGGAAAGGTAACGGGTGAACTGCAGGAAGCCTCCTTAAGGCTATACTGCTATTCAAATATTCAGTATTGTTACAGGAAAGGTAACGGGTGAACTGCAGGAAGCCTCCTTAAGGCTATATTGCTATTCAAATATTCAGTATTGTTACAGGAAAGGTAACGGGTGATCTGCAGGAAGCCTCCTTAAGGCTATATTGCTATTCAAATATTCAGTATTGTTACAGGAAAGGTAACGGGTGAACTGCAGGAAGCCTGCTTAATGCTATATTGCTATTCAAATATTCAGTATTGTAACAGGAAAGGTAACGGGTGATCTGTAGGAAGCCTCCTTAAGGCTATATTGCTATTCAAATATTCAGTATTGTTACAGGAAAGGTAACGGGTGAACTGCAGGAAGCCTCCTAAGGCTATATTGCTATTCAAATATTCAGTATTGTTACAGGAAAGGTAACGGGTGAACTGCAGGAAGCCTCCTTAAGGCTATATTGCTATTCAAATATTCAGTATTGTTACAGGAAAGGTAACGGGTGAACTGCAGGAAGCCTCCTTAAGGCTATATTGCTATTCAAATATTCAGTATTGTTACAGGAAAGGTAACGGGTGAACTGCAGGAAGCCTCCTTAAGGCTATATTGCTATTCAAATATTCAGTATTGTTACAGGAAAGGTAACGGGTGAACTGCAGGAAGCCTCCTTAAGGCTATATTGCTATTCAAATATTCAGTATTGTTACAGGAAAGGTAACGGGTGAACTGCAGGAAGCCTCCTTATGGCTATATTACTATTCAAATATTCAGTAGTGGCCAATTGATTTCTTTTGAAAGAAATTCAATGAACGAACTAAGCAATTACCTTCAAAAGAAATCAGTTTGGCAAAAATTCACCGCCCTCCCTCTCCTCCCTCACACCCATTTACCGTTCTCGGGATTGCTCTGACTGAATACATATAAACATTTAACTATTTAACATCCTCGTTACTGTGCAAACCACGTGACGGCTAGGTACGGTCAAAAATGATACAGCAAGTCCATGTACAACGACAAAGAGTTTGCAGAATATGAATCGACACATGTGCCTATGCATGTACACATTTACATGGACAAAACATAAATGTTGTCTTACGTAAGTCGTCATTTGATGGATAATATGTTTCTGAAACATCCGCCGTCATTACGTTATACGCATTCTTCATATCTTCGGACGAATCACTATTGACTTCCATGCCAACCATTTCGTTGTCATCGTGATGATTCGTCATGTCGACGTCATAGCTGGTAATTTGCTGTCCGTGAATCCTTGAAAGAAAGTCCGGGCTAATAGTTGATCTGAAATAAAGAGACGTAATTCGTATCTACTCGGGGATATTTTTATCCAAAACGGTTAAATTTTTTAAAATTGTTTACAAAGATCGTAAAGCAATGGGAGAAAGCTGAAGACAAGGTCGCTCCCTCCTTCGATGTTGAGATAAAGTACACGGAAAAGAATATTTTGACGTCACGCATGTTCTATTTGCGAAGAAATCATCTAATAAAAGATGAGCACTGCTAACCTTTGTTTCAAAAATAACTCTCCCACCAAACTATAGTCATGACAACAAGCCCCCAGTAAGATGGCGTGTGCAGAACATGTTCAGCATACCGATCAGAGGTGATTTTTCCGGTGAAAATAGTGCAGAGCAACTTGTGTACCCCCTTCCCCGTCAAAAGAGCCTGATCAATGTACACATCATAAAAGGTGTTTTTTACCTTTCACCCACAAGCTACTGCCATTGAACTAAAATACATGGAACGCTACCAGAAGCAAACAATTGAAGCCAAATCTTACACCCAGACACGCGAAATTACACTCACACACGAGCGTTTATTGTTTCGAGATTCTCTCGTGGGGTGAAAATTGAATTAACTACACACGCGTGTCTGGGTGTAATCTCGCGTGTCTGGGTGTAAGACTTGGCTTCAAAAAATTATCAGGCTTTTCTATTACAGGTAGCGTTCCATGTATTTTAGTTCAATGGTTAGTACATACCGCAAGTTCACAAATGATTCACCATTGCATGTTTTAGAAGGCAGGTCTTTCTTGGGAACTTGGACATTTTCATTCGATGTTCGGGACGTTTGAGTGATATCTGTTGTATAAATAAAGCAATCAAGATAATGATGACGCAATTAAGCACTGCACTACACTATAAAGATGATATGGAAAGATGCAAATATTTATACAAAGATAATGATGACGCATTTAAGCACTACACTACACTATAAAGATGATATGGAAAGACGCAAATATTTCTACGAAGATAATGATGACGCAATTAAGCACTGCACTATACTATAAAGATGATATGGAAAGACGCAAATATTTATACGAAGATAATGATGACGCAATTAAGCACTGCACTACACTATAAAGATGATATGGAAAGACGCAAATATTTATACGAAGATAATGATGACGCAATTAAGCACTGCACTACACTATAAAGATGATATGGAAAGACGCAAATATTTATACGAAGATAATGATGACGCAATTAAGCACTACACTACACTATAAAGATGATATGGAAAGACGCAAATATTTATACGAAGATAATGATGACGCAATTGCACTACACTACACTATAAAGATGATATGGAAAGACGCAAATATACGAAGATAATGATGACGCAATTAAGCACTACACTACACTATAAAGATGATATGGAAAGACGCAAATATTTATACGAAGATAATGATGACGCAATTAAGCACTACACTACACTATAAAGATGATATGGAAAGACGCAAATATTTATACGAAGATAATGATGACGCAATTAAGCACTACACTACACTATAAAGATGATATGGAAAGACGCAAATATACGAAGATAATGATGACGCAATTAAGCACTACACTACAATATAAAGATGATATGGAAAGACGCAAATTTTTCGAGAACGTACAGTTTGCATACATAAATTGCCATTTAAGTACTCGAGAGATCCGTGCTGTAAAGAAAGTTATATGAATGTCGATCTGTGGACGATTTTCTTAGTGAAGAAAGTTAAGGAAATATACGTATGTTATTTAGCTATCGGCTGGGAGGTCCACAGAGAAAAATATTTTCCCAAGGCCGCAGTCCGAGGACGTTTTAAGATATTTCTAATGATGAGATATTTTTACAATCTTTAACAAAATTGTAAATCAACAGGCATACTTAAACATCTTGAATAGAAAATAATTCAAAACGATAAAAAATCTACGTCAAAGAAGGTACGTAAAAATTTTAAAAGATCAATCTATAAACTAATAATTGTCTTGTACTCACCAAATCCCTTGTCGTAGGCAATACATAATGGTTGACCAGCAACAGTATCGCACGTGGTTTGTAACACAATACCACGTGGTGTGTTGTACGCAACGATATTGTAGGCAAGATCACTTGTACGCCTTTCCAAGCAGTTCAGCCACTTGGACGAATCAAAGCCTTCTTTGTACAAATTCAAGCAGTGATCATTACCTTCCACATCCGGAATCTGCAAAAAGAGAGCAGAGATTGTCGTAAAGAAGCATGAAATTACAAATGGTTGCTGCAAAGTTATTGAGACTTGAAAAGATGTACGTATGACAAAATATGGTTGGTAAACGTGCTTTGTTCAGAAATAATACATATGTGACGGTATGTAAACTGTATTAATTACTCAAGCTGACGAAGGTGAGCCCAAAGTTTAACTGCAATGTCGTGATTACATAAATCATGCGTAACCATAGTCCATAGACCAATCAAAATTTTTCTTGGATTTCGTCAAGCGTGAGTGACACGTATAATAAAACATGATTTGTGAGATTGCATTGCCGTGAATTTCGTTGTGCTGTTTGGCAACTATTAGCTATAATACACAAACATAATCAAACATTGTTCTCGAGAAGAAATTTTTAAGGATTTTTTATTAGCTGGGAGTGGGTTAGTGTTAGGATTAGGGTTAAGGTTAGGGTCAGGGTTTGTGTTATCAACCGATGGAGTTGGGTGCAAATAGGGATTTGAAGGCGAATTTCAAAATGCAAAATGGCGGCAAAGTAATATATCCCAGGTCCTCGAGTATTTACATCAACATTCATAATAAATAATAGCTACGTCTTCACAGTGGCGTAGCCAGCCTACATTTGTAGTCGTGCTATGTATGTAAATTAAGATCATTAGCATTATTCATTTCTTTAGAAACGTATTGCGTGAACACCGAAATATTTACATAACGCGATTGACCAAACTAGCGGGCTGGCTAACGTCACTACGATACAACAAAACGCTTATAAGGGCTTCTTTTTGTGCTTCTCGAGAACAGTGTCAGATCATTTCAAGAATCACGTCATTATACGTGTCATGGTGACAATCGCGCTTAAAACGATCCAAGAAAGTTGTTGATTGGTTCAATGACTTAGTGTCAGTCACACGTGATATTTGTACGTAATCTCGCGACAATACAGGAAAATCCAAATTTGAAAATCGGGCTTAACTTCGGTAGCTTGAGTAATAACGTGTGTCAAACTTATCCTCGATGATAATGAAAGAGTAGTTATACTTGAAATTTTACAAATTTAACAAATTTCAGATTCTTACTAAGAAACAAAAACGCAAAAACAAAAAGAGTTATTTTGTAATACAAAAGGAGAAAATGATATCGATACCTCCCACCCACCCTCCCCCCTTCTTCCCTACAAAAGCTGTAAGCAACGGGCCAACTTCCGGCTTAGTTTTCCTACTAAATTTTAGTATTGGAAAGCCACACCAGGTGAGTGAGTCCATGCGTCATCCAGTTTATTATTTCAGCTATGGTAAAGTCAATTAATAAAACTTTTTATTCTCATTTTTTTGTTACGGGCGATTTATATACTACACGGTACTGGCTGAAACAATTCATAGAATTGTTTGCTTTCGTGTAAAGTTTGAAATTTGCGCGCCCAAATGTTATCATTATCGCGCACGAAACAGTGGCGAAGACAGCCAGATTATTCACTCTTACAAAGCAAATTTTCAGAAAAATTACTGATGCACATCTTTAAAAGATTCATCCGTTGGCATTGTGCGTAGGATTAAAAACGGGCTGGCTTCGCCACAGCACGAAACAACGAAAAAACAAGCAAATGCTTTTTGATTTGAACAAAAACTTCACTAACTAATATTGAAATATATAATTTTATAGGAACTGTCACAAATTACACACATTATTAAATAAGGTATTTTTTCGACAAAAAACTTGGGCAAAAATCCACTTACTTGAGAGATATATGAGTAGTTGAGAAGACTGGGATCTACAGTTGGTGAAATGCTGCCGGAGAATGGACCAAATGTTTGTCCTCGAAACAACTGCTTGGATGCTGCAACACCATAAAACTGAAGATTTTCTGGAAGCTGGTATGTGGCTGGAAATAATAAAAAAATATGTAATTAAAAATTTTGAAATAGTGAAGGTAAAAAAAGAATTAGGGACACAAGAATGGACAAAAAACTTTTTCTCAAGGTTTATATGCAAAAAGTTAAATTAAACACACCAAAAATCAAACTAAGAAACAAGTGCATCTAAAAGTCTTTTTTAGCATTAACAATCATAACCCATGGCTGTTCAATACTTGAAACACAAGTAGCATGGCTTGTTTGATAATTAATTGGGCATAGAAATGTACACAAATCGACTATCTCGTTAACTTAATTATTTTCAATTATTTTGAATTAAGTAAATAAGATACCCATGATATATTGATCAACATGAGTTAGTTGTTAAAGATGTGATTGAATGAAATATATATGAAAAACATAATTAAATATATATCAAAAACTCTTAATTGTAACTATGACACCCATGTCAAAGTCCCTTCTGCTGGTAATTAGAGAAATGATTATGCAAATGACTTTGTATTCATTCACTCAAATATAATGAAAGTTTTAGATGTACATATAAAGTGAAGTTCATTTGAGTTACATCTTTTTGATAAGGCAGCAGATATGTATATACTAGGCACAATACGTACCTACATCACAATATAAATGAAACAAAAAAATGAACAATTTAATTATTCATGTTTTTTTTTGTTAAAACTTGTTTCTCACCTTGGAAATTCTGACTTCTGACATTTATCATAGAGTCTGTGACAGGACATTGATCTTTAACAAGAACAGAAAGATATGTTTTAAAAAAGTGATCACTGAATATTATGAAAAGCATAACATTGAAAAAACTTTAATTGCAAAAAATAATTATAATATTAACATGCAATTACATAATAGTAGTTATGTTATATGTGTCATTATAAACTGATCCTAGTAATTAAATCTGTTCAGTAGTGGATAAAAATATTAAAGCAGATAGCCTTAGATATGTCTGATAAATTTGAATCATTAAATGTTACCAGTATCCAAGTCAGTCATAAACAATTCATAGTACAAAAACACAGTGGCCTATTTATGAAAAATTCAAAAAAGGAAATAATTGCATTGTGTAATTGCATTGAACAGATAACTTTCACTTTTACATAACTTCACAATGAAAAAAATCCCACAGCTTTGATCAGATGAAGAACATCAACTGCTCTTAAGAAGATAAACTATTTTTGTAATTACTATAAGTGTGTGATCGGGATTGACTTATGAATAAGAACTTATTTTGCATTTTTTGTTGAGCATGTTTCATCCACTATAACATCATTGGTTGTGTCAGCCAGAGTAGCCAACTGGCAAATTTGGTTTAAATTTTCATTAAAATTTCATTAAATGAAAACCTTCCTTCCTTCAACATCAAAATGTAGAGAATTATCATAATTTCATCATGTTGATATGTGAACTACAACATTCTATATAGTCTATAACACAGTGACAGAGGCCATATTAACATTGAAAATGTATACAGGATAAGAGAGGATTATCCAAGATGATGACACAATGTTAAAGTATTTCAGTTTTAAAATCAACCATAAAAGCAGATGAGTGCAACATGAATAGGACATTTGAGTGATGATTTCAATCATAAAAAAAAAACAACCTACATGAATGTTTTTAGGACATTGAGGTGAACATTACTGCAATTCAACTTAGTTCCATTATCAGTTTGTGGAAATAAAATTTCGATTGGCTTCATGCAAATTCAGGGATTTTTGCCCACAGGTAGCTTTCCAGTTCCAGTTATATATTTAGTTCAATGGTACATCAACATTACTTTAACAACATGGCTGTTTGGCAACCAAAAAATGAGTTAATATCAAAGCACTATTCCAGACTAGAAAACATACTGCATGTATGTGAATCTTTGAGTTATATAATACAAAGCTCCTATATGTAATTCTGGTTCACAATAAACGATATTTCATTATGCAAGGGATCTAAATCGCGAACAACTACATTGGGTAAAATCGCTTTTAGATGTTCTGCATCATTTCCTGGTAATTAACATTGAAAACAAAAATTAGCATTTTTGGAAATATGATCCACGAGTCAATATTAAATGTCCGCAATAAGGAAACATAATATTCATTGTGTTCGCTTTCAGTAGCACGGTTGATTTGGATATTCATTATAATGACGTTCGTGCATTTAGTCCTAAACTTTCGGAAAAAGAACTCCTGCTGAAAATTACAAACGAATCGTAACGCGGCCGCCAACAGAAGCGAATTTATCTTAATGTCTGCAAAATGGCAGCCCACGCTTTCCTATCGCCTTCAGTCATTTCTTTCTACTAGAGGCCTAATCTTCCCTATTTTCATCAAAAAGCAAATATATTCCCTTATCGACTCACGATCCGCATTGCTTACTGTCGGTGGTCGAAAAAGTCGAAATGAATCTCGGCAAAACTCGCAAAACAGACTAAACATCCAATATCTTTAAATCGACTTTCAAGAAGAAGGTAGCGACACTGCTCTACAGTCTATACGGAACAATCATGCTTTGCACCGGAATACTTCACAATATTTTCTTGCGAATGAAAGAAAAATCAACCGAGGAGCCTTTACAGCCATGATAAAGGTTTTATCCTTGAAAAGGCCTCCTTACCGGGTCGTAAAAGACTGCCGCGGTCTTCCTTATGCAAGCTCTCTGATCTTTCATACGTCCCCGAACTTGTTGAGATGGGTTCCGTCCGATTTTCATCAAACTTGTTCAGCAATGAGTCGGATTTCGCACACAAGTTCATCACAATTCCTTCAATACGCCTCTTTCTTCCGAAAGAAGCATTCAAGCTCTTTGTGCGGACCATTTTGAGGTGAAAAGTCGCGACAGTTTCGATGTCTTCTTCTGATGTTGGAATATGATTCCGTGTCCTAGCGCAGTGCGATTCCGTCGATGCATATCATGCCAGATCGAGCTGAGGAATGGGTGGCTACCATATATGGTCATTCAAATTAAGATTGTAAACAGAATTTCCGTGCTTCTCCTTCATGCTGATGAGATGGCTCTCATAAGTTACCTTGAAGATGAATATAGCCACCATTTAATCAAAGACTCCTCAATCAACCACATAGAGGAATAAAAGATTCGATGAGGTCCACTGACTCGGATATACTGCGAAGATTATTGAGCGCACAAAGACATTGAAAAATGATCTCTTTAAATGAAAGTCGTGGAACGTAAATCGTTTCACATGATTTCGACGACAAATATACCCGGCGCTTCTTGTGTCGAATTCAATGACGTCCTTGATTCTATGATAGGGAACTTTTCCTCATTTTTCTTTCATCAGAATTTGATTTGAGAATATCTACTCAAAAAAATTAACGAAACAATTACCGAGAAGAAAAAGTCAATGCCATATTTCATGCGTTTTATTGAGAAAGCAAGCAGAATAATGAAAGTGTAAAAACTCAGTATAATCAATGCACGTTGACCTTCCGCTTCCAACAAATATTCGTCTTTCTTTAGATAAAACAGTAAATGGAGTTTAGATTTTAAAGACTCAGTATTTACGTCTGGTGTATAAAGTCACGGTTGATTTTTAAAGTAGATGAATAATCTGTAAATAAGCAATTCAAAGTCCGGTACTGTATAATTATTCGTGCTTTATTCTAATAAATTTTGGAACATCTTCAATGTAGTTTGACATGTTTTAAAATAAAGGTATTCGTGAAATTGCGTATGACGACGAAGGGTAAAACATACTTCCATCGCAAGATCATACGTACGTATACATATATCGTCATAGAAAAGGAATTCTTATAGACCATGGTGCACTTTTATCGTGTCAGAAGAAAACATTGTAGAGTAAAGGTCAAACACTAAACGCATAGATACAATCAATTTTTTCCACGCAATGAAAGATCCAACATAATGCAAAGATATCGAGAGAAAAATGGACATGTAGTAATATGTGCGCCATTTCATATATTAGCATTGTCAGAATACACGCAATGGAACAAAATTTGAAAGCCCACCGTGTAGTTGTTGCTGTATGTTTGAGACACAGCAATTCATATTTGTGGGTAATTATTACCTCCAACATGAAAAGGAAATCTGTCTTGACATGAAAGCACATGTTGAAATTACTTCAGTTGGATTGCAATCAGGGATCGTGCGAAGTACATTATAGTAATGTACTATGTGTCACTCTGTGATGTGCACAAGTTTGTCACAACAAATAAACGTACAGCCAGTTTTGTGTACAAGTATCTTGACCATCTTCGTGATTTAAAGACAATGGGGAGAAATGAAACAATGTTTTGGTGGAAAATAAGGGCAAGAATTGCGTCTATGCAGTTTGTATCAACTTGTTTGACATTCACTCTAAACTCTTCACACTACTATACCATTTTATTGCTTGGCAATTTGTTCACAACTAATCTTCAGAGCGACCTTATGTAAACTAAATGCCCAAGCTCGTTTTGAATGATGATAAATGGAGGCTCGATATGGAGAAATTGATCTGATTTTATCTTTGACTAGCTGCAAACATTTTAAACATGTAATCTTTTTCACGCGCTAGTTGAAAGCTTATTTACAAATATCAAACTCGATCATTATACGGCCCGTCCAATGAATCATTTCCTGCTTACGATTCAGATGTTGATGAACAATGCATATCCAACAAAATTTGCATTGAATAACTTCACTTTGCAGGGGAAAATTCAAATCGGGCAATAACTAGCATTAAAGACTCGATGATTGCTTCCCGAGAGAATTGGCTATATGGACTTTTTACAATGGTGTTTTTGCCGAATTCTTACTAAATAAAATGCGATGATTTTTATTTCAAATCTTGTGATAGATATTCAAATAAATTGTGGAGAACTTAGAGACCTTTGCCAAATTTGTCCCTCACGTTCCTAAATTCCTTCTCTGGGTGCATGTCATGAATTTCATGATTACGTTTGCTGTTCATGTCTCCATCAGTCTATCCAAGACCCTCTCCCCTCTTCTAAGAACTGTTTGGTCTCTTTGAAAATGTTTTTTTTATCAGAGATCGATCAATGATCATAGAGCTTTCTGATGTCTGGTCGCTTTACGTGTTCAATCGTGCAGTCTGCATTGTTGAACCCTTTTCCCTAAAATATATGGCTAGAAAATTTCAGGTAATTTCATTGATAAATACAATTTGGCTGTACGTAAACAGCCGCGTATTTTTAACCGACATGCAATTACGCGCAAATAGCTATGTTTTTTCAGTTCTCGAGTGTAACGTTAAAAAGATCACGTCGCAGGAACGGACTTATAAAAAGAAAGTTTTCATGTAGAAATTCCTGGAATTGGGGAAGCGATGATTGATTTACTAAATATGAAACATTTTCAATTTCAACCATAAATATTAAGTCAACATTGCTGAAAGACGGTGAAAATGCGCGTTGCTCCTGTAGGTCTGTAATGTATGTATCCACAGAAGTGTCCACAAAATATAAGCACAAATTTGAAAACAATATAGAAAAATTTTTGCATTTTGAAAAACAAAAGTGGTTAATCTCGCAATGCGAATTGGAATCAGTTTGATCGGAATCAGTTTTATATCTGCTGCATGAGATTTTTTGTCGGAAAACTATGTCATGAAATGGTGATTTATTAACTGCTTTATACTAACAATTTTAATGCCACTAAACGGCGTCCTTAAAGGCAAAATGAGTTCATCATTAATTGTGGAGGACAAAAATGACGAAAAGAATAAGAAATTCCACAAAGGGAATAGGATTCCGTAATAATATATCGTGCCCATAACACCAGATGTTAGCCAAAGACGAAATCTTATTCACAATTTAGAGGTTGATGCTGACCTATTTACGCCTCCATATAACAGCTGGTACGAATTGCTTAGTTTGTCGACACAATAGAAGTTGGGAAAAAAAAGACAAACCATTATCGAGTGACATGTTTCTAACGTACCAATCAATTCCTAGCATTTCTTGCTAGTTTGACAATGTTTGATAAAGGTCATTGAAGTGCTTAAGAGAAAAATTCCATTCCACAAGTGTCCTCCGCATGTTGTGAATTTGATAAGAAATTAGCTGCAAGAGGAATTTCATCTTCAAGTACGAAATGTTCAAAACGCTTTCGTCTGTTGAGTTCAATCCTGGAAGTGGAATGTAGAGGCTTCTCAGTCCTTCACAAAACAAAGGAAGCAGGTGACGAAGAAACTAAAATGAAGGCTTATGGATTGAAGATTCAAAGTATATCTATGCTATTGTAATCGTTGACTATGTTTGTGCTTTGTTGCTTTAAAACGTTACAAGACAAGCTGCCTGCCAAGCGACTATCTCCAAAGAGAAAATGTCGTTAGTTCTTTGCCCTGAGTGCTAATACGACATGCTATGAAATATTGCCTAAGAGGCTGATTACGCGAGCTCGGGTAGCCGAGATTCAGCAAAGCATTACATGATTTTGGCAAGTTGAAACAACTCATTATTTATCATCAAAAAATCTTCTTCAGTAATTTTACAATATTCTGACTTTATAAACATGCAAAACATTCGAAATGAAAACAACCAATTTGGTCTAATTTGAGAAATACAACAGGACTTGTGGCGCTTAACAAGAAGTTGTAAACTTGTAAATTTTCCGCTTGAATCTTACTGATTCAATTACACGAGTATTAAATTAACTTCTATAAATGTAACTTTGACTAGCTTTTTCTACTTTATTAAAATAGCAGAACTGGATTTTTAACTATAATTATCGCAGAGCAGTGGCGTGGAAAAGAAATAATTTTTGAAGGAACACAACCTTTGAGGCATTGTAGTGGTAGTGGGCAACAATTGTAGATGGTAAATACAAGGAAATACAATTTTTACAACTGTAACATCACAACATAGTATAGCAATGATTTTTATAAAACTTTAACAAAGTACTAGTACAGGGTGACAGTATAGGGAACCAGGATTTTTTGTCAAAGGAGGGGGCAGTCAAAAGTGAAAGGGGATACGGCTGTCATTTAAACATTATAATATACGTAAAACATATAGCATTGAAGGTTCTAGGGGGACAAAAATTTCGCCAGGGGGGGCTGGACCCCCTCTGACTACGTCACTGTAGGAACATAAATGAGCCCACTTCGCTGCGCAACTTGCTGCTGTGTATTTAACTACTATACTGGCTGCCATAATCAAGGTATTGAACCTGATAGCAATTGCTTTGTTGGCTTGGTTCAAAGTCTAAAACGAAGTGTTTTTGCAGTCAAAGTACTATTCTCACGTGGTATAGTAAACTTCGATTACATGGTAAACAACAAATGACAAAGGCGATGTCGCATCTTTTATGGACACATTACTATTTTATTGGTTTAGATAGCAAATTGACAAAAAAAAATGAAGATGGGCTATTAGTCCACATTATCCCTAACGTTAGATAAAATACTACAGCACTGTCAGTACTGATACTAATAATAGACTTGTATTTAGCCAATTCACAAATAAAAATCAGGAATGCTAGAAATCAGAGTTGGCCTTGATTTGCTTTTTGCAATTTCCAGCCACAACACTTTCTTTAACATATGAAACCATATTATGCAACTTCTACCAGATAGTTTCTTTACGCATGCGTAATAATAAAAATATAAACAAAACTGTTGTTATTTAAAACCACATACAGAAATTTGAGCATGTTGTGATGAGGCTTAATTCAGAAGTAACAATTTTTTCATATAATGCAGATCACATAAACTATTGAGTTATAAGTTGGTGGAAATGCTCAGGCCGCCTTCGCAAATCCAACCCGATCTTCTTCTCTATCGAACACTGTATAATAAGGACCAATAAATACGTCTCCTAAAATCCACAAAGGACCCATTGGCTTTGGAATATCCAGACCCATGAAACCACTCAGGCATTCCGTTACCCCAAGAATTGTTTCCTAAATTAAAAGATACACGATTAGAAGTATCAAATAGAACTGAGCATGATGTCGAAAACTCGAAAGCAGATATTTCTGATTCTGCTTGTACATATCTAACTGCTCTAGAAATGTTGAACAAGCTTTACTTTACTATAACGAAACGCGAGCGTTTCGCTTTGTCACAAACTTGTTTTATTTGTCTTTCTTTGGACTTTTTTTGCAGACACCCAGACATTTACAATGAAATCCTAGGATTTGCGAGTAACTATCCTATAGACCCTATAAATGCTCTGTACTCTGTTGCCTAAATGGCGCTCTTCTCGAGACTCAAGTCTAGACCACTCAGTAGTTATACACTAAAAATTACACCTCACAGGTTTAATATTAAGGAGCTTTAGCAAAGACTACGAGTACGACATTACGAAATACGTCATTTTGGCGCGAGAACATTGTGAGAACAGATACACGTAGCCGCCAAACAACGTTTTGGTAAAAATTCGCAGTCGCGACTACGATGTCTTTTCAACCAAAGAAAGTAGGTATATTTTTTCATTGTAAGAAATTAGTTTACAAAACTATTTTCGACCTTTCAGGCTTTACTTTAGTACGTATTTTCGAGCAAAAATATGACCTGCAAAGCTTCCATGTATCTGGGATGCAAACCGAATTGTACAGAAACAGTAAAGTAAAATACTGCAAATATATAATCCATAAAATGCAAAATAGTGAAGATTACTCTCTATAGCGTCCTATATTCTCGCTAATCAGTATTACTGATTCATCAATATTGCAATTGACAAATAGAGTCGTTGTTGCTTCACAAAATGCGATGTTTTTTACAGTCAAAAAAGCTCGTTCTGTTTGTTTACAACTAAAATAACATTTCGAGAAAGCAACAACGACGACAAACTTCCTCGTGCCATTCCCTTACACGGTCAATCTTTGCACTCTTAGTTGTAGTGGTATTCTTGCTAAAGCTCTCTATTACTGAAATACCAGTAGCGGATGCAGGGTAAGCCAAAATACATTAGCATGATTAATTTTCCACGTTAAAACATTTTACAACAAACCCTAAATAGGAAATACGTTGATTGGTAATATTTATCAGAAAAGCCTTACAAACAGCGTTTTCTATAGTACTAGATGCATGCGTTTTCATAGATGTCTGCTATGATTTATTCTGATCTATCCTGGAACCGCTACTTTTCAAAAAACCAAAATAGAACCATGTCTGTCTGCTTACTTTGATTGTGTACTGTTCACCAGTAAGAGTGAAGTTCTTGCCACCGAGATTGATCGAAATTGAAGGCAGCGATGAAATTTTCGAGCAATCAATGATGTACTATGAAAAAAGGTGAATGACTGTAAGTGAGTAACTAATCAACCTGCTAACATTTGTACATTTTCCATTACTACTATTTTAATGTTGAAAGTAAAAAAATTTCAGCATGTTTCGGTTTGTAGTTTGTAATGCATGAACATGAATCAAGGCACACGCCATGTAGCTACTTGCAACTCAAACAAATATTTCCTACGAAATTGCATTGCTAGCAACAAAGTTGGTAAATGATAGCGAATAAAATATATCAACCAAAAATTGGTCAAACTAGACATGAAAAATTTAAGTTTTTATACTTAGTTAATCAATAAAAACAATAAAACAGATCTGAGCTCGATCGTGAATACATTTTAAAGGAAAATTGAAATGTTTCAGATTTGTCTGTTTCGCATCATTTTATAAAGGAAATAAAAGATGTTTTTCATGTTTGCACTGGTTTATACAATCCTTGGCGACGTTTGTGAGAGTTCTCGAGCATGTGCAACGCTCAGACCTTTATCTCGGGCTTACAATGATCAGCACTCGAGTTCTCCCAAAGCTTTCCTCGGTTTGCATAAGCCTGTGCAAACACAGTAAGCATCTTTTATTTGTTAATTGTAAAACGATATCGTTTCGTATATGTGCGCGTTTATGTTGCCATGGTAGCACTTTCAATTTATTTATGAAAATCTAAAAATGTCACTTTTCTGTTCGGCTAATGAACTTTTTATGTTACATAACTTCATAGACACTATTTCGATCTATTTAGAATTTTGTTAAGAGCACAATGTCGAAATCTACGAGAAGCTTTCCTTGTGATTATTATATATCGAGGAGTACGTAGGTACGTATAACCACAATATAACTGGGATAAATTGAACAGTTTTTCCCTCTCAAATTCATAACATATGATAAACATACCGCTCCACTGACAGCAGGAGTTGCACCAATCTTCGAATTTAGTTCCTTTATTTCCTGAGTGGGACCCGCGAGAAGTGACGTACCAGTATCAGCGATAGCCTGACAGCCATCAACACAGTATCCACTCTCACTACTACCAACAATTTGCACAGAATCCATTTTAAACTGCCAATAGCCTTTCCTCGTTACAGGAACGTACGTAATATCACCGGTATAATGGGATGGGTCAGAACCTCCGAGAACAAGTTCACCCCCCGGGGATTGTCCGGTCTTCCTAAATAAGTGAATGTAGAAAGCTTGTTTACATATATTAATTCTACATATGTTCGACAAATTGGTCCCCTAATCGTACAAGCCCGAGAAAAGATTGGATTAGGATTATGATGAAACTAGTGAGATTGATCGTCTAAGGGTATTTACATGAATCCGGAATGACTTTCAATCCCGATCGAAACGTGATGTTAATCCGTGTTTACATGGGAAATCAACACAAGGATTGACATTTTGCGGAATTTTGAAATTTGAAGATGGCGAACATAAACATTATAGCAACCCTTTTTTTCTGTTGCTCCTGCGTTAATACAGCTTACACTTGCATGAAACTAATTGTTGTTTTTCTTCGCACTCATTTTAGCTCATTGAGCCGCTTTATTTGCTTACGAACTTCAATTTCCCAGAAGACAATACACATGGTGCATGCGCGCTTCGTCATCAATCACAATATCATTCTAGAATGAAACTCAATACGCGTTTACATGAGATTAAAACTAAATTTCGATTCGGAATGAAAATATGAATGAACTCGATCCGGGTTCAGTTGTGACTCATTCCGGATTCAAGTAAACATGCAGTAGGATTTCTTTTAAAATGGAATGAGTTCATTACGGATCGAAACTCATTCCGGATACATGTAAACACCCCTTAACTAAACTCATTATTTAGTTTGCACGATGACAAATGCCTGGTAATTTAGGAGATTTGCCGCTAAAGCAACAGCTGACGATTATAATAATTTTATATAATAACCATAAGAATTTGAGCAATTTCATTGGTCGAGAGCTATGATCTATAAGAAGACATACGCACGGATTAATTTGTACAAACATTAATTTGTACTTCGTCTTCGAAGACAAAATTTCAACAAAATTGATCAGCCATTGCTTTTTATTTTGTCAACCAATCACATTTTATCACGTGACTAAGCTAGTCAATAGCATTTCTTCAATCCTATAGATCACGTGAACGTGATATTTACCAAAATCGACCACTCGCCACGGCGGCTCGTTGCCACATTTTTTAGTTTTTATCACAAATGACGTCATACCCGTGTATCTATAACTGTATAGACAACGGTTCAATATTATCTATTTGTTAAATAACTAATGTTTTCCAGTTAGCAAAAAGTGTCACGTTTCAATAAATCGATAGACAATTCACATATATGATTGATGCCATTCTCTAGAGATGTTTTCTAGGAAGCGGAGTTCCGATAATTAAGATGAATGTTTTGAGGGTCGAATGAGTGTACGACTGGCAGGGTAAAAAATGGTAGAAAAACACCAGTTCTTGTGTTGCAAATGAACAAAACAAAAAATCCAAACCTGTTAAGATAGAAGGAAAAACAGCACTCTTTACAAGATGCTGTTTCACCATATTCGTGAAGACTGAAGGCACGTGGTCAACAGATATTGTGTCATAACCCATTCCAAGGATACCATCAAATTTAGCAGCAACAAAAGCAACACCAGGTTCTTTTATGGCTTCAGCAAATGTTTGGTTCTTTACGGTCATTCCACCAACCTAAATTACACGCGTAACACATACCGTAAGTGCTCGATTTAGCACCGCGGCGCTTATTTGGTTTTCCAGATTCCGAATGCGGCGCTTTTACGGGAGCGTCGCTGATTAAATAATTTTCAACTCAAGGCTCACACCAAATATATTTATTGCCTCCCCCCCAAAAAAAATAAGTAGACAAAATCTATTTACTTGATAGCTACAATACAATATAACTTAGCGAAAATAATGTCTTTTAGGTAGGCAAAAAAACACCAAATATATCCTTTTATTATTCACTATGTGAGCATTCTCGGCTGTGATTGGTCAACAATCTGCAGATATTTCTCGATATCTGCAACTATGACGTCATACCTACAGATAATAGTTTCTACAAATATTGACGCCATTAAAAGGCGGTTTGAAAAAAATCAAAACAACGATGTTTGCCACAGTTTTAAGAACGATAAGCAAAAGCTTTTGAGCAAAAATAAAGCGGAAAACTCTAAAAAAGCGACGAAGCTGGTTTTGAACATATTTACAGCATATTTAAACGAGAAAAACTTGAAAAAACCGTTTCTTTCATCGACAAATTAGCGAAGGTTTGAAAATGTTTTACATTTATCAGTTTTAATAATATTTCAGTTAGTTGAGGTGAATAATAAAACAATTGAATTCGTTTTTCGCATGATATCAAGAATTATTAAGACCTCGGTCAATGTTATCCGCCAGCCGCCTCAGCTTCGCTTCGGCAGATAACGTTGACCTTGGTCTGAATAATTCTTAATATCATGCTCAACGTCATCCAAAAATTGCTTATTAATACGAAAACTATACTATATCAATATCTGAGATGCGGCGCTTAACTGGATGCGGTGCTAAATAACTTTTCTGGATTCTGAATGCGGCGCTTAACCGAGAGCGTTGCTTAAGGGCAGCGGCGCTAAAACGAGCATTTACAGTAAGACAGTAATTCCACAAACACGTACTGGAATTGCTCATATAAAAATTTCCAATCAGAGTATAAACCGACATAGACTACGTGCAACAAGTAAAGGTTTTCCTATTCGTGGTTGGATTAGGTTTTTAGGATATGGGTTGTAAAATGTCTTTTGTATACATTTACGTTAATTTTTCTTACAAATCTTAAAGTCAATTGTAAAGAATAACTCAAGTTTATCAACACCTTGGCAGCCAAGCCAAGTTTCATTTTGGTAAAAAAACTACTTACACGAACAACGTCTGTGCTCAGATATCCCGACAAACTTCCAGAACCGTATCTAATGGAAAAATTTTTGCCATTCTTCTCATAGGTGCTGGACTTCGAACTGTCGTATTTGTTGTGTAGTACTAGAAATAAGAATGAAAGTGACGTATGTCTTTATGAAGTAAGAATGACAGTGGTATATTACTCGTGAAGTAAGAATGACAGTGGTATATTACTCGTGAAGTAAGAATGACAGTGGTATATTACTCGTGAAGTAAGAATGACAGTGGTATATTACTCGTGAAGTAAGAATGACAGTAATATATTACTCGTGAAGTAAGAATGACAGTGGTATATTACTCGTGAAGTAAGAATGACAGTGGTATATTACTCGTGAAGTAAGAATGACAGAGGTATATTACTCGTGAAGTAAGAATGACAGAGGTATATTACTCGTGAAGTAAGAATGACAGTGGTATATTACTCGTGAAGTAAGAATGACAGTGGTATATTACTCGTGAAGTAAAATGACAGTGGTATATTACTCGTGAAGTAAAATGACAGTGGTATATTACTCGTGAAGTAAAATGACAGTGGTATATTACTCGTGAAATAAGAATGACAGTGGTATATTACTCGTGAAGTAAGAATGACAGTGGTATATTACTCGTGAAGTAAGAATGACAGTGGTATATTACTCGTGAAGTAAGAATGACAGTGGTATATTACTCGTGAAGTAAGAATGACAGTAATATATTACTCGTGAAGTAAGAATGACAGTGGTATATTACTCGTGAAGTAAGAATGACAGAGGTATATTACTCGTGAAGTAAGAATGACAGTGGTATATTACTCGTGAAGTAAGAATGACAGTGGTATATTACTCGTGAAGTAAGAATGACAGTGGTATATTACTCGTGAAGTAAGAATGACAGTGGTATATTACTCGTGAATTAAGAATGACAGTGGTATATTACTCGTGAAGTAAGAATGACAGTGGTATATTACTCGTGAAGTAAGAATGACAGTCGTATATTACTCGTGAAGACTGATCAACCTTATCAAAACCATGACATCATAACAGACTAAATTACGTATCTAGCAAATGAACATTACTCAGAAGATCTTAAAACTCTATGGAGGTACTTACAACAAGCAACGTTGATCCAACTGCAGTGTTTTGAAGGAACCCAAAGATTTGACGATCCCGTATCAAAAACAACATTAAAATCCTGAGGTGGTGTTCCAATAGTGATTGGACCATAATATTGTGCATCCAGGTAGTTATTAAGTTGTTCATCAGGAAAGCCAAGCTCGTTATTGGTGTATTTTGTATTTGATTCGGGAATTGGAACATTTATCTCTTTTAACTGAGAGCGGATGGTGGGAATCTTTGTCAAAGGAATTCTATTGAAATAACAAAGCTCTGTATAATGAGTAAAATTACTTGTTCTGTTTATTTATTAAATGCACAAAAATTGTGTTTTTACGATGCTATGGTTAAAACAATATATGAGCTGCAATGAAGAGCTATGTAATCATTCTTACATGAAGTAATGAATAATCATGTACCCGATTTATGCGTACACGCGTAAAAATTGATCAGGTTGTTGCAACATTGTTCGTTATGCAACGTATGATCAGCATTGTTATCATGATTCAGCAACATTGTTAAATTATCAATCGTTAACAATATTGATCCAACAATATTTAACGATTGCTAAACGAACCTTGTTGCAACATGTTGGAATAATATGTGAGCATGGTTGATAGAACAAACCTGTTTGCTGTTTTGGAACAATATTGTTCCAGCCTTGTTTATTGAACAATCGTCGACATTATTGTCACAACAAGCAAAAACAACAGTGATAAAAGAGCAAGTGTTTTCCATTGCACGAACAATTAATAACAATATTAATAACAGCATGGTCAAATGATGTTAAATGAAAAACATTTGATAGGTCAAGTACATGAAAAAGCAACCAATCAAAATCCTATAAACTTTTCAAACAAGAAGCGGGAAACTTTATTGATACAAAAAATACAAAGTGACGCAAACAAAACTGTCACAAGGCACTTAAATTTTCTACGGCGAGATAAACAAAACGCAATTATTTGCAATGATGTTTTTGCTATTTGATCAACATCATGTTTGTAAATGTAGATCGTCCAGGTTGGTACAGTCCTGAGGACTGTTTTTGTTGTTGTTGACTGACGTTTCGACAACCTTAGCGGTAGTCATCTTCAGAGTCAAATGAGGAGTAAACTTCAGGCTAGTCGTATTTGTTATCTGGTTCTTACGTCATTGTATTGTGTGTACAGAAAATGTGTGGTGTAAATTGTTATGAAAATGAAAGACGAGCTTGCCGAAAACGAAATGACAAGTGTGAAGTTAATTTTGTAAATAATTTAACAATGTTGCTGAGTCACGATAACAACGCTGATCAATTTTTACGCATGTACATGAATGGTATGTAATCGTGTACCTTATTCTTACATGAAGTGTTAGACACTCATGTACTTCATTCATGCACAAAGTGGTAAGCAATCATGACTTATTCGTACTTAATCGAACTCAGTAAATTAGTAAAGTAAATAGTAAATTTTTCAAACGACGATTCTACATCAAACTCGTGCGCAGCTCGTAAATAAATATGTAGATGGTAGTTCAACCTTCTAATTTTATAAAAAAATAATGTTATTCAGAAATGTCTTAAATTACTATTTTCGTGTGTCACCATCGTGAGACATGGCCTCGAAAAAAATCACGAAAATATAATCGCCAAAAATTAAGTTCAAATAAAGCCCCCTTCACACGACATAAAGGAAGGTTTGAGTTTCACTCAGGTTAAATATGGTTTAGTACTGTATATATGAAAAAAAATTAACCTGGATTAAACCCGGGTTCGTTAATGTCGTGTGAGTAGGCGTATGGTTACTATTTTGCAGCATTTGAAGACTTGTTGAATACAACTTGGTTTTAGATTGTAAATATATAATAGAATCTCTAGTTAGTGTGATTACAATTAAACTTTGCTCAATTCTCACAGTGTTTATTATGACGTGCAACATAATTCTTGCCCAACACCCTCCCCACCCCCCACCACCACCCAAAAGAAAATGTTAGCCATATTCTACATGTATTATATTTATTAAACAACAGTTATGGCCCCCTTTGCTTCTGTCTGCCTACTCTTGACAGAAAATCATGGCTGCTCCACTGAGTGTTCAATCCATGTACCCTTTCATTTACAGGGATGGATTTACTGTAAATAAAGTGCTCACCTTTTCTTAGCCTAAGCCAGGAGTGTAGAAAAGGGTGTCAGTTTTCTCACAAAATATTAATTATAGAAGTAATAATAACCTGTTAAGCTAAAGCAATTGTGAATTTTGTTTAATGAAGCAAACTTAAAAAAATATCATGGCATAAGAGCAACAGCATTCACAAAAAATCCCCGACATGGCATGGCACTGCCCACAAAAGAGTCCCCGAAATATAATCCAACTTGAGCAGCCCCATAAAATATCATGTTGAGCTATTCTCTGTCATATTTTGTATAAATATTGTCATGTATTATTAACCTGAATGTTTTCTCACAAAAATTGACTTATTTCTCCATATTTTTACAAAAACCCAGCTGCATAGGATTGACACACTTATCTGCTATTCATTAGCAGTCATTGACTAAAACTAGGCCTTATTCAGGTACTTTTGTTCACTACACATGCAATAACCATAACAATAATCTAAACGGCTCTAGACTGTGTATATACACAAGTCTTGGTCTGCTTTATAGTTATGCTATATACAACAGAAGTAGCTCTCAAGATCAAAAACAAAACAATCTGATAATGGTTGAAATGAAACTTAACATGATGTTGACATGATGCAGAAAGGGCAAAGGAATATGTAAGTATTAATAGAGTTTACAATTTCTTTTAATGACCCACAAAGATAATTTATGAAACAGCAAGGTTCAAGAAGCATTATCGGACAATTTCCATACAACAACCTATTCCTGATGCTTTTAAATGCCAGCATGCCAAATGTTGTCAGAGCAACATTTACATGGCTTGTGTAAGGGCAACTTTCCCATCCCACGTGTGACATTTACACTGTGTTTTGTAGTTATTATTGGCTCAAAGCATAGACAATAATTAAGATCTTAGAAACTATTGAATATTTATTGTGTAATAGAGTGATTTTATTAAAAAAATGCTGTCAAAGATTTCCATTGTTCTTGTCACAGTTGCACAAAGGCAAATGTTCAGCATCCGGTGTGTCACCTGAAAAATTACTGTTTCCCAAAGTCTTTCTGACCAATGCCACATTGGGTGAACATCAATATGGGAAAGTTATGAAAATACATGTAATACGACATCTAACAATCCTAATTTGAACAAAAACATTAAGATAATCTGAGACATCAAGATGGAGGTTTTAAAATGTTTCCATGCAAATTAATTTCAGACAATTGCCTGAAACCAGGCTGACATGTTATATGCATCTCTTTACAAAACCCACAGTATTGATGGTCATATTTCCTCGATTTTCATGTTTATAAAACTACAATGTGATCTTTTAACAACTAACACCTGGTTTTGATCAATGACAAGCAAGATAATAGAGCTCTGTAGCACACCACAGTCAATAATGAGGTTACATAGTAACCAAGGTTAATATCAGAGGTACCAGCGACGGCCTGGGACCAAATGACGTAGGAAGGTATATAAGTAACTAAGTGTAAATAAGCTGACCATTATTCAACACATTCGTATGAAGAACATCCAGAAAATTTTTTTTCCATCGAAATGGTTTTCAATGTGATAGGTGCAAGTATGTGGTGGTCAGGTCCTGAATGCAAGTTGTTCTATTCGGGACCTGGACTCCAAGCAACCCAAAACATGTGCCAGGTTGCTCAAGCTTGCACCTAACCATCCATGTGGTAAGTATGGTAATAATAAATATTAACAGAAGATCATACAACTAGTGCAAGGACAACTAAACACGCGTTCTTTTCATTTATTCAATGCTATTTATAAGTGAGCTCTTTACAAACTGAAAGTGATTGGGGCTTGTAACCATGCACTGCCATTAATTATAATTCGGAGCTTTCTGTTAGAGTCTTTGAAATTCCCAATATTCTATCAAAATATTTCGTCAGAAATATGCTGGGAAGAACGTGAAAAAATTTAAAACATGTGTCGTTCATGAAGCTCATTTTACTTTTCAAAGATAAGTGAACTGCACAATAACCTTGGACTACGTTCTTCTGCGTGTCTTTACAGAAAAAAAAAACGATAGAAAAGTCGATAATTAAAGTAAAGTCTGAGTCTGGTTATAGTCTCTTTGTGATTGATGCCGTATTTCGTTCACATAATTCGGCGGAATCGCTGGTTGTGTATACTTTAGGGAAACAATCATTAGACTCATTAAGAAATATCTATTTAATATACTCGATATAAATTTCCAGTGTAAGGAATAAAGCACAAATATATAATACATCTCTCAGAAAGAAAGCACGTTTACTCAATGTAAAATTCAACACTTACCTATGCAATTGTGACGAGTAAACAGATGTTACAAAAAGAATGAAAAACAAAGTTCCAACTTCCATGACTTTATCTTTCAATACTACAAATCTAAGCAAATTTACGAAAGATTATTGCCAAGGCAAAGACAATCCAGAGCAAACATTCAACGTTCGCACTAGAACCTCCTGCTCACCACTCACGTATAAGTCACAAGACAAGAAGTAGAGTTGCGAAACAGACGTCATAGAAGGGGAATTCACACTCGGAGAGCAAAGTAGGCGCATTCGGAAACTTCTTACGAAGATGATTTCCGACACCCGAGGTTTATTTTTCGTATTGCGTGGATTCTGCGTGATAATTTTGCGTGTAAAGCATTAATTCGCGGAAATTTAAAACTTATCGCGGGAAAATGGAAATAATTTAAAATTGTAAACAGTCTCTGCATATTGCACATCACCACACAATACAAACGAAGTTAAATTTCTGTTTATGTTTCCGCTGGTAAACTGTTCTTATAAGAACAAGAACATTTTTATACATATGGAAAGCATTGACATTTCAGCAGCGACTTCTTTATTTAAAATCAAACTGTCTGAACGCTCTGAACTTGTGCAAAATGTAGAGGAATCTCAAAGTCTCCTTAGAGAGTACGAGTTGGCAAGCACAACTAATTTTTGTGGAAATGAAGCAAAAAAAGGATTTGGGAACACAGGTTTGTCTTTTTTTTCTCAAAAATATCTAATCTACATTGATCTATATGCTTTCCTTATTTCTGTTGTCCAGATCAAATTGTTATATGAAACCTGAATGTTGTCATATTCTTTAATATAAGAAGTACTGTAATAATGTCCATGCACATTTGAGTCTTACTATCCTCAGTCTGTCGTTGTGTGTCGAACGAGGAAGGAATAGGGAAACTACACTCATCGCAAAAAAGGTGAAAACCAACTCATAGGTAGTACTTTAGTCTAAAAAAGAGCAAGAGGCACAGCACAGTTTTTCGTTAAAAAGGGTTTCGTTTAATGTATACAGAATACAACCACGTAAATCACACAGTAATGTTGAATATAATGGTCCAATTTGAACGAAATGAAATCACTTATTCTATTTTTAATCGAAAATAAATATATATTATACTACAATATACTGCGATTACCTTTAAGTTTGGTTTGATCAATAGTCTGTTCAAATACCACGACCACTTGTCTATCTGTTGTTTTTATTAAATTATATGCAGCGATATTCATCGCTCACAAACACGCACAATCCACGCATTACGAAAAATAAACCTCGGATGTCGGAAATCATCTTCGTAAGAAGTTTCCGAATGCGCCTACTTTTGCTAGATGTCCGAGTGTGAATTCCCATAGAAGGCAGTGTTTCCACACAGTTTTTCCATCTGCAAAAAGTACGTGTGTAAATGTGGGTGGGCAGCCGCTCAAGTATATGGCCAAATATGGCCACAAAATAAAAAATAAGTGAAATGATACTATGGTTCCAATGTTATTAACCTCACACTTTAAAAATGTCGCAGATTTCAAAATTGTGGACTGTTCTCAATGTTCAGTCATTGGATCAGTGATCAGGCAATGGAGCTGTTGATCGTTTTTAAAAGTTCCAGGCATAGCTAAACGTTCAAACCACCCAAATATTGTAGTTCCATGTTAAATGCACACACTTACAGGATTTTGTAAACACTGAAGAATTTACGAAAGAGAAAATGTGCTTTTAGAAGCATTTTTCATGCCATGAAAATACACACACAAAAATAGTGGCTCAGTGTCAGTGGCGTAGCTAGAAGTCATGCTGAGCACGACCAAACATTTTCAAACTAAGGTTTTTAACCCATTGTTTTTAATGTTAACAGATATTAGCGAAAACAAAATCCCATTCTCCATTATTCGCATTTTGAAGCATGTACTTTATATTACTTAAACTATATTATGTCTCTGCCCGACATCTGCCCTCATCATTGCCTAAAAGCACATGGAACGGCATTCGCCCGTTTTTGGTCGTGCTCTACTCAGGCCGGCACGACCAAATCATATATTGCTAAGAGCTGATTGGCTAGAAAACTTCACTGCCTGTTAAAATGGGTATTGTCTGCCTTAGTTTGGTCGTGCTTTGATTAGGCGAGAACGACCAAAACATAAATTAATAATAATATATAAGGCTGCATTGAGTCGTACGCATGTTCATTCGCCAAATATTTTCCTTTGGTCGTGCCCAACTTTATTCGCACGAGTATTTCGAATATTGTCGAATTATTCATCGTTTTAGTGTGTTATTGGATTGTGTGTGAACATGGAACTCAATCAAGGACAGTCAAACGTCGCGTCTGAAGCTCAAAGAGTCAGAGATATCGTTTCTGAGCTTGTACGAAGGATTGTCAGTTCACGCAACGCTATAGAGTAAAAATATTTTGTTTGTATGCCACGACCAATCCCTACGCTCATACTGAAAACGAGAGATAAGGGGTTCTGACAATCTTGGTGCGAAAGGAAAGATTGGCTGTGCGTTATTGTGGGAAACAGCGTTGATTTTGTTGCCTTTATTTACTGTTTCGTTCAAAGTCCACTACATTGACTCAAATGAATTGTGTCAACATGCATAATTTACTGGGGGATTGCCAAAATCATGAAATATCAAAGTCGCACATTGAAGCGTACATAACCGGAGGCACAGACAACTTATGTTGCTACCAACTGTACAGGAACTTCATGTTTGTTTTCTCTATAGCTCGACCAGTTGCTTTTGTCTAGCTACGCCACTGCTCAGTGTGATTATGAAAAGTGCAAGGTCTTTGCAAAAAAAGTTTTAAAAAAGCTATTTTATTGATTTAAATGCATTAAAATCAAAAAATTTTTAAATATGTAACACTTACTTCTTGTGTTGTCTGTGTAAAGCATAAAATGAGAGGAAAGAAAATAAACATGCGCATTTTATACAACAGGCTAGTTATTTTGGTGTGTATTGTTAAAAGAAAAAAATAAATAAACCATGAAAATTGTAAGTCATCAGACAAAATATATCACGGGAACATTTGTAGGGCGTAAAAGGACGTGAATCAGTGAAGTATACACTTTCATAAATTGCTTTAACAAATACTAATTTGTCTATTTTTAAGATTCAAAATAAGTAAGCTTTAACGAACTAACAGTTGGAGATTGGAAGTAGAATGAGAAGAAGATAGTACAGAAATATTGTCAGGAGAGGAGATATATCCTCTTTCGTGACAATGTCAAGTATCTATAAACATTGTCGTCATCGACGACAGGTATCTGTAACCCATTGCTTAGCAACTGGGTGGTAGAGCTATTTGCCCAGGATAATGTAAGCAGACTCATGTGACATAAAATCCAATGGATGGCATTTGACAAATGCAGAATATTTAAGGAAAATACTAAGTCATTCTACTGATAAGTGAGCACAAAGCACTTTTTTTAATTTTGAACATGTTTGCTGACAATATTATGTAATATGTAATGTTATTTGAATTACGTTCATTAATCTAATTCATTTGATGGTCACATGCTGGATAAAAGGCTATCCACATGTACGAAACGTACCTATTTTTATGTTTTCTAAATATTTACACAAAATGTAATATAATTAATACAAACAATGTACAATTCAAATTTTATAATTGAAAATCTTATTGAAATGCAAAGAAATACCAGTACTACGATAAAAAATTGAATATAAGTCAAAACGAAACATATTACGCTTTTCTATGATTCCATCCATGTAAAACCAATTAATATACTTAAGTAAAGTGCTGTATGACGTGCTGCATTGCCTCTATGACGTCTGCTCTGTGACGTCTGACTCATTGCCTGTATGCTGTAAAGTGCTGCATTGCCTCTATGACGTCTTCTTATTAAAACTAAATCACACTTATCATGAATGACGACGCTCTCATCGACCAATACCACCTCGGTCGATTCACATCGTTAGGGGCTGTTTATATGAGCCCGGGTAGCCGGGATTCAGCGAAGTGTTAAATGATTTTGGCAAATGGAAACGATTCAATACTTATCATCAGATAAATCTTCTTCAGCAATTTCAAAATATTAAAATTTTATAAATACGCAAGCATCTAAAATTTTAGTATTACCATTGGAATAACTTGTGGCACTTTACGAACAGTTGTAATCTTTCCGCTGAAAAATTTGCCTCCTTTCAATAACTCAAAATCCTCTCACGTCTCACTGAATTCCGGTTGGATGGGATCATGTAAACAGCCACTTAGAGGTTGCATCCTGCCAGTCCTGCTATATCAAATGAGTGACTATGATGTCATTAGTCTGCTAACATTGCTGAATAGATATTTCATATATCGATATCAAGATATAACATAATTTACATTGCTTCCAGTGAAAAAAGGAGGCTTTATCAATCTATTTTATAATATAGTCAATGCCCACGCGCAGTTGCTACCACAAATAGTAGAGTGCATGATTACACGTTATTTCCAGTTAGAGTGAGTAATATGGTGATCAATATGACAAAACCTATTCAACTCAAATCGTTTTTCCAATTACATTTTAGTGCATGTTTTAGGAAAACAGTCAAAACACAACTAATTGATGTAAGCTTCAGAGGTGTAAAGGTCAAAACTTTACGTCCTGTTAAAGTGATCATGAGAGATTGGCCTGCGATTGGGTGCACAGCTCAATATGGGAAGAGTTCGTCAGCTCGAGGGTTTTCTCTGGGAACTCTGGTTTTCTCCCGTTGGGAAAAGTTGTCAAGAGATGGATCAATATCGGAGTTAGGCCAAACAGCTAAACAAGCTGATGATGTCATCCTGCGTAAAAAAATTGAGAGTGAAAACAAGTTTCGTAAAAATCAACACATTCAGGTGTGAAACATTGATACGATGAAATCTTATTCTTACGATTCATATTTCATTACTACACTTACGTTGTCCACCTATCATACTACGAAACAATGTCCTACTGTGTAGAATAAATAATAATATTGTGATGCACATAAGTATCCCTTTGAGTCTAGGAGACAAATACTGACGTTGGTCATTGTGCTCAAAGAAACACATTTGGGTAATATTTATTCATCGCTAAGGTATGGAAATTTATTTTAATCGATGCGCTAATGAATGGCTTTTTACTCGAATTTCTTGCAATAATCGACCACAATCATCGACCACCATTTGAAATTGAAGACTCCTGTTAATCTGTTACTATGCTTGACATTTTAGATAGTGCATGCTAAAAATATGACTATATTAATTTGATCGTAGTTCGTAACTTGGTAGCTCACAATATCAGCACCATCAGCGCCTTCTATTTTCAATACGTAATAATTAGCATGTATAAAAATGTACTGCAAAGTGAATAATGTTATTGTTAAAATGCGTTTGGAAGCAAAAGGATTAAAGCAAGCGCAGCCTATCTTAATTATAATGCTAAATCAGTTTTTTGAATGAAAAACCATTTAAATAACTGGTAAACATCAGTCCAAAGTCTTGTTTTATCAAAAACGTATGTGCAATATCAAATGACGTCTTAGTGAAGGGGAGGACAAAAAATTTTTATATCATTATGCACTACATAATCGACGCAAAGTGAATTACAGGGTTTATCGAAAAATTGGAATAATTCGGAAAACGTCGTTAAAACCACCAACGCGCAAAATTTGCGAAATATTATCGTGGAAATATTAGCAAACGCAAAAAATCCAAAATGACATTATTGCCGTATCATTTTCATAAGGTATTTTAAAAGTGCTTCGCGGCAACACAATTCTCATTATAAAAATTGTTATTATACGAGACAATTTTGCTGTCAGATCGGCGATTAGAAGTTGAACTATTTATTTTCACAGAAATCGTTTTCAAATTTTGCAGGCTGATGAAATTAGCGACGCTTTTCCAACTCTTGCATGATTTTATGCTCACTGTGTATACTGTAGACAATACTGCTTTGACATCATTCTGTCTGAGGATGACTTTGAAATAAAGTCGAAAATTTATAGTTCACTTCTCGTCTTGTTTTGATGCATATTTTGCAATCCCAAGATGTCTTACTTCTTCGGAATTTGTTTTATACTTTATACTGCTTTGAGTTGGGCTTATGCATGCAATCTTTTTAAGAATAGTCTCATATTCTCATTGATCGATAAAAATAGAAGAAGCATTGTTGAAAGATATGTACTTGATGTCATTGAATGATCGATGAGAGCAAAATGTGATGATTTGCAATGGGAGTGCATAAAATTCTAAAAAAACATGGATTTGAAAATGCAGTATAGTGAAAACGCGGACTTCCATGTTTAATCTTTAAACTTGCCAGTATCGGCGTTTGGCAAAAATCACAGCTTGAAATGTGTACAAACTTTTCAAAAAGTTTGCAAAGTAAAATTTTAAATGTTGGAGGTAGAACAAAAATTTCTTCACAGTTGGCAATTGTGTGCATGAACGAGGTTTCACAGTCAGAACAAGCAGTCATTCTACTCCAGTCTATGCCAAGTACTTTATTGTATCTAAACACGATTTGACGTAAATATGTGCAGTTTTTATTTACGGTTCCTTTAAGTAATATCTTTATCACATACGCCTGAAGGCAGGATTAGCGCAATTACATATTTTAATACCAGTTAAGTGTTGTTTATAAAATATGAGAGAAAAAGATTTTATATAATTCATTCAATAAAATATGAGAGAAAAAGATTTTATATAATTCATTCAAATTAAGCTACGAGTTTCTTTCATTATATTTTCTTTTGTAGAAGTAGTCATACAATTCATTTATTTTTATATCGGCTTTTTGTTAATCAGGATGCACCTCCAAACGTTTCATATAAAAAAGGGCTTTGACCAGTGTCCGTCAAGGGACTCCTATTGGTAAATCAAATATACCAAAGAAATTAGCATGCAAACAGTTGAGGCAGTAGGGTGGCCCACAAGGGCAACGTCAATTTCAAATCATCACACCAAATTCAAATTCATTACTTATCATCATGCATAGTCATCATGCCCGCGCATGACCTCAGCGGCTTTGTTTAAGAACACTCTTACTTCATGTCACGATGCAAATTTGATGCGAAAAACGTGGCAAAAATACACAAATCATAAACAAAAGACGCGTATTTCATTTGGCGACCATCATGTTTAGCAGTCAATGCGGCCATTGCTTAAATGCTCACGTTGATTGCAGGTTTTTCCCAATTGTGGAAAAGGTAAACTTGTACAGAAACTATTGATAAACTTAGTCTTTCACAGTTTTAGATACGAATATTGATGAGATTTAAATTGACGGAAAAATATTGGGTGATGAGTCCTATAAATATCAGTGCAATTGTTATAATGCTACTATGTCTTTAACTGCATGCGAATGACATTCTGAGAATGGAATTTACTACTTCATTACTAGCATGAACTATGTGGCTTTGATAATGACATATTTCAACTTCTTCCATTTGACTGATCAAACAAAACTTCTGATTATTATAGCATGAGTATGTGAATGTGAGATTATTTTAAATTTGTTTTCCTATTATTCTGTATTCTCCAGCTCAATCTAATGTAGATGTATTTGGTCAAACCACCAAATCTGAGCAGATAAAATCAGGTGAACTGAGATAATTTTTGATTTTGAAGTTTAAACTAACTAAATGAATACAAAACCTCATTTTTATCAGAAAGAAATCAATAAAAACATTTAATGATTACCAAAGAACTAAAGGGTCTCAATAGAAATCTACTGTTTCAAAGGGAAGGGATAAAGGGGAAAACCTCTGGCAAGACTGTTAAAATGTCTATAGGTCTGTTTGAATTCAATAAAAAAGAAAAAAGCTCAAAACCAGAACGTGGAAAACGAATGGCACTGGATGTGTCACATGAAGCATCTTACAAAGAAATGGTGAAAAATGCAACAACAAAGTGGAAAGCATTTCATAGCAATCTCTACGATGATGAAGAAGAATACATGCTCCTTTTTGAAGTTGGAAAAGAAGCTCTTTTCTTCCTGGATCAAAAAAGCAGTTTTTTACTTTAGAACAATACAAAGAAGAACTAGGTTGTATTTATGCACAAAACCTGATTTTATTTCACGGGAAGAGGAAGGTTGTAAAAAAAAGCCTCTAAATCCAGGAAGAGATTTCGAAGCGAGTCATCTAGATCTGATGATGAAGATGATGTATTTTTCAATGAAAATCTTCATTTCTGTGAAGATTTCTCACAAGTTAATTCTCAAGTTTTACTGATTCTTGATACAAAGAGGAAATTGCATGGAATGATACCAACCCCGCTAAAACTGGTCAGTATGCTGATGATGATAAAGAAGTGGATGAAAGCACTCATTCCATAATGGTAAATCTGACACCTTCAGGTATCTTAGGCTGGCTTACAGGCCAGACACATCGGTCATTAAATGGTGATGTTTTAAAAATAACTGTCAGATTTGATCATGATTGCCTATCAAGGAATCCTTATCATACTACCTGCTTTCGTATTTTTGAAGCTTGTGGATGTACCATAACAACCCCTGTTGCACACATGAGCAAAACTGGTGATTTTCGGCATCTTTTTTTGCTAGCAATATGTAAGGGTGGTGTTTTTGCAACTCCTTAATTTTACAAAACTAAGTTGTAAACAAGAGAATCATCTGAAACTGTATAATTAACACAGACTATAAGAGTATGGTTTAGTTTACATAACACATTAGTTGATGTTGGTTTTAATTCACAGCAAATTTTTGGCTGTTACTTTAAAATATCGTAAATTTTATAAGATGTCAGCACAGTTATTCAGATATAGTAAACAGAAAATTATATACAATGTTTTTATCAGAAAGATTCCAAAAACTTTAGATTTACTGATGTTAAATAACCATGTTAACTTAACAATTAAAATAAAATTTTTGTAAAATGAAATGCTCAATTTCAGCTTTTTTGTAATAACAGTCGTTTTGCAATATTCTGTCATCAAATGCAGACTGGAAAAGAAAATCCGTTCAAACAGGTATAAAATCAATGGTCTTTTGCTGTGTAAATTAATTCGTTGTAAAGAATCAAGGCTTGTCTCCAGTCTAAAGGCAGCTCTAAGCCTGCTTCATCCATGACATGTACAAAGTACTCTTCGTATTCGCTTTTGTTTTCATCAAGATAATTAGTCTGTATAACCTGCTCACACTTTTAATGACTTACAGGTTGAAGAAAATCTTCTGAATTATGCCTCTCAGGAAGGTAATATAATTCATTCGGCCTTCCTGGTATGGTGTCAAACCATGATCTTCTTATATAATGTGTATTCCAATGATCTTTTACATGATTCAAGTCTTGTTGAATGAGACTTGAAAAACAAAACCATAGGCATTCCATTTCCAGTTCATTTTCAGATGAAACAACTTCCTGATCCATCAAGTCTTTAAAAAAGTTGATCCACCAGTTTGCTCCGCTTCTTCTAAAGTAAGGCCACCACCTTTCAATTCTTTGATTGTGTTGAGATGTACCATACACATGAGACAGGTCATCATTTGTAAAGTAACATTGTGCAGCTGTAACAAGGCCATTTTCGGTTCTCAGGTCAGCTCGTACCTTTTTAGGGCACCCATGGCAGGACATGACTAAGTTTAAGAAAAGTTTAAGTTTCGCTTGTGGATTATTGTTTGACTTAGTCAAATGCAGCCATAACATTTTACGACTGAAACCATAATGGGGAAACCAAACGGTTTCAGTTTGTCATATTCATCCAAGTGCCAACAAAAATTTGAACCCGGATTTACATAAACTCTCTGCCTTAAACGATGAGCTCGTTTTGTTTCACAACCCTCAGTATCTAATTCTTTTAACAACTTTTTTCCTCTGTATCATATATCCTTCCCTGCTAAGAATATGCCACATTCCCATACACCCACTTATAAAACCTGGTCTACTAAGTTCGCGCATAATTCTTTCTCTTACTTTCAACTCATTGTATTTCCTCAATTTTCGAGAGAGTCCAAATGTTTTCAAGCGGTTCTTCAAAGTTCGAACACAAATATGGACGTCATGAAATTTCGCCAAAAAATTCTGTTATCGTGTCGTATTTATAGCCTTGTTTAAAGTAATACTTGATTGCTACAACCTCACAACACAATTTAATTCCGCACTGACTACAAAATTTATCCCGAAGTGCGACTTGAGCATCGCAAGAATGACAATTTGCCATTTTGAAATCAACAAGAGATTTAACTTAACAATAAAATAACAAGCAACATAAAGTACTGATCACATATGGGCCTAGCACGAATCGAAATTTTGAATTTGGCGTGATTAATTTGAATTTGGTGTGATGAATTTCAATTTAGTGTGATGAATTAGAATTTAGTGTGATGAATTTAATTTCAGTGTAATGATTTGAGATCGACGTTGCCGTTGCGGGCCACCGTAAGGCAGAGTTGCTACTTGCTGTATATATGAAGGCAATATTTGTGTTGAATTATGTTAAGATGACCGTTGCTAAATGTGGAAATCTGACCTTTGACGATGTTTAATTCCCACCCACGCAATGGGACTGTTCTTAGTACGTGTTGTAGTTTTTATGGAATCGCACGTATATATTCCTTACAACACTATGTTTTAATTGGGGTTTTTGGTCGCAGACAGTAAAATTTACAACATTCAAGTCAAGATAAGCTTGTCAATATAAAACGAAAGTAATATTGCATCCTAACATACCATAAATCGACGTTAAAAACAGTTATTCTGAATCAAGAAATGCATTATATTTGCAATAGTATAGATATCTTATTTAAATCAACATGTGAGTGCGTACCAGCATCTTAGGATATTAAACTCAACATTTTTCTTGCAGATCTTCCACTAGAAGCAAAAATGACTACGTTCAGTGTGGTGGATTATGTTTTATTTGCTTTGATGTTATGTATCAGTGGAGCCATCGGCGTTTACCACGTTATCCGCAACAAGAACGAGGAAGAACAGTCTTTTCTATTAGCAAATCAGAATATTTCGCTTATTCCGATCGCCATTTCACTCTTTGTGACATTTCTCTCCGCTATTGGAATCCTAGGCTTCACAGGCGAAGTCTATACATTTGGGTTTTCCTACATATTATTTTTTTTAGCATACATTTGTGTTTTTTTTATATCCACCTTTCTTTACATACCGGTGTTTTACAAACTGAAAGTTATTAGCACAAATGAGGTAGGTTCTTCAACGATGATAAAGTGCAGTTGATTGATAAAAATTAATCGAAAAGAGGAAAAATATTAACCTAATGGAAGCACTTATTGGTTTTGGAAAAAAGTTTTTTATTTTACATTTTAAATGACATGTTACAATCTTAAAGAATTAAAGTAGCCACACCAAAAAAACCTAGTAGCTATTCTCTCTTCCATCTAAATGTTTCTGCTGCAATTTCTTGGTAGAAATTCGTGTTATTTTTTAATCATTTCTTAATCGTTTTCATTCTATATAGTATCTCGAAAAACGTTTTACACTAGGAGTACGACTCATGGGTTCAATATTGTTTATCATCACATGCGTAAGTAAAAAATTAAAACAGTACGAGATAAAAATTAAAACTGAAACATAAAAGCTTTTGCGAGTGCCAAATATAGTACTTTATTAAAACACAAAACAATTAACCCCGGTAAATAATTTTTCGTTTTACTAGTGTTGTATAATTTAGGATATTTCATTTATATTTTTTATTGCATGCCAGATTTTATAAGTTCCCATGCAGAGTTTTATGTGTGCCAAAATTATAATTAAATTAGGGTGTATATACTTAACACTTCCTAAGTATTTTCTCTCTTAATTAATTCATGTTGTAGTAGTGCACGTAAGTCACGAAATGTAAACATATAAATAGACTCAAATTTGTAATAGTCGGAGAGATTGTGTAGATTGTTCATTGCTAATAAACTCCATAAAACAAACCGAATCAGAGTGCAGATCAATTTTCTGGACGAACTCAGTAAATTCTGCGACAACTAGGTACAATAGCCTTTGTTGTTACGAATTTTTAAAAAACATGTTTTGTACAAACAAATGCAGCCGTAATTGACATAATACGTTTGATCGCGACAAATTGAGCACAGTTTCATTTATTGATGTGCAAATATATGTACATGCTATTTACTGGCTGAGAATTCTATACTGAACCTTAAGGGTAAATAGCGTTTTTTTCCAAATATTTATAACTGAAAAATTTGAGTTGTTAAATGGCCAATATGGCTTGTTGACAATAAAATTAACTTGCTTTTTACAAAGTTCACTTCTTTTGGATGGCAAAATTCTTTGCGGTATAATACATTTCGGTTTCTTCTTAAACAGTTTAAATGGCTCATAAATCAATAATAAAAATTCTAACTTTATTTTGCAAACAAATAAACATTGCAAAAAAATAACACTTCTGGACAACGGTCAAGATATCTTTAAAAGCTGCCCACTGTTGCAGCAATTTACATTTGTAAGCACCTTAGAACAAATCCTTTGCTAAAATTATATTTTTAGAAGTTCAAAACCAACAGTGTCTTCTTAAAAGTATACTTTGAATTTAAAATTGAGGAGTTTTAATGCATTTTGACGAACACTGGTTCCGCTACTGGGATAAATAAATAAAAAAATAAATCTTATCCTTATTTCTATTATAACACATACATACAAACCAAAAAGCTTATGTCACAATTGAAGTTGATTTAATCATGACATGTTTGCATTGGCGTCAATCCTGTGTTAATTGGTGGGGACCACATTCATATATTCTTCTATGCTTGGCTAATTTCTTTTCAAAACATGCTCACTTCCAAAGAAATTAGCCAGGCATAACAAAATTTATGAATATGGTCCCCCATTATCGCAGGATTGACGCCTATGCATGTTTGGCGAAATAAACACATTCCTAGCACTCCTTTGTAAACAAATACTGATTTATTTACATGCTCATTGCTATCATTATTGCAAAATTAAACAGTATTTCAAATGTTCGATTAAAGATAGTTTGACTTAAATGTATACCTTAATTTTTTTAATCTTGAAATCAGGAATTTAAGTGCCATTTGATAACAAAGTTTTTTCAGGCTTAAGTCACAGTCCTTTGAACAGTACACCTTTACAAATGTATTAATAACTTTTGCTTATATAATCACAGAAGTAGCTACTTATGCAAAAGTTTTAACATGCAATTAATATTAACTACTGTTCATATACTAATTTTTCAGATCACTAAATTCAAAATACTAGATTCAATCTCTCGAAGAAATATATGTATCAATTTCTAAGCAAATCAATGCAATCTTGTGTTCAGCAAATCTCGTGTCAAAAAAGTGCGCAAGCTTTTCTAAACTATGATTGCAACCAATAGCCATCCTGAGAATAATGTTTGGTGGGAGGAGAATGAGGGGGTTATTGATGCATTCAGTCGTGTCCTAATGATTTCTATTAAAATAAATTGCTTGATTCCTTTAGTAAACTGGTTTTTAAAGAACTCAGTGTGGTGAAGGTTTTTCAAAAAGTTCTTCTTTTTGAGTTGCACCTGTACTTTTATTATTATTTATTTTTAAGTTGAAGTGACTTTCATTAATATTTACACATGCATTCAAAACAATTTTTTCATAATTATATGAATGCGGCTTATGTAGAAAAAGTGAGAACACTATAGAAACAATTGAAGTTAATTTAATCAATTCAGTCAATTTATTTCTTCTCTCAGACTTTCTACCTTGCAATTGGTTTATTTGCACCAGCCCTAGCTATGGATGCAGGTATACTTGTGAAAGATAATCAAGTCTTTTGCAGATAAAACACTGATTGGGCCCTCTCTTCTTTCAGTTTCAGATCTGCCGATAGTCGTGTCTGTTGTTATAACTGGTTTTGTATGCATTTTTTATACAAGTTTGGTAAGAGTGAATAATATCACCCAATTTATTCCGAAATGAGTCGAAAAGTTGGTGCTAAATGTATTGAAGTCTTGTGCGAATACCTACTAAAGTAGAAGTAGAATTTCACTGTTGATCACGGAAAGCTGCTGATGTGGATTTATTCACTTCATAGGGGGGCTTCAGAGCAGTTGTTTGGGCTGATGTATTTCAAGGCTTTGTTATCGTCGTTGGGATGATTGCAATATTTATAACTGGACTACTGGAAGTGGGTGGATTTAGAAATGTTTGGCGGATCAACAAAGAAATGAAACGGCTAGAAGTGTTTAAGTAAGAAGTTGGAAAATTTAAAGGCAGTAATTGCTAACTTTTGTAAAATTGTATACCTTTCCACATATCAAACGCAGTAACAGCATAATTAGGTTTTGGGTCTTTAGCATATCTCCACATTCTCACTTTGCTAAAAATTTGAACTTTTTGATGCATGAAATCAACTGAAGCAATGCATGTATCTTTTTATCACACGCCTCAGAATCGTATACTGATTTTTAAGTGTTAACAAGTCTAAAATTAATTATATCAATTAATAAAGGGTTTTGCTTAGTTTTACAACAAATCAAAAGTAAAGTAAGCCGTTTATTATCCCTGCTATGCAAATTACTTTGTGTTCAATCAATGGAAAAACAATGAATAGAATTAATTTTCAACACAAGAGCATTTAAGGACCTGTTTACATGAATCCGGCAAACCGAGTTTTAGTGAGATGTGACATCATTTCGCTGTATTGAAATGAGTCAAAACTTCAAGCCTAAAAATTACAACTGTTTATTAAGCGCCACAAGTCATTCCTGTTGTAATTTTCAAATTAGGCCAAATTGGTTGTTGTAATTTTAAAAGTTTTGTGTAGTTATCAAACCAGAATATGGTGAAATTGCCAGAGAAGATTTATCTGATGATGAGTATTGAACGTTTCCATTTACCAAAATTATTTAACGCTTGACTGAATCCCGGCTACCCGGGCTCATGTAATCAGCCCCTAAATCAAGTTGTGACAAATGTATATATATAAACATCGTGTTTTGCATTCCTTTCATTATTCAGTTTTGATCCAGATCCCACAACTCGCACGACATTTTGGACATTGTTTGTGGGAGGAACTTTTACTTTACTTTTCCCGTGGTCCGTGAGTCAGCTATCAGTACAAAGATTTTGGCCTCAAAATCTTTAAAATGTGCTAAACAGTAAGTGAGAATTTCTTATCATGTCACGACATATACGGAATAGACTTGCCTTTTTAAAGATTTTTTTCTGGCACACAGCATTTATTAATACTCGCAATCCCATGATATATAATACGCTTGTAACATTGTCATTATTGGGGTACCTATTCATTGGTTGACTCATTTTGACATTGAAACTTGATATTATTATGGTAACCGAAAATGTATGAAAAACTGAGAAAGAATCTTATTCGCAAAATTGTCTTTATTACCTGATGACCTAAACAGCTAATCATTTCATAGAGCAATGTTTATATGTACTGCTGCCACAGTGATTTTCACCGCTTTTTGCTGTATCGATGGTCTTATTATTTTCGCTGTTTACCACAACTGTGATCCAGCAAGAAACAAACAGATAGCAACAAATGATCAGGTACGTTATACATACCAATTGAAATTAATTATGAGCTGTTTTATTTAAAATATTGAATGTTACTGAACGTAGAAGAGGCCGTAACTTTATCAGTACATTCGTGACCACTAAATAAACTTAGGGATACCGTAATCTGTTTTTTGATAAATTAATCAATTTCAAAGTGCACGACGTTAAAGTACGAAAACTTATGCTTTTTGTAGATTTTACCGTACTTCGTTGTCGATAAGCTGGGACATCTTACCGGTGTACCTGGGCTGTTTATTTCAGCAATTTTTAGTGGAGCATTAAGGTAAATCTTTTGATATAGTCAAGGAATAAAATAACATGTTGTTCCGCTCCTTTCCCAATCAAGTGTATATTGTTAGGAAACTATTGATGTAATTGCTTTTTCTCTTGTCAGACAGTATTGCACTTCAACATATAATATGCTCGTCACGACTTATGCTAAGCATTTTTTAAATATACGCAAGTAAAAATGCTTAGAAGCGTATTACAACGTTTTTGCTTCAGTCAAACTAGTATAAAAACTCAACCTGATGTAAAAATTATCTTCGAAAGTGGCTCTTTGAGATACATCTTAAGAGGATTTCTTGTTACGTGGACTTAAATGTTTAAGTCAAGCGTTTGTTATTCTATGATTCAGACAATTGATACTGGATAAACTGGTTTGTTTCTGTGTGAATTATTTTGAAATGTTTACATTTGACTTCAGCTAATACATACAGGACAGTATTACTCGTAAATTTGATAAATGCATGTATGCTGTTACCAATAAAGTTTAATTCTGTTGATATATCTCCCATAAATAAGAAAAGTCTTTCACGCAATTAAAACCTTTTGCTGCTGTATCATAATTAAAACAAATTTTCATAAATGTTCTGACTTGAATTTACTCCCTCATATGACTTCAGTCAGTATAGTTTTCATTAAAAGGACCTCTTAAAAGTTGTGTTTATAGCTTACTGTGAGATGGATTCCTTTAGAAGATATTCATGTGATAACTATTAATTGAAATGGGCGTTTTGCTCTATGTAGAACTAACTTGACATATTTTAATTTTTAAATCCGTAGCTATATGTGACTCAAACTTTCAGAGAAAAATTTCTAACTATTTATGATAATGTGCTTGTTGAGAAAATCATCATTCCTAAATAACAAGAAAAGTCATTCAAGTTCAACATCTATCAAAATTTTTCTATCCTTTTTTTCTTTTGTCTAGAGCTACACAGCTAATAAATTTATCCCAGTGACAAGTTTAATCATCGTGTCAAAAATGGAGTGAAATAATATCTTAGCAAATGCATTCAATAACCTCAAGATATAATCATTTTATATTTTATTTCTAGTACGATCTCATCTGGTATCAACTCGGTAACTGCTGTTATTTTGGAGGACATTGTTAAGAAAATAAACAAAAACATCTCAGATTTCAGAGCAACGTGCATTTCTCGCATCATTAGTAAGTATTTTTATAAATTAAATTTTTTTCAAAGCTTTTTTAAGCAGTTGATTAGAGTTTTGGATGCGTCAATTAAATGTTGAAGTGAAAGCAAGACCATGAATTCTTTCACGAGTAACACTCTCATTTCTACATTTCTACATTTGTTTTCACAGGTGCAGTGTATGGAATTGTAGTGATTTTAGGAGCAATTTGCTTGATTTATTCCAATGCACCATTGTTGGTTCAGGTATTTTTGAATTTTCATTTTATTGCTTAAAAAATTACGGAATCATTGCTGGGATATTATAACAGTCATTTCTTGGATCTATTATCATTTTAAAACTCATCAAAAGTAGCTTGATTTTTAAAATTTTTTAAAAGTTCTTTGTACCAGGACCTGTTTAAAAACTGCTAGTGTTTAGGCAGCAATTGCATCCAGAGCTCGTCATTTTGTTGAACAGTTCAACAGCACTATACTGTGCTTCAACTACAACACATTTCTATAAAAATTTTCCGCTTCTTATTTTGTCCACAATGAATGTTATATTTGCATAACAAAAGAGAACATGTCAATGCTTTAAAGTAATAAGTTTTTTTTGAAATGCATGTATTTGAAAAAACCAGTGATTGGCCATTTATTCAGAGATAGCCATACAACGCTAATAGTGCTAAGGAATTACACTTAATCGGATTGAAATACAAAGTACTATATTTTTTAGTTTAAGGTAAGTATCATAGAAATTTATACAATTAGATTATGGAAGCTGTATGTGGTTGTGTATGTGTTTTGTAATTTTGATAACATCTTGTACAGTCTTTGGAAATATAAAATATATAATCATAAGTTGCAGATTTGAAGAGTAAACAGTATTTAAATAATAATTTATGATTGCATTTATTTCGAATGAATTTTTCTTGTAATTTTAAAAACAATTTTATCTCATTTAGTTAACAGGAAGCTTAATTGGCATCACTGCTGGACCACTATTGGGACTGTTTACTTTAGGAATGTTATCCAAAAAAGCCACTTGGAAGGTTAGCTGTAATTATTGTATTAAATGCACATGAGAAATATGTTGCCATTTTCCAAGTACGTTGTAAGCTGTTCAAATTCCTTTTCCAGCCGACAATTTCAAAAAATACTTTAAATCGTGTCTCTTGCTTTTATAAATCGAATCTTTTTGAGTGTGTTTTTTATTTGTAAGCAGCAAGCCTGTAAAATAATGTAGTATTCAAACAACATGAAACTATCAAGATTGTGAAGTAAATTACAAACATGATCAAAAAATTTGTTATCAATAAACTAGCTATAGGGTACTGCAAGAAGTATTAATTTTTAGTTGACTAATTTAACATGTATTCATCTAATTTGGCTTATTTTTCTTTGTATTTCCTTATACTTTTTAAAACAAATGTTGATTCCATTGGTTAATTAGCGCATTACGGTATTTTTTTAAATATGCAGCAATTTAGATCATATACTTATGCTTGAAGCTCATCATCTATTAGATTTTCTCATGGACACATTGCATTGACAAAACGTCTGGTCAAAACGTTTCTAGATCATTTAATTAAAAATATACTGATGTTTGCAATATTATTTGTGTTACTTTCTATAATATGCATAATTTTTATTTCCTCCCATTCTTTGACTTAATAATTAATAGATACGTTTTACTTTAATTTAGGGAGCGTACATTGGTACTGTAAGCTCGCTAATATTTGTTGGATGGATTTACGTTGGTAGCATTTATTACCCTCCCATCAGTGAAAGACCTCCAGTATCAATTGATGGTTGCGATGTTGGAAATGTATTCAATGGTACAAATGGGTTGAGAAACAAAATTTCTCCTTTCAAAAATATGACCGTATCTTACAGGTATGAATGATAAGTTTTTACGTAATAAATAGTTAAACTTGAAATTTGAAAGTAGTATGATGTATAATGTTATTGTTGGTTAAAAAACGTAAAATTATTTGAACCATTAAGATATTGCAAAATCTTTCCTACATGTCGGAAAGAACTAACTGCTTAGCTGCGTCTAACAAGCGATTAAGTAAAAAAAAGCGATTGGACATGACTTACATTGTGATTTAGTAGTATAAAACATAAAAAAATATATGCTATCTTGTGTCATTAAACAAAAAGAATACCGAATACTTTAAATGATAAAAAGATGCTTAATATTGTCTTAAATCTTTTTCTTTTTTGCATTACTTCTTAATTTATATAACATACAAGTTTGCAGCATGTTTTACTGATAAAACTAAAAAGCTTGCGATTGAAGTATTGTAATTTTGATACATTTATTTCTTTTATAAATGCAAATATGTATCGGACAAAATTAGGTGAGGAGAATGAGTCTGTGAAACACTGCTGACATTCTCATCCGAATCTTGCTATAGCTGGCTAAATGCTATGATGGTATCCATGTTTGTCAGAAAAAACTGATAAAATATAGTCATTTGGAAGAGATTTTACGTTCAGACAATACATTAACTGTCTGCTAGCTGTTTTTATCCTTTGATTTGTTCATAGCCTAAAATTTCCAAGCAAAAGATTAGATAACTCTTATAATGAGCCTATATTTTGTATTTTCAACTTACCTCAAGTTGCATGTAGATTTTTATTAACACAAACAACGCCAAGAAAATAAAAGCGGAGTAATTGTTGCACAAAATATAAATCATAAATATGTGGGACATCTGTAATCGTTTTAATATTTTTGAGTCGCTATTAATTCCAGCAGCATCATAATAGAGCAATTGTTTACAGGAACTTCATGTCGGAATGAAAGTGTCTTTCTATAGTCTTAGCTAGTTTGTTTCCAATGTAAATTTTTTTTAATTTAATGAATGTAAAACAATCTTCTAACCCAAAAGTTTAAACTCCATTGTTAGCTTCCACGTTTAAGCCACATATTCTTTCATTCATGCCAGCGTAAAAATGTTTGATTTATATAAATTCGTCTTATTTTAACAATTTTTTCTCTAAGAAACCCTTTGGCGAAGTTTTACGGGCTGTCCTTTTTCTACTACGGTGCTGTCGGCTTGTTTGTGACGATAATAATTGGCTACGTGTTCAGTGTTATCTTAGGTAAGTCATTAAGCAAATTATATTTTCCAACAGTGCTGGTTTTTGTCTTTCTCATAAATTGAAAAAGATTCATTTCTATGGTAAATCTCATTGTAAAATACTCAGCTGTTGTTTTTGAATATATTTTAAGCATTCGTCTTTGAGTATTTCGTTGTCCCGCGTAACGAGAGGTTCTCACATTGATGTAGAAGTCGATGTCATTTGAGTGCATGTGTGTACTGCAGAAATGTCAAGCAATGATAATAATATAATCATGAAGTAGTATTTAGAGTGGTATATGACAATGTTCTTACACATTTTTGATATTCACTAATTGCAGCAATCTGGGATGAAGAACAAGTTATCATGGATGATGATCTTTTGTTTGAGTTCCACAATCTATTTAAAAGGAAAACGGAGAAAATGATACCACGTGAATATGAAGAAAGCCTCGTAAAAACAAGCCGTCTTTAAGTATGATTGCATTTCAAGCACTCATTTAATGTTTAAAACAGAATGTAAAATTCCTTAATGGATGGTTGCATCAGTGCTATATGCAGCTAAGAATTGATCTTAATGCCGGGCTGCATTAGTCTAGAATATCAAGGATTGTTTGTAATGCTTTCAGAATTTATGGTAACACAATAGTTTTGTTTTAAGAAGTAAAAGGTAAGAAATTCTTTCTCTTGGAAAGATATTAGATTTTTTTATTTCTCACTTGTATCTCTATATATTTCTCGGGTAGTTTGCCAAGCATATGTTTTTGTATTATGTTGATTAATTGCTTATTTTGCAGCTGTCTTAGCTATTTTTAGTATGATAATTTGTAATTCTGTAATTGTTCCTTATGATTTATAGTGGTTATAAATTAACTGTAGTGGTCGACGTCTCATATGCTGTTTTATGGTCGTTATATAAATAGCCATAGAAATCACTTATGAAATGCATTCACGTATATTTCAAATATTAAAAGTACTAAAAACAATTTCTGTGTAATTACATAAAGCTAAAAACACATACATTTCTTACTTCAGGACAACAATATGACCAATATTATGAAACAACTAAACAATCCGCTATTCACTTATATTTCATTGCTATTTATAACACTTATCTTATTCAAGAAAATATTTCTTCGTGGTCAAACAATTTACTTTCTTACTTGAGAAAATTGACACAAATTAGCAATAAGGAAAAACTAACCGCGGACGATAAACATTCATGGTGACAGTGGACAGGAAACTAAAATCTTATATGGTTTTCAAATATACGCATGACAAGCAAAGCTTCTTACTAGAAAACCTTGCAATTTTTCTAATAGAAACAAAATAAAAATTTGTTTTCAAAATATTACATAAAAAGCTTACTATTGAAAGAAAAGTATCCCTTAATCATAGAAACAGGGCGAAACAGTGTTTAAGAATGTAAAATGAAAATCATTCAAGATTGTTGATAATATAATATAAGACAATAAAACCACCCACATTCTCAACGTCCTCCAATGAAAGACATTTCTATCCAATTAACAAATACCAACCTTGCCTCGTTGTCATACTAGTGTTGGTTGAACTTACTATCGCAGTTGAAAGTGTTCCCTTTTGTCAGCGAATTCCTACGTGGAGTCAGATTGCCTGCAGCCACTACCAATTCACACGGCGTAAACTTACCTTACTTGAACCATGCACGTTCATCAAATAAAACTCAGTTATTTTTTTTGTGTGTATAGACTACTAACCCAGAAGCTGGGCTTAATTCAACCATTTAACCTAACTATTGACTCTTGAGTTGCATGAGTTCCTAAACTTCCTATGTTCGGAATAAACGAAGTCACGCGCTCTCAAAAAGTCGACGGTAAATTTCCGCAATGAATATTTTCCATTTTTCATACTTTTGTTTTTCATTTCACAAATTTCGAAACCTAAAACTATTGCCATTTTGAATGAAAATATTTTTTGTGTTAGTAATTATATCTTCAAAATTTTGTTTTTAAAAAGCTTATACATAGCCGATAAATAAACATGTGTTTGAATACGTATGAGCAGTCAATTCATACTTTCACAGCATGCAAGTATGCAGGGAAGTCTGAAATACATGAAACGAGGATAAAGATTTGATAATTCTTACTCACGGATGTTGTGAAGCAGCTCTTATGAGCTTTTGTGAAAGTTTAATGATGAAATGACTTGCTTTGCACCACGGTTTGACGGCCAGACGGTTCTCTTGGACAGCCACATCGAACTTGATCACGTATACGCCGCTCGTTCATTTAACTCTCGAAAATTTGAGTTCTACTCAAATGTTGAAATCACATTACCTCAAATGGCAAACAAGCAACATCTTTGTTCTGTCATTAAGTAACATTAGGAAAATTACATTTAGTCTGTTTTAAATGCTTTCAAACATTCTTATAGCAGAACCATGATTTGGGCTCAATGGACTTTGTTCTTTTTTGAATTTAAGTTGTTTTCTGAAGTCTGGTAGGTAGTATATTAAAATATGACGAATTTTTAATCCAGATAATCTTATGTGTGCTAACGTTTTGCACAATACATAGCTATAGCATTTTTTTAAAGAAAAATATAAGCTAAGTAATTAATCGTGATGATGGAAGCAAACTGCTTTAAATCCCCTGCGGTATTATTGCGCACATCAGCAAAAGGTGAGTAATTTGTATACGGAAGGGGGGGGGGACATGAAGCAAGGATCTAGTTCAAGGACATTTGAAGTTTTGTAGGAAGCTTTCTAGATATTCCAATGTTTAAACATCAAGTGACCTTTTCCATCGCTGTTGAAATTTACAATGGGGAAAAAACTTTACAATAAAGGGAAAGTGCATAAGATATGTTTAAAATCTGTTCATACTTATTGCTTCTTTTAGGTATTTTTAACGGCGCTTTAATCCGTAAGGCTTCCTTAACATGAAGAATTATTTTTAATTGAAGATCAGCTAATATAGGACCTTTATTTTGACAATGGGCGAGGAAATTTTAATGCAACCTTTGTTTGTAGGGGATGATCGAATTTCATGAATCACAAGTATATCTTACACTTTTTCACAATTGAAAAGTTGCTTTTTCCAAAATAGTTCATTTACTAGTAGAAGACAAATTTTACAAAAGTAGTTCTCTTCAAACCCCAAAACACTTATGAGTGTTGATTTTATAGAATACATAGATTCTCCTAAAAGTTGTAAACTGCTAAATCTTTAAGGCATGGTGCTTAGTATTTCTCTATAACTTTTTTAGAGCATTACGCAGACAGAATTACGAATTATTTTAACGCTAGAAACATACTTTAGTGTTGAAATAGTGAATGTTAAAGACTAGTTTTAAACTCCAATAGTAAATACATTCAAGTGGTATACATTAAAGGAAAAACTTCATGCCAAATTAGATCCATAGCCACAAATAGAAACTTCAATGATACAAAACATGAATATTGGCTTTAGAAAGAGTATATTTAAAATGCCATTACCACAAATTTATGCACGCATGATGATATGTATGTAAAAAACCAGGGTCAAAACTTTTAATGTAGATTCATTTAAGAATATATTAAAGTTTTAAGAGGAAAAACACCACTGTGAAAGTATAAGTTGGTATTTAAAACGTCTCTGTCAGTCATTTTAGTGCAAAGTTTCCATGGGAACTTTGCAGTATTGTGGTGAGTGGCAATAATTCACACGAGTCAGCCATTTTTGTGGGAAGTTGCGAACTGTATAGTGAAATGTGTAGCAAGAGTGAAGTAAGGGAAATAGAATATTCCGAAATCCAAAAAAATTTGCTTTAACTATATCACTTTTCGTTAATGCTGGCACTTTTGACAAATATTTTAAAGATTTTGTAAGCTCGAGTTAATATAGAATGTGAAGAATATTGGTATTTAATTCGCCGTCTTGCCGTATTTGCCAAGTACTTGGCTAGCGCAGATTATTTAGCAAACTGCTCTGAACGTCTGGTCTAACTACACTCATACACTACGTCTTGGTGAATTGGTCTTTCACATATGACAGTAAAATTGAAAGTTGCGCACACATCTACCTCGGTAAGGAACATTTTACAAGTAATATAGTGCACTATTCTGTCATTGAAGAAAGCATTAGTTGTGGATTGCTTAAGAACAGTATAAGAAAGTCATATACGACTGTATGACTTTGTCGATTTTTATGTAATCACTGTGAAAGGGCAAATGCGAAATGAATGTTCATTCACGCAAACTTTCCAACTGGCCTTGTTCATACTGATGCAAATTGTACTACGCAAATATTTATCGAACATCGTTGCATTTTACTGCTCCAATCTCTGCTGGCTTGATGAGACACACACGGAGGTGTGACTACCATACGAAACTACTACTACTGCTTGGTGCCTTATTATTTAATTAGGTGGAATTTAGCACTAAAAAATATTGCAAACAAAGCATTTTGTTCTTCTGAACACATGAACTTCACATATGTATCAGAAGAATCAAAACATACAACATAATCGAAACAAAGAAAGTAAACCATGAGTTAATTCGTAATTTATATGTTGTATACTGCTTAGTAATAATAAAAGTTGTTAAATGAAGATATGATCTTCGCACTTTGCTGGACAATTTAAGCAATTGTCTCATGGACCTGAAAAATTCAGGTGACTCAACGGGATTCGAACCCATGATCTCTGCGGTGCCGGTGCAATGCTCTGACCAACTGAGCTATGAAGTCACACAGTGGAGAACAGGTCAATTTTGTTGGGCTCAGATCATATCTTCATTTAATTTCAAACACCGCACTGCCTTACGGTTGCCCGCAACGGCAACGTCGATCTCAAATCATTACACTGAAATTAAATTAATCACTCTAAATTCTAATTCATCACACTAAATTGAAATTCATCACACCAAATTCAAATTCATCACGCCAAATTCAAAATTTCGATTCGTGCTAGGCCCATATGTGATCAGTACTTTATGTTGCTTGTTATTTTATTGTTAAGTTAAATCTCTCGTTAATTTCAAAATGGCAAATTGTCATTCTTGCGATGCTCAAGTCGCACTTCGCGATAAATTTTGTAGTCAGTGCGGAATTAAATTGTGTTGTGACGTTGTAGCAATCAAGTACTACTTTAAACAAGGCTATAAGTACGACACGATAACAGAATTTTTGGCGAAATTTCATGACGACCATATTTGTGCTCGAGCTTTGAAGAACCGCTTGAAAACATTTGGACTCTCTCGAAAATTGGGGGAATACATGAGTTGGAAGCAAGAGAAAGAATTATGCGCGAGCTTAGTGAACCAGGTTGTATGAGCGGATATCGGGAGTGTGGCATATTCTTAGCAGGGTTAGATTTATGATACAGAGGAAAAACGTTGTTAAATGAATTAGATCCTGAGGGTTGTGAAACAAAACGAGCTCATCGTTTAAGGCAGAGAGTTTATGTAAATCCGGGTCCCAATTTTTGTTGGCACTTGAATGAATATGACAAACTGAAACCGTTTGGTTTCCCGATTCATGGGTGTATCGATGGTTTCAGTCGTAATATGTTATGGCTGCATTTCACTAAGTCAAAAATAATTCACAAGCGATACTTAAACTTTTCTTAAACTTAGTCATGTCCTGCCATGGGTGCCCTAAAAAGTTACGAGCTGACCTGAGAACCGAAGATGGCCTTGTTATAGCTGCACAATGTTACTTTAGAAATTATGACCTGTCTCATGTATATTGTAGCGTGCCAAATCTCCTTATTATGTACCCGCTACGTAAGTGCGCTTACAAATTAACGTTTCTTTACGCAATCTTTGAGCAAGTTGTAGCTATTTGTCAAAAAAACAAACTGCTTAGCCTTTGATAAGCACTTCTCGAAATGAATTTCAGTTTAGCATTTTTTAAAACGCCAAGGCTGGATACTAAGCTTTCTTTAAACTAATTTTATTTGCCATGACTAGGAACATTTTTTCTAAGTAACTTTGCACTATCCTGGAATCCCTAGTTTTTATATGTAACATGAAGTAATAATATTCAGTATAAGTCTGCAAGTTTGTGCTTAATCAAAGAGTTTTGGGATGAACTCTTTATAATTCCTCAATTCTTTTTTGTATTATAATGTACAATTTGATGGTCCAAGCAATGTATTTCATGTGGAGGATATCTTAAATATGATAGTAAAATCAAGAAGAAATATGTATCTGGAGAACACAAAGCCAAAACCAATGAAACTAGAAAAAGGAAAGCAGTGAAGTTCTTTCCATAAAGTGAATGTAGTATACAGGGATATCGTCCTAATATTCAACCACCTTTCTTACATGACTCCTTTGAAGAATGTTTTGATTTGATAAGTTCAGTTAATGATGATGATGGACAATCGAGAAGTGTCTGTGGTATAATTCCTTCTTTCAAAATCAAAGATAACAGCAAATTATAACCAAATTAATTGATTCAAAGTTGGTTATCTTACTGCTAAAAAAGTTTATTTCCTTTCTCTGTCCCAAATTACTTTCTTTGTCCCATTAAATGTAGCTATCTTAAATATGCGTCATAATAACATTACACTGCTGGTACGCTTGGCAACAAAACTACTGCTAAAATCAAGAGATTAAATTATAACATTGTAAAGTCAATGAAGAATGAGGACGAATTTGCAAACATTTTTTGATATTCCTATATTTCAATTAAGCAACCAACCGCTGCTTCGACGTCATGTTAAATCACACCCTATAAAAACTAGCTACCTTAATACAAAATTCAAAGTCTTAAAGTTTATACTGTTCCATTGTAATGATGAATGATCTATTTATTGCTCCAAAACTTTTACAGCGCGGAACATAAAACCAGGATCGAGTTGAAGGATCAATTCATTGGCAGGACTAGTTCCTTTGACATTCCAAGGCTCCAGTGACAATTTCCCCTTGCCATTACTGTATAAGAACAGATCAGGTCCAACTTCGTTTGGATCTTTGTATTTTTTTAGCGCAAAAAAACCATTATTTGGCGTCCTTAATTCTCTCGGAGATAGATAAAACGAGCTTGAGCTCTATAAAAGATAATTGCTGTGCTCGTTCTTTGTACCATTTTCATCGAAATTTTTAAGTCACACAATTTTTCTTCCTTTTACAACTACACCTTTGAAAGTCCGGAGATTTTCTCAACTAATTTAATTGGTTTCCTGATTCTGACACATTTGTCAGAGGGGCAATTAAAGAGTACACATAAAACAACTTCCAACCTTTTTCGATGGTCTCAATAAGTTTTCGACTTAAGACACGTTGGGACTAAACATTTAAAACGAAATTCTACAATTTTTTGAGTTAAGATGTCAAAAAAGCGGTAGACCCCAAAACTTCATTCGACATTGAGGAGTAACACGTGTTTTTTACCGACTGTTCCTTCTTCGCGTTCCTCTCGCATTTACTTTTTTCGTTAACAAATAAATATCTTATAGTTAACTGCATGTACTTGTTAAAATTTAAGGATTCCTCTTTAATCATGAGCAAAACAACCAAACGTAGTAAATACCTTTGTATTAGAAACTACAAGATAAAATTATTAAAGTCATAATTTGTGTTTTCCATCACAGTTTGTCTAAGCTGTCAGTGCGAGTAAATGCTTTTAGTGGACTTAATATAAAACATATAATAAACAAAATTTTTTGCAAATCAACAACGAGAGCATTCCATAATTTTTGTTCATGTCAACTTTCTAAAATATTTTAATTGGACGTAGAAACTCGTACAAAACTCAGCCTCATCCAGTCGCATCCTGGAATGCAATTTAAATTTCTTAAATGATCTCGTTTATTCTTCTGACTATACCAAAATTTTAAGAGAATTTTATTCACAATATAAATATTTAAATGTAATAGTCACTTCTTACGATATTGATAACATCTGAACAAAAAGTGTTCTCATTACCACAGTAAGTCTATTTTTCCCTTTCACTTAAACATTTAGGTCATTGAAAAAAAGAGATAACTTCCAAAGCTGCATAACTGTGACGAGATAAATTTGTCTTGAGAACAGACTTTCAGTATTTTGAAAAAATCTCATTTCATTCATATGCGAAGGAGAGACTTAACATTTGAGAAGCTTTTTTTGGTAAGACTTGAAATTTCTTTATATAATTCTATTTAAGCCTTCAAGCTACCCATTCCTTTGCATGAATTTTGCCAACTATTTTGTTCAAAACTTAGAGGAACGGACTGTTGCTCTCCTTGCAACAAGCCCTCCACAGATATATGATTCCAATGCAAAACACAAACCATGCTATAAGTTCTTGTTTACCATATAATATCAATTACACGTTTACGGAAGTGTTATAATCATATTATATTCTAAGTATGTATAATATGCTCTAAGTGCGTTCGTATAGCTTAGGCACTCTCGAAATTGTTTAAAGAGCGTCTTAATAAGACGTATTCTTCTAGTTAGTAACCCACCCAACGCTCAAAAGTAAAAACTTAAGCACTGGGGAGAAGTGTATAGTTATACAAATTGTATTATTTATATTAAATAAATATGATTTATATTTAGCTCTGCTAACATGCATTGAGTCATCTACAACTGAAGTATCAAAATCTTAGCTTCAATAAATGTATTATTTACGCATAACGGATTATGGTTTATGGTTTTTGTATAGTTATACAAATTGTATTATTTATATTATATAAATATGATTTATATTTAGCTCTGCTAACATGCATTGAGTAATCTACAACTGAAGTATCAAAATCTAAGCTTCAATAAATTCATTTTTTACGCATAACGGATTATGGTTTATGATGTCTGTCCATGACTCCATGCACAAATAATAGTCACTGCATTGTACAATATACAAGGTAACATTTTATTTCAAGCAGCTTAATTATGCACATATGCAATATTTGAAGCATTTATAAAAGCAAAACTATATAATATACCTTTTTCTCTGCAAAATTTTGCCATCCTTTTCATCTAAACAGTACGTCTCTTCATTTTTGCAAACAGCAGGTTGTAGAAAAATGCCTCGTGCTATCTTGAGCTTTTGCAAACTTTATCCGTGCTTCAGCTAAGAAAAAGATTGCAAATTAAATTGCTACAGCAAGAATCCAGAGTATTAGTTTCATGGTAAGAAGAGGGTAAATTGCACGTATCTCATAGCAATAAATTATTGCACGTTAATAATAACAGCCCATGTTATGAAATTCAGATATCGAGATCTAGAATTATTTGCAGGTAGCTAACCAGCCACAACCTATATTGTATACATACTAATTTGCGTCTATGGATCGTCTCCATTTGGCGAGCAAATAAACACACATAAATTTATCATGTAAATGTTTTTATACTGTTGGCAATATACTAATTACTATTTTCCAAAGATCCAAAGGTGTAAATTCTTAATTAACAGCATTCTCTGCGTGGGAAAAATCAATACAGATCTATTATTATACAAAAAAACAGGTTCATCAATAAGTTAGTAAGCTCTTAACTTTTTTCTGTTAAAAATCTTTGGGTTTCGTTTGTTCGTAGGAAATTTAAATTTCTCTGAGGATTCAATAACATAATATAAATTTACAAATAATTTCCCAATAACCAACAAGCATCAACAAAAATTGATTTAAAATGGCGTTGTCATCTTAAACAAAGACGTTGGAAACGGCGTTATCATCTTAAACAAAGACGACTACAACAAAAATGGATGAAATCTTATCCGACAACTCAAAGTTCGTGCGCTTAAGTCAAGACCCCGTCAAATTGACCCTACAACGTAAAAACCAGGTAAAGACTCTCCTGAAAAACTTGAAAGCATCTAAATCGATTGATCAAAGAACATATGACGAACTCTACCCAACAGGTTCACGAATAGGTATTGTCTATGGACTACCCAAAGTACATAAAACCGACATACCACTAAGGCCTATCCTGTCATGTATAAATCATTACTCGTATAAGATAGCTAAATTTTTCATCCCCATTCTCACCCCAATCTCGTCCAATTCTTTCATGATCAAAGATTCCTTTTCTTTTATCCAGGAAATTTTATCCCAGAAAATCAAAACTGATAATGTTGTATTGGCCAGTTTTGACATCTCTTCACTCATTACTAACATCCCCGTTGATGAAACCATTGAAATAATTAGTAACCGTTTGTTCGCCCACCATAATTCTTTTCAAAGCCTCAGTCGCCCCAACTTTACTAATCTCTTAAACCTCGCAGTTAAGAATTGTCATTTTTTTCTTTAGCGGTCATCTATACCACCAAGTTGATGGCGTTGCCATGGGCAGCCCTTGGTACCCTTGTTCGCTAACATATTCCGGTCATTCCATGAAGAAATATGGCTCGAAAATTGTCCCTCTCACTTTAAGCCCTTGCTTTATAGAGGATACGCTGATGATTGTTTTCTCCTTTTTCGTACTGCTGGCCATGTGCAACCCTTTCTTACCTATTTAAACCACAAACACCCCAATATTAAGTTTACGAGTGAAATCGAACACAATGGAAAACTTCCATTTCTTGACATCACTATTCATCACTCTACGTTCACTGGTCTTTTTACTAATTTCCACAGCTTCATCCCACTAACATATAAACGCAGTTTAATATTATGTTTAGTTCATCGCTTCTTTAATATTTGCTCCACTTATGAATACTTCCATACTGAAATCGAAAAAGCACGCAGATTATTTATTTCCAATTCATTTTCCTATCACATATTTAATTACGGTGTAAAAATGTTTCTTGACAAAGTCTTTCAACCCAAACCACCTTTTATACCGTACCCAAGAAAATACTGTTTTCGGCCTTCCATTTACTGGTCTACACTCATCCCAAATCCGCACACAAATCAATCGCCTTTGTCGTGCCGCTTTCCCAAATAAGATTCTTCTTTCGATCCACCAAACGCCTCTCCAGCCTGTTTCCTTTCAAGGACAAATGCCCAAAACTCTGAAATCGAATGTTGTCTATTCTTTTAAGTTTCGATGCTGCTGCATCGTACGTGGGTCAAACCACCCGCCACCTACACACTCGAATTTCAGAGCATTTGGGCATCACCCTTCACTGCTAAACCTTCTAAACATCCCTGTCATTCCTTCATACTATCACACTTAAATCCACAGGACACACCGCCACCTTCGAGGATTTTAAAATACTTTCTTCATGCTCAAACTCACAAGAACTTCTTATTCACGAAAGCCTCTTAATCAACAAAATGAAACCATCTCTTAACGTCCAAGGAAACACCAATGTCCTTCAGTTGCTTTAATTTAATTTCGTCCGTCCTCATGTCTGTATACTTTGTGATTGTTTGTGTTTGTTTGTTTTTGTTTCTGTCCTGTTTCTACTTATCCCACGTCATACCATCTTATCCAATATTTACTAACACGTTCTCATCCCACCATGTAATTTAATATTATGTAAATAGCTATTATATATATATCCCTCTATACTTGTAATTTAATATTGTCTGATGATGTCTTGAGAGTCAAGACGAAACGTTACACTTTAAATAAATATTTCTTTCTATGCTTTAAACTCTTTTAAAAGCACTTTGCTGGGTTTTGATATTTATATTTAAAGTTCGCTTTCCGCCCGGTATATCCCTGGTCACAATTCTGATTTGAAAATGAAGAAACTCAAAATTAGTATGTCCCTTTTGAGATTTATATAATTGAACATTACATATCGTTTTAGCACTTGAAAATTTAGTGCTCTAAAATTACTATTTGTTACACACCATACGTATTTTATAATATGTCAGGTATTCCTTAAATAATAAATATCAATCAACGGTGCTTGTTTTTGTTTGTATAAATTTGCATTGGTAATAACATGAAAAAGTGTCTACTAGATTGATTTATGTGAAGTTAATGTAAATGTCGTGACAATACAAAGTAAAGATTATACCTTCAGATTCTCCATTCGCTTTAACTTTACCTATGAAACTGCAATGTAAAAAATATCAATCTGTAACATATCAGGTGCAAGACTAGAACGTTAAGGGTAGGGGAGGGAGGAACTGAATATTCATATATTCCATTAAAAAATTTAACATTGAATTTCATATATGAAATGGGATTTCATATATTAAATAGACAGGAGGGTTGTTCCAGGTGGGTATATCAACTTTCTAATGTAAGCCATTGTCTACAGTCTGTCAGTGCTGTACGTAATGCATTTTGCCGAGTCCCAGTTAATGTTGTGCGTTGTCTGTCGGTGATGTTCGGCAATGTGATTAGTTTTGTCTTGTTTCTTTGTAGCTCGTTTGTGCTCAGTAAGTCTTATGTTTAAGTTCCTGCCAGTTTCCCCAATATAGGAGGCGTGGCAGTCGGAGCAGTCTGTTTTGTAAACTGCATCTTTTCGTTCGTTGGGTTGTTCTTTGTCCTTGATGTTCACAGTTACTTGTCGTAACGTTGTGACTAGTTTATGTGCGACACGTATGTTGCATGGTCGTAAAATATGCGAGATAGTCTAAGACGTTCATTTGATGTACGTTATTGTTGCTGGTGTCGTTGAATTGTTGGTTTCGTTGGGTTTATTGTGATTGTAAGTGTTGCGTTTGATAAAGTCAGAGTTATAGTTGTTTTAATCAAAAACACGTTTGAAATTATTAAGCCATAATAAAAAGAAACTTCGTAGTCTTTTATAATAGCTTTTTTATACTCGTTAACAAACCAAATCAGTAAAGCCGAGATAAATATATAAATATTCACCACTCCCCCTACTGAACGTTCTAATTTCGTCCCTAAATCTAATGGATGCATTACTACATCAACTGCGATTTAAGGATCTATATAGTTAGTCATTTAAGGTGCAAGAGGTCCTTTTCAAAAAGGTCGATTTTTGTTTAATACAGTTTCTTTCATCTTGTTTTGAACATAATGCACTAAATCAAATAATTTGCATATACATTATCAGAGAACACGCATGCCGTCTTCAAATTTGATAAAATTAACTAATGTTGGTGGTCATAGCTCCAGCCTCGCATTCAACCTTTTGTCTTATTTAGCCATCTTTTTAACACTCGTGAATGAAAGTCCAGCGAGGGCACTTTTACTCAAGATTTCTTTGAAGGAGAATAAAGTTTTAGAACTACTGAAGTGCAAGAATAAGGATTCAGTCAGTAAGTTCAAGTGGAACTTCAGTGGTTTGTTAAAATTATTAAGCCAAAACGACAACTTAGTAAGTTTTAGTTGAGTCTTTAAAGAGAAACAAACTGCTAGCTGTAGAAACCACCAGGATGGCAGATATTCAATACACGAATGTTCTCTAATTGATAACCAAAATACCTTTTTCGTGTGGGGGATAACGGATTTGATAAAATCATGTGAAAAATATTTTCATACCATTCTTTTTCACAGATAAACTAAGGCAACTTCCTCCTTTATTACTGTTGTAGGACCACAATCGGTGTTTGCCTTCTTCAAAAATTACATTCGCAGGTTGAGACATAGCTGAAAAAAACTGAAAATTTTTGTAAACTTTTATTTTTTTATTTATATTTTTGTAAAATGTTTAAGAACAAAGTTTGCATTGTGTGTGGCAGACATATTTGAAATCTTGATTGTTATACCTTGCAAATAATTCAAAGTACAACAATATATCATCGAATATTTGATATATCATCGAAAATTGAACAATAACAAGGTTGTCGTTAACGCAAGTGTATTATAAACTTTAACCGGGACATGCGTGAAATTATATGCTTGATTTTACAGAAGTAAATTTTTGATATTTTGCGATACAGAACTAGCTTTGTTACTTGAGATGATAGTTTAATACCTTTTTTAGAACGGTCATGAATCAAATCGTAGGGATTTTTATCGTGAACGCGAAAAAATAAGATTTTAAAAATATACGCATCGACACGGTCGCTGATCTTTTGCCTTGGCGCACATAAGCAGTGAAATTTGAAGGGCTATTGCGGACAAAAAAATAAAGATCATGCTCTGAAATTTGGTGACAAACTAAATAACATGTTGATTAAAAACGGACATTTTAAAAATATTAAGTTCCATCGCTGGCAAGATGAATTTGTTTAGAAACTACTTGTCTCAGCTCCATATTCAAGTCGAATGTAAAGCCAGCTCCATATTTGTGAATGTGGAGGCACGAATGTGGAGCTGACTGGCTCGTCGTAGGAGGAATAAGCGTCTAGTTTGCCGTATTTTTTGTCTGTTTCATACTTCATCGTATTGTATGTACAGGAAATGAGTGAGTGTGTGGGTGTAAATTGCGTATTATCATTGTGGTTAGTCTAAATGTTCTTAATTCCCTTTTTTTTTGAGGTTGTGAATAAGTCGTTTGTAAGGTGCCTATAACTGTTGTGATCCAACTTTTGAATGTAAGCCGTTGTCTGCAGTAAGCGCTGTGGTAATGCATTTTGCCGAGTCACCGTCAATGTTGTGTTTTGTCATTCGGTGATGTTCGGTAATGTTATTGGTTTTATCTTGTTTCTCTGTTACTTGTTTGTGTTCTGTAAGTCTTATCATCAAGTTCCTGTCTGTCTCCCTGATGTAGGAGGTGTGATAGTCGGGGCAGTTTATCTTGTGTACTGCACCTTGTCAAATGTTTATTATCGTTCGTTTGGTTGTTCCTTGTCCTTGACGTTTGTTAGTGCTTGTCGTAACGTTGTAATTGGTTTATGAGAGACACGTGAGATAGTCTCAGATGTATCTTTGATATAAGGTATTGCTGTTATTGTCGTTGAGTTGTTTGTTTCGCTGGGATCATTGTCTTTCTAAATATAATTCATATAAAATGATATTTGTAATAGCAAAGCAACGAAAAAAAAGTGTAACAATAAAACAAACGTGCAAACAGTCGTAGAATATTAAAAGAGTCTGTCATTATAATCTTGGCTCGTCTTTGTTTCCATGAAAAGATACAAAAAATTTCGCTGCCATTGAATCTTTCCTCAATTTTATGTATGAATGTGTCAAATCATCAGCTTAAGTTCATCATTCATAGAATGATTACCATGAGGTTGGAATTTGGTATTCTTGAAAAACATAAGGAATCTAATCTTACCTTTCCTTACTTTCAACAACAGTGACAGATCTAGAGTACGTCAAAATAAATTACTGAAGCATATTTTGGCATATAATATGAAGCATACTCCGAATAAAAGATTCATGTTTTACTCAATACTTGAGAAAGAAACAAGAAATTTTATTTGAAAAGTAATATTTCGAATTTGTTACAAATTCATCATCAGACAATATTTACAAGCTAACAAATGCACATATAAGTAGAGCGTACTCTAAATCTGTCACTGTTGTTGACAGTAAGGAAAGATAAGATTAGATTCCTTATGTTATTTTAAGAATATCGAATTCGAACTTCATGGTAATCATTCTATGAATGAATTTTGATGAACTTAAACTGATGATGTGAACACACCCACTCATTTCCTGTACATACAATACGATGAAGTATGAACCAGACCAAAATACGGCAAACCAGACTCTGAAAATGATCACTGCTAAGGGCTAAGGTTATCAAAACACCAACAGACCTTCTCAGGACTCTACTAATCAGGACTATCTACATCTACGCGCTTGAAATTTTATATAACAATAACTCATGATCAATCGAATATGACTTTTTTCAAATGACATTCGTATTTTTGTGGATATCGGTTAATAACATTTGAAACAGGACTAAAGTTATCAAAATTAACAAACATGACTGTCATTCCGGTTTTCAGTTTTCTCATTCCTGATTTTTCCCATCCTGTATTCCATTTCCCATTGCCCATTCCTTTACAGATAGCCGAAAGAATTTTTGTAATTTTATGCTCTGATGAGCATCGAAACTTTGCATATCACCACCTAAAAGGCCGTTTGACTTACATGCAAACACTTTATACTTGCCGAATGTCGTCACAATATTTTCAGCATGTCTTCAAAATGCAACAGTAATTATAATATAATAACAAAAGCATGTACATGTTGAATGTACAAATAACTTGGATAAAACAATGATCATTGTTAGATGCTCACTACATGTAGATCATCCACGTTAATAAAATATTGAGAAAGACGGTTAATTGGTGTGTGGGCTGCCTGACACAGCAGAGGTCTCGTTTTAAAGATAAGATGGTTCTCTACAATTGACGGCTGACCCTTTCTCTTGTCGATAAATTTTGTGTTCAAATCATGTTCACAATACTTCTCATTATTTCCATTGACTAAAGTTTGTTGATAAATTATTTTGAAATTTCGTAAAACACCGGACCTCTTAATCAGTTACGTAGCCAGCCAGCAAATTTCATAGAATCTGTGTAAAATCTTTGAGGTCGTTTTGCGCAAATTATTTGAAAAGTTAACTGAAATCGACAATAAAGGTTATTTTACGAAGGGTGTTTTACGAAATTTCCAATAATTTATTAACAAACTTTGGTCAATCGAAATAATGACAAGTATTGTATACATTCTTTGAATTTGATGCCAAGTTATTTCTAATGTTGCCAACTACATTTTCAATTATGGAATATTCGATATGAACTTGTCAACTTGAGTTGATAAGTTGTGTACTTGAGTACTGAAGTTGTGAACTTGAGTACTGAAATTGTGTTCTTGAGTACTGAAGTTGTGAACTAAAGTTGCGAAGTACAGGAAAACACGAAAGGTCTTTGTACCCTGTAGACATTTGGCAATGAATCCGTTCAGTAAGCAAGGAAAGCTTTACCAATAGAAGTAAGAAATGAAATACTTGAAAGGTGGTTAAATAACGAGCGTTTGAGAAACATTTCGAAACAACTATACCTACCGTATAAGACTATATCAAATATAATAGATCTATGGGTAGACACTGGTTCTATTGCACCTCGCCAGAGCGAACGTGATGTTCGAACCGCGCGTACAGATGACGTTATTGCATACACTGAATAAAATTAATAAACCATCTATTTAGGCAACACCTAGAAAATAACAAAGTTTGCCTTCCAGCAAACATACGTAGAAGGTCATCCATTAGTAGAATTTTGAAAATGATCTTGGTTACTCTTACAAGATAATAAGTCAAATTCCTCGAGAGACCGAACGGCCGGACGTTATGAAGAAGTTAGAAGCTTACGTAGCAAATATTTCATTGATTGATTGCAACCGTATGCATTTCTTTGATGAGTCGCCGGTAGTTGCTACGAGTGGCAACAGACGTCGAGGGCACAGTATGCAGGGTACTCCTGCATTTAAAATACAACGATACTCTTCTAGTGCCACATTTACTGTAAATTTATTACATAATGTAAACGGCGTATCGCATTATAACACTCTTAGAGGGCCGTCAAACGGATTAGAATTGCTAAAGCTTTTCCTTGCTTACTGAACGGATTCATTGCCAAATGTTTAAAGGGTACAAAGACCTTTCGCGTTTGCTAGTACTTCGCAACTTTAGTTCACAACTTCAGTACTCAAGTACACAGCTTGTCAACTTACTTAGAAAGTAACTTGGCAACCGCCATTTGAAAAGTTAACTGAAATCGACAATAATCAGTTAGGTAGACAGCCAGCAAATTTCATAGAATCGCTGTGTAAAATCTTTGAGGTCATTTTGCGCAAATTATTTACTACCTAGTTCAAGCAAAAATTGGACAATTCAAATCACGCTTACGTACCTCTAAAAACAAAACGTACCAAAAAGTTCCGTGTTACAATCAGTGATTCCACTGGAAATCGTACTTGCCAGTCTAGCTTACGAATTACAAATAATCACCTAACATACATTCATGTCATTAAAACACAAATCTTTACGTTCAACTTCCGTAAGATGACAGGACATCGATGAAAGACAATGTGTCTTTATATTGAGGCTTGGTAGAGGCGTCAAAAAGTTTGTATTATCACTTTTATCGGACGCCGACAAAGATATTTCGTATTGTTTGTTTTATAGTATTATACAACAAAAATCTCGTCAGTTTATGGAACGTATATTTATATGACTAAAGACTTTTATCAAATAACAAAATTTTGCCGACATGCTTTTATTGCATTATAACAAATAATGAACATCATACAACTGGGTAATTTCAAATAACCAAATTTCTCGACGTGATTTCTTATTTGATAATTTCAAATAACCAACATAACTTTTACACACGTTGTAAGCCAAGTTACGTCACAACTGTATGAGCACCGCTGCCCCTAAATAGTTGCATGACATTCCAAATAACTTGATAAAACATTGATTATCGAACAATTTCAACGTGAAATATAAACTACAACTGATCAAAATTTCATTTGACAATACTTAAAAGAATACAAAATGTAAACAAAGTTTTCTGCTTCATATTATAGATATATTTTCTATGATATTTTATATCATGACAGCGATAATCTTTTTACAAGCTAACAGATGCACATATAAGTAGAGCGTACTCTAAATCCGTAAGAGTTGTAAGGTAGGATTAGATTCCTTATGTTTTTTTAAAAACCAAATTGCAACCTTATGGTAATCATTCTATGAATGAGTTTTGATGAACTTAAACTGATCATGTGAAACATTCGTCCATAAAATTGAGAAAAGATTCAATCGCAGCGAAATTTTGTATTGTTTCATGGAAACAAGGCAGAGCCAAGATTATAATGACAGACTCTTATTCTACGACTGTTTGCACTTTTGTTTTATTGTTACTTATTTTTTATTGCTTTGCTACTACAAATATCATTTTATATGAATTATATTTAGAAAGACAATGATCCCAGGAAACGAACAACTCAAAGACAACAACAGCAATAACTTATATCAAAGGTACGTCTGAGACTATCTCGCGTATCTTACGTCCATACAACACACGTGTCTCTCTTAAACCAATTACAACGTTACGACAAGCACTAACAAACGTCAAGGACAAAGAACAACCAAACGAACGATAATAAACTTCTGGCAAGGTGCAGTTTAGCTCCGACTGCCACACCTCCTATATTGGGGAGACAGACAGGAACTTGATCACAAGACTTCCTGAACACAAACGACTAACAAAGAAACAAGATAAACCAATAACATTGGCGAACATCACCGACTGACAAAACACAACATTGACCACTGTCAACGCATTACTACACCACTGACTACAGACAACGACTTACGCTCAAAAGATGGATCACAACAATTACCAGCACCTTACAAACGACTTCTTCCCAATCTCAAAAAAATGGGAACTATTCGCATTTAGACTAAAGCTGACCACAATGACAATACGCAATTGACAACCACACACCTAATTTCCTGTACATACAATACGATAAAGTATGAACCAGACAAAAATACGGCAAACCAGACGTTTACTCCTCACTTGACTCTGAAAATGACCACTGCTCAGGGCTAAGAATTACAAAACACCAACAGACCTTATCAGGACTCTACTAACCGGGGTCATTTACATGTACGCACTTGAAATGTTACATAGCAATAACACATGATCAATCGATTATGACTTTTTTCAAATGACATTCGTACTTTTGTGGATATTGGTTGATAACATTTGAAACAGGACTAAAGTTATCAAAATTAACAAACCTGAGTGTCTTTCCGGTTTTACAAATTTCAGTTTTCTCATTCCTGATTTTCCCATCTCTGCATTCCATTTCCCATTCCCCATTCCTTTTTACAGAAAGCCGAAAGAGTTTTTGTTAATTTTGATGCTCTGCTGGGCATCGAAACTTTGCAAATCACCACCTCAAAAGGCCGTTTGACGTCACATGCAAACACTTTATACTTGCCGAATGTCGTCACAATATTTTCAGCATGTCCTCAAAATGCAACATTAATTATACTTTTATAACAAAAGCATGTAGATGTTGAATGTACAAATAACTTGGATAAAACAATGATCATTGTTAGATGCTCGTATGTAGATCATTCACGTTAATAAAATATTGAAAGATGGTTAATTGCTGTGAGGGCTGTTATCAGTTTAAGTTCATCAGTTTAAGTTCATCAAAACTCAAAGATAAGTATAGTCGTCTTTTGACATCCAAACTTTGGAGAGTCAACTTTCCTTCATTTACAACGACAAGGACTTTCACAAAGAGCAGTAATGAGGTTCTTAAATACATCTTCAAATTTAATCTCCAGTCGAGTTTAGGTCAAGTGGTAAATTTGTTAAAATTGAATGGTGTGTTGGCAGTGGCAAGTGCTTCAGAGAGGTCGTTTTCTTGCTTAAAAGGGTAAAAGCTATTTAAGAAATAGAATGGGTCAAGGTCGGCTTAGCTCTTTGTGTAGAATATCTATTCACAAAGATATCATTGAAAAGAAAGAGGAATCAGGTGTTGCATGCGAGGTGGTTGAAAAATTTGTAGAAAAACCAGGAGGCTGACCTTTCTTTATAAATGATGAGTATAGTATGTGTTTTGATATTTGTTCGTATAATACATGGTACTTCATTGAGAAAATTAAGCATAACTTTAAAGAATAAAGCCATCCCTGTCTACTTACCCTAATCTAAACAAGTTTAAACTAACAAGTAGAATGCTAAGAAAAATCTCTCTATGCACTTTAGAAGTGTCGTATACTATATATTTTTGTGCTAATACAAATTTCTTCTGTTTTATGCAGGGGCAGTGATGGTAAATTATGTTTTAGGAACAATTGTCTCCTGCGTAACGTTTCTCTGAGCCACCTTTGTACCTTTTAACTAGTTGCAGTTTCAACGATTGCCACATTAAGAATGCAGCTAACAAAAATGGGTTTTATAAATTATTGCCAACAAATAATTCGCCCTCGAAATCGCAGGAAATGCTGTTTCCAAGGCTCTGGATTTCAAAATTTACGGGGAGCATGCCCCGGATACGGGTCCGCCTCCGGCGCGAGATGGATTGGTGGGAGTGACTATTTTCCCTAGCTACGCCACTGTTAAAGATAAGACGGTTCTCGACAATTGACGGCTGACCCTTTCTCTTGTCGATAAGTATTGGGTTCAAATTCAAAGCATGTTCACAATACTTGTCATTATTTTTATTGACCAAAGTTTGTTGATAAATTCTTTTGAAATTTCGTAAAACACCCTTCGTAAAATAACCTCTTAATCAGTTACGTAGACAGCCAGCAAATTTCATAGAAGTGCTGTGTAAAATCTTGAGGTCATTTTGCGCAAATTATTTACTACCTAGTTCTACAAAATTGGACAATTCAAATCACGCTTACGTACCTCTAAAACAAAACGTACCAAAAGTTTCGTGTTTACAATCAGTGATTCCACAGGAAATCAGTACTTGCCAGCTTACGAATTACAAATAATCACCTACGAAATTGATAACGTGAGTGCATACACATGTCATAAAACACAAATCGTTAAGTTGAACTTCCTAGATGACAGGACATCGATGAAAGACAATGTGTCTTTATAATGGGCTTGGTAGAGGCGTCAAAAAGTCTGTATTATCACTTTTATCAGACGCTGACAAAAATATTTCGTATTGTTTGTTCTATAATATTATACAACAAAAATCTCGTCAGTTGATGGAACGTATATCTATATTGACTAATGACTTTTTATCAAATATCAAAATTTTGCCATTATGTTTCATTGCATTATATCAAATAATAAACATCACACCACTGGGTGATTTCAAATAACCAACACTTTTGCACACATTGTTAGACAAGTTACATGTTTGTAAATGTAGATCGTCCAGTTTGGTATAGTCCTGAGGACTGTTTTGTTTGTTATTGACGTTTTGACAACCTTAGCGGTAGTCATCTTCAGAGTCAAATGAAGAGTGACGTCAGGTTACCGTATTGTTATCTGGTTCTTACGTCAGCAGCGGTGATTGAACCAGAGTTGTTGGCGTATGCGTCTGACGTTGCTTACAAAACGTATGTAGTCGTTAGCACTTGTTCGCTCTGTCGTTTAATGATCATAAAGTAAATGGTTTGAAACCGGAATTATCGTTACAAGTTTGTAAATGTAGATCATCCAGGTTGGTATAGATCCTGAGAAAGACTGTTTTTGTTGTTGTTGACTGACGTTTTCTGACAACCTTAGCGGTAGTCATCTTCAGAGTCAAATGAGGAGTAAACGTCAGGTTAGCCGTATTTGTTATCTAGTTCTTACGTCCTTGCAGCGGTGGTTGATAGATAGATAGATAGATAGATAGATAGATGAGATAGAGATGATTTATTTCTTAGAAACTGGCAGCCATATTGCTGAAATACGTTTAAGATTACATATAATACATACATAAATAAATTAACTAAATTACATCTTCAATGAGTTATCAGTTATAAAACTATTTCTAAAACGTTTGGTATTAAAATTAGTATTAAATGAAGATTGAGTCCTAAGTTCCATAGTTGAACGTTCTAAACGAGGAGGCAAAAGGTCATGAAGCTTATGAGGAATCTGCTGCTATCTTCTGAAACAACGCTGTTCAGCGTTGCATACTCCAAGAGCATACTCCAAGACAGGTCTTATACACGTTTTGTAAAATTGGAGCAATTCCTTGACTTCGATATTTGCTCGTTCTAGTTGAATAAGATAATAGAGGCGTTTACGGCATTTCTTAATTATTTCATTTACGTGGATGTTCCACTTAAGGTTACTGGCTATAAACATTCCCAAAACTTTCGCGTGTTGGACAATATCCAGTGTAATGTTATTGATAGTAATTGGTTGAAGGTCATTGGTATTAGATCCAAAAGAAATTTGCATCTCTTTACATTTGGTTTCATTTAACTGGAATTTATCACACGAGATGCTGTTCGCTAATGTGTCCATTTGGTTTTGTAAGTTACTTGTTTGATCTTTCTCAATTACTTCACTAACAGTGGTATCGTTCACGAATTTCCACATTTCATTATTTGGTAACCTGAGATCGTTAATCATTATCAAAAATAGCCAATGCCCCAATTTTGTGCCCAGAGGAACACCTGCAGGCACGAGTTCCCACTCTGAAAAGCAATCGAATTTCAGCTTTACTTTTGTTTCCTGGAAGAGAAATCCATAATCCAGTGTAGAACCCATTTCGGTATATCGAATGAGCGTAGTTTTCAACCAATAAGTTATGACCAATCAGATCAAAAGCTTTGATCAATAACAACACACGAACGGCCGCCCCGTTACCATCAGCTGCTTTATTCCACGACTGTAACATACTAAGTAAAGCTATAGTTGTGCTTGAATTTGGAATTTCCCCATACTGATTAGAGTCTATCTTTTTAAGTACAGCTGGTTTGACATAATTTTCCACAAAAAACTCCTCGGCTACTTTTGATACAATCGCAGTAAGTGATATAGGCCTTAAGTGTTTATTAACATCTCTTACAGGTTTCTGCTTTGGAATCGGTATAATATTTGCTTTTTTCTATAATTCTTGTAATCGGGCCTCTTTAAAGGAGCTGTTTATAATATCTGCCACGGGAGCGGCCAATAAATCAGCATTCTCTTTTAGAACCCAGAAGGGAATACCGTCTGGGCCAGTTGCTTTCCTTGCGTTGACAACATCTTGAAAGCAGTAAACTCAGTTACAGGCAACAACCTCGGGAAATCATCAATCTCATTATCAAAGCATAAGTGTTGGAGCAGTGGGTTAAAATCTTTCATGGGTGTTAGAAAGGATTCGTTGATCATGTTTTCAAGTTGCTCAGGAAAATGATAAGAGGGTGTTAGTGCATTATCAATATTTTGCAAGGTTGACATCATATCTTCCTAGTAAGAAACCAACGGTGAAATACCACATAACTTTTTGATTTCCTTCCACCAACTTGCAGATGAACACGATTTTAAATGTTCTACTTTGTTTTGGTAAAAACGTTTCAGACAAGATTTTCTTTCTCGCGTAACTTGGTTTCTTAATTTCTTGAAAGAGTTAAGGTCTTTTTGTGCAAAAGCTTTTTCCCTTCGGCGGATCAGTTGTTTTAGCGATTTGGTAATCCAACGAGGCTCATTATTGATCATCACCTTCTTTTTTGTGGGGAGTAGGAAATCAAGACCAAAGTTAATGATGAGCTCTAACATTTTCATTTTGTCATCACTATTTCTCGTCGTTACTATTTCTTACCCACTGTTCGACATTAACTTCTTCTAAATATTTACCAAAGGCCGAACGTTTCGATGGTCGCAAATCCCTGACATTACCACTACTTTAGTCCCAGAGTTTTCAGATATTTTAATGGTTGCACTTTTACGGCTACATTCGGAGAGTCCAAAGGAGGACGTTTAATTGGAGAATCGTAAAATTTTTTCAAATTGGTTAAAATCAAATCCAGGTTACTATTGCCACGAGTAGGGAAATTTACGATCTGACGCAATTGGAAACTATTCTTTAACAGACGAACGTTCAATTTGTTAAAATCGCCCGAGATAATTATCCCACAATTTGAAAATTTTGTTTCAAGTGTTAGTAGTGATTCAAAAAGATAATTGATCATAGACTCATCATTCGCGCCCGGTGGGTGGTACAAATTACATAAAATAATATGGACACACCTCTTGGTAAGTGGGTCAGTCTTAGATCTAATCATAATGCTTCGAACTCATTTGTTAAAAGTCTTGCAGGATGCTAAAGTTAATTGTATTTCGAATATAGACGCAAACACCACCATGAATTCGTTCACGTCTATCACGTCTAATTAAATTATATCTGGGTAGTGAAACAATGTTATCATCAATATGACTTTGCAACCAAGTTACCACGATGCATAAAATATCCACAGTTGAACTGGCAATGTACGCATGTAATTCATCGATTTTGGGGGCCAGCGACATGATATTAGACAACATTATGGATGGTACAAATACATTTGGTCATCCACGACGTTTAAAGGATACTCTTGGAATAATAATACAATTGCTTTTGTTATGACCAGACGGTCTGCAACGGGAACGTAAGTTATAATGATCGCTTGGATTAAGAGACGATCTTACTAGTGTAGGTATTGTTCGAACGAACTCAAGCGATTGTGTGATAGGCAAAAAACACTCTAATGTACTATCTTCTTTTTCTTTAAAATGTCTTTAACTATAAATTGATCGTGTTGGTGTTGTTGGCTGTCGCTTTTCTACATGCACAGGTATTTTCTCCAAGACTTTTGTTGTTCCTCTCTGAATTCTTTCGTCAGGCTGAATTCCATTGGTAATTTCTTTGATGAGAATGACGATGCTGGAGATGCCAAGAAGTCAACTGACGATTCTGCAAAGGAACTTGTTGATGGAAGTATTGGTGATAAGGGCGTCGTTGGAACGACTGACGATGCCGAAAATGGGTTTGTTTATGGCCTGTTGCGGTGGAATGTACTCGCTTCGTTACTCTATCACTTCGTGTGATTTTTAAGTCTTTATCTACTTCAGAATTAAAGTTGCTCTGACGTTTTCGTTGATGCTCGGTATTCTGAGAGACAAGCTCGTTGCTAGGAATTTCATTTCTTTGCACTTGTTGGTTTTGAGTGTTAATCGTTTCGCTGACTTTACAGCTTTGATAATTACTCCGCTACTTACATTGATATTCATGTAATTGGGACTCAAGTTGATTTAAGCATTTATTACTATGGAAATCTTTCTGATATTTGCTTTGTTGCTTTCGTCGATACTCAATAAGCTGTTTATCAATTTGAACTTGAGTCGTTCTTCTACTCTTGCAGCCTTGACCTGCAGGATTTTACTGAGTCCTGCACACCTACGCTTGTCTCGAGATTAGCAGGTTTTGCATTACAAATTAAGGGCACATTGTTTTGCGATGCAGTCGTTTCGTCATTTAAAGGAATTTTAGGTTTAGTAGTTGGCGTGGCGTGGCAAAACAAGCACTTCACTTCCATCTTTGTTAAGCGTGACTTTAGATTCAAATTTTCTTTTGTCAATTGCATATATCTTGCTTGTTTCTAAGTATGACTGCCTTTGTTCTGAAATTTTGCCACCATTTTAAAATTTTGAAATTTTGAATTTTTCTGTTGTCAATTTGCATATATCTTGCTTGTTTCTAAGTATGACTGCCTTTGTTCTGAAATTTTGCCACCATTTTAAAATTAAAATTTTGAAATTTTTCTGTTGTCAATTTGCATATATCTTGCTTGTTTCTAAGTATGACTGCCTTTGTTCTGAATTTTGCCACCATTTTAAACACCGTTAATTCAATTTGATTTTAAACTCATAAAATTTTAAAATTTTAAAATTTTTACATTTTAAATTTCCTTGCAATTGCATATCTTGTCTAAGTATGACTGCCTTTGTTCTCAAATTTTGCCACCATTTTAAACACCGTTAATTCAATTTGATTTTAAACTCATCAAACTTGTCCTCTGAGGATGTTACAGCGTCTCCGGCTCGACAAGGAGTTGCGCTGATAAGAGTTTCCGTTAAATCGTCCTTATTTGTTCGTGACGAAAGTTTTTGAAAGGAACTATCAATAAAGTCCTGTAACTCCTCGATTGTCGACTGGTCAAAAGCCGATACAGGCAAATTTTGCGTTTCAGATTTAGAAAGTTCGCCCCGTGTTTCACAGCTTTCACGTATAGTTTGCTCAGAAGATTCATGCTTATTTTCAATATCGGTGTTAATCTTATCTTGTACTTCAGACAAGTTAGCACTTGAGGACTGCAAGACGCTTATCAACAAATTCCTAAATGATTCTCCGTCCTTTCCATTAAAGACATTGTACTTAGCTTGCCCAAGTACCAAGTTATAATCAAATCTAGATCGCTGCTAACAAACGTTTTTTTACCTCCGGCTGATTTCCAAATGCGACCAATGACGGTGTTTTCGACAAAATTTCGCAAAGATGTCAGGTCACCTGTTCACTTTAATCGTTGACCATCAAACATCAAAGGGCTTCTTCTTTTATAATTCAATCGCATGTATATCTGTTATATCTCGTACGATCCGGCTTATTTCGAGAGATTCCATTTGAACTTCTACCGCCGCCATATTGAGATTAGACTTTGACTCTGAAGATGACTATCGTTAAGGTTGTCGAAACGTCAGTCAACAATAACAAAACAGTCCTTCTCAGGACTATACCAACCTGGACGATCTACATTTACAAACATGTAACGGTACTCCGGGTTCAAACCATTTACTTCATTACGATCATTTGGGCGACAGAGGGAACAACTTGCTAATGACTACATACGTTTTGCAAGCAACGTCAGACGCGTACGCCAACAACTCTGGTTCAACCACCGCTGCAAGGATGTAAGAACCAGATAACAAATACGGCTAACCTGACGTTTACTCCTCATTTGACTCTAAAGATGACTACCGCTAAGGTTGTCGAAACGTCAGTCAACAACAACAAAAACAGTCCTTCTCAGGACTATACCATTCTGGACGATCTACATTTACAAACATTTAACGATACTCCGGGTTCAAACAATTTATAATACATAGAATTGAAAATAAAATAAACCACGAATTACTTCATCGAAATTTATTCCCTACAGAACTGTTTCGTATGGCAGTTGTTTAACCCACACTCGTCAGCAGAATAAATATAGCACTATAGCACAACGGAACTTATACACAAAGATGAATAATTAAGTGTTTAGGTGATATAGTATTACATTAATGACGTTAGTAAGTGTTTATTACGATACGGCATGCGGAAATGAGTTTGTTTCGTTTATTGAGCGAGCTGAGTTCTGGGTGGAAGATGATGAAGAATTTCTCCGAGAGGCATAAATTACAGCGTTTGTTTTGTTTGAGTAAGGTTGTGATTTCTTTACAATTTTCAATTGATAGTGTGGGTGTGTTAGAGTCTTTTAGTTTCCATATGTGTTTGCTGAGTTCTGTGGAGTGTTGTTTTGATTTATTTCGGAATGAGCTGGTGTTCAAATAGCGTGTTTTAAAGTGTTCTCCGTTAGACCGATGTAGGTTTCTCTGTGTTTGGTTAATGTGTTGGTGACTGTGGCTTGGTAGACTACCCTTTGGTTTGGCATTCTCCTTTTAGTGGGCATTCCTCTTTCTTCCGGCAGTTGCATTTTCTGTCTGTGGTGGCGTTTTTCATCGTTTCTTCTTTGGTTAAAACGGTCTTGTTGTGTGTAGAAATTATTGTCTCGATGTTTGGCATGCAACTGTAACTTAGCTTAAGCGTGTTGAAGATTTTGGTGAGTGGATGGTTTTTTGGAAAGGACCTGTTGATTATACTAAGGAACTTGTCTCCGATGTCGGTGTGGACATTGGAGTTGTATGGTTGGTTGTACCAGGTGATGTTTCTATTTCTGTTTCTGTTTTGTGACTTTCGTGTGGCTTGTGGGTTGTATTGCAATTTGTAGTTAAAGCCGCTTTTTGTTAGTGCTTCTAGGTATGGGTGTATGCTTGAGTCGAATGATTGTTTGTTGGATGAGAGCCGCTGGTTGATGGTTTCCGGGATTCTGCGTAGGATAGATGGGGGGTGGTTGAAGTGAATGTTTATGTATTGAGGAATGTTTCCAGGTTTGTTGTATGGCTTAAAGGAGGCGGATCGTAAATCAAAGGTGATGCCAAGGAAGTTCACGGATTTCTTATTTGCTTCAATGTTTAATTTCAGATGGTTTTCATTGAATATTCGGCACAGTACTTTCTTGATTTTTCAATCGTCTTAGGAGCATTGAATGCGTCGAGACCATCGTCGCGATATAAGCCAATGTTGTTTCTGTAGTCTGTAGGAAGTTGTGCAGTAGAAATGAGCCTACGAATTGGCATGTTTTCGCTCCGTCAAAGCTACTCATTGTTACGTCGAAATTTGAGCTGCTGCCTTTCTGCGCCATGCTTCAGATCTGTTGAATATAGGAATTCTTAGCTTGTATGATTATGCTTTTCTCTTTCTCTTGATACCCGCTCTGCCGTGGCATTGAGCACTCTATCCGTGCGATTTTGTTTGCGATAGTTTCTATCACAAAATCCCATTATATAATATATATATATATATATATATAAAATTGCCAATAATGCCTCCAGGCTATCACCAAAGTAAAATGGTATCTCGCCAGGACGGGACGCTGCAGTTACACTATGGATTGTAGTAGAGTCACTGGGTATCAACCTATATAGGTGGGCATTTGGCAAAGCGAATGCGGTGGGCTCTTGAACTCGGGAGCTCAAACTGCGCAAGCGCAGCGAGCGTAATGTAAATTGTATAACAATGCCTCCCCGGCTATCACCATAGTATATATATATATATATCATGGAAGTCTTGTTTATTTGAATCTCCGTAAGTACAGTTCTCGATGCTTAAGAGCAGGCGTAAATATGGTGAGAAAATACACAATTCTGCCTGAATTTTCATCCCGATAAAGCTGTTTGTGATTTCTGCCTCTTGAATGTAATATATTGTCACAGAGCAGGTTATCTGGATATAATATGATATATGTATATCATATATATATAAATATAAGACTAAAATAAAATGGACAATTGTTTGCTGTCGCTACTCAGAGTTTCACGCCGAGGGCAAATCTTCAGGCAACTGACAGCTAGTCAAATGATGTGGTGAGAGGGTTTCTTTCTTTGTCGAGTCTTCCATCTACCGTTATAAAATGCAAAGAAAATCACTTCTTCTCTACTAAAAACAAATCATGGTCCAAACGGCATTCACCAACACGTTTGATGTGGACAGTGCTGATGGAGCGGATTTGAAGCTTGTGGGCTATTCTTGTCGACCAACTACCACGGTTGGAAACAACGTCGTATACCGGTGACGTGGCCTTGCAGTCATAAAACGAATCGGAAGACTCTGCGACAAAGAGAAAAACCCTCACCTATTGACGAGCTTGACTAAAAATCCACAGTGATGACAAACCATGAACACACAAACTTCCTTGACGTAACATTTGTTTAGCAACGACACCTACGACCATGTATAGAAGACCCAACGACAGGTTTGTCTACATTCACAGATCATCCCAACCACCCACCATCAGTGGTTACGCCAACTACCCATCCATCAACAACCAGATTAACACGTCTCATCTGGCAAGACGTATTGAAAGATGCCGCGCAATTTACAGGAAGTGAACTTCGAAAACAACTTCACCACCCAGCTCAATTTGTCATCAGGCATCAATTAAACACCACGTACGGCAGAAGGTACTAACGTCATCGGTTTAACCCACCATACAGAAAACGTAAAACGCACATCGCCCGGCTTCCTTATCGGCAAACATTTCCCACCGATACTATACTCTCCAAGATATTCAACCGACCACAATGCGTGGTAAGCACAAGCTTAACGGCGAAACAGAAAACTTTCACACCAGACACAACCAAGATATTTTAAAAGACTTAACCCAGACACAGCCGAGAACAAGAACAACCCACTGAAATGTAACTGCAGACAGAAACATCTATGCCCGACAAATGCGGTACCTGAAACAACATGATTTATAAACCGACGTGACAACGACTGACAACAACGAAACAAAACTTACATAGGTATTACTGTGCGCTTTTGGACACGATACTCAAACCACATTTAAATCCATTACAGACATTAAATGCAGGACAGACAGAACTTTCCTAAGCCACGTGGACACTGGAAAGAGAAACAAACGTAACTACAACCCATTAAATGGGATTTCATCAAACAACTTCCACCTCAGACAAAAACCAAAGAACCTACCGTCTTTGCCTTGAAGAAGGCTACTTATCCCATGAAAGGACGTAAAGAACATTTTAAATAAACGTTCCGATATATGCTTTAGTGCATGCGTCATGTAACAACACCTTTTATCGATGTATATAGTCAGCAAATAAATCCCATTATCTAGTTGCCTGAATCGCCCTCGGCGTAGAAACTCCATTGACAACCAAACAATGTATCCATTTTTTAGTTCTGCGTTTTATCTTTTACGCTCTTCTAATATATAGAGATATTGGTATCTTATCCAGAATGAATTATCCATAATATATATATATATATATATATATATATATATATATATATATAAAGATAAACTGTTCTCCGGATTTTCAAATGGATTTTTATTGGGCTTTCGACTCGTTGCTTCAGGCCTTCATGAATAGGGATATTTAATGACTACACGTACTTTTGCTTACGGGAAACGTTTAGAGCGTATCTACATTGGATTGGTGGTGGATTAATGCGTTGATTAAGGTGAAATGCCGCGTTGCCATGGGTTTTGAATGTTGTTAATATGGTTGGTGTACCAATAATGTGGAGTGTAGTGTTTTGGATTTTGCCGGTGTATTGTTTGTAGTTTTTTATCCTTTTCTTTAATTGTATGAGTATATAATGGGTAAATCAGTATATGTCTGTTTATTGTGTCGTTATCTTTGTACTGACTTCTTTAAATTCGCATGCGTGCGTGTCTTTTAGTCGCGCGTCATTTCTTCAGTTTTATCATTCGATGCATATTTATAAATGGGTTATATTCTGCCGGTAGTGAGTTCCGGATAAATCGTTTTATGGCGTTTTTTGTTTTCTGTGAGTCTTGTTTCAGTTGGAAGGCTCAAAACAGCAGGTCGAAGCTCAATAAATTCATTTAAAATCCCAGAGAACGTTTATCTTTATATATTCAATTACTTGGATTACAAATTTTCAAACTTATATATATATATATATATATATATATTATATAATGATGGATAAAAGTAAAATAAAATCAGAGAATCCTTATCATTATCATAATATGCCTGGGTTACCAATTTTCAAATATATATATATATATAAAGTGTATAACAATGTGCCCTCCTGCTATCACCATAGTAAAATGGTGACTCCTGAACTTAGGACACAGGGACGTACGGTTACACATTGTATGGATTGTATTGTAGAGTCATCAGAGCCTCAAACCTATAAAGGTGAGCTTTGCATAAAGCAGCAGGCAGAACGTCTCTTATGATTACTCCATAATCAGAGCGCAAAGAAAATTATTATCGAATTAAAGACAAAATCTTTTAAAAAATTGAAAATTAGAAAAATGGATCGTACTTCATTAAATGCCGATGGATTACTGGACAAATTGTATACTCATTTAAAAACGATGGTGATGATGATACTGAAGACGAATATGATAATGACATAACTGATTTAAATAAAAAGAAAGGCAAACGAAAAAGAATAAATGATAAAAACCTATGAAACGAATAAAAATAAATTAATAATATATATTTTTGAGAAGTTATGTGATGGAAAACCTTATATCAAAATCATGTTCCGTAATAGGACAAAATGGTTATATTTTTTGTCGTGTTGGACATATTGGTGGACATGATTTTAATTTTTAACTCCATGCAAATGAAATTGATGAAAATTAAGCCAACTGCCAAAGATTTAGAACATTCAATTTTTTTATTCTTACTCAAATGTTGAACATAAAAAAATTAGATTTTATTGAAAAATTATATGGGACATTGGGGCTTATATTTGTTGGCATTATGAAAACACTGAACATAGTTATTTAATTTCAAATTGGTGGTTTAAAATTTATATGCAACATAAAAAGTTATTATTATTTAATGAAAATTTTTGTTGTAGATATAGTTATTTTACTTTCAAAAAAAGGAATGTTATTTTATATGATCATTTTAAAATTTATTTGCATGATTTCATGTTGTAAAAGAATATATTTCATTTAGGTTTAGAATGTAATAATATATATAGATGTTTTACAATATATTATTGATTTACCAATTTATAAATCATGTAAAGAATTTTCAATACAATTAATATAATTAACTTAATTAATAAATGAAGAAGTAATTTATAGATTTCTTATAGAAAATGAAATATATATTGATTATGCATCACATGTTGTAATATAAATATTATAATATAGTGTTGGATGATTTTATATTTTAATAGTTCTAAAATGTAAAAATAGCAGAACAGGTAGTTTAATAACACGTGATCATCTAACATTCAAAATTCATGTTTAATATTTGATAAAAACTTAATTTTCATCGTTCAAATTGTAATGATATTTTTTTTAAAAATGGATTTGATAGACATAGTCTATTTTCAAATTGTAATGATAAATAATGGAATTAATTAAATACAAATTATCTATTTTTTATTTTCATTCATCATTGTCTTTAAATATACACTACTCTTTTGTTTGATTTTATTGATCCTCTTATACAATAATTTTTCTTTCCCTTTTTCTTTTGCACATTTCATTTTATTTGAGAGTTTTTAAATACGTATTTACTTCACCAGTAAAATTATTCCCTTATTGCTTTAATATTTAATTCCACCAGTTTTCATAACGACAAGACATATTTGGATTTTAAGCAATCAGGTTTGGGCCAAGATACATATCCAAGCTTGTTTCAAAATTAGGAATCACGTTATTCTTAGTAACTTAAGTTTTTGTCGAGTGCTTATCATTAAAATGCAGAAGGTATGAATTCTCAGTTTACCAGTCCAATCATTAGGCGAGAAACTAAATCGTATATATGTATATGAATAATTTTTATTTGTTCTACTGAATAATGATATAGGTGTAGGATCAGATATATGTCTCTTTCGGAATACCAAAGTAAATACATAAAACTAACTTCTTTGAGTCCTCGCGATCCACATTAATTTTATACCAGGTTAGTAGATATAGTCAAAGATATTTTAAAATTCAGCTGTCGCTCAGGTTAGCACGCGGTTACTTTATATAGACCTTATAGACTAAAATCTTTTTGATCAAAAATGAATATTGCGTGTCAAACTACTGTCAATCAAACTCGATAATCAGACATGAATTTATTTATAATAATGAAATGATTATAATTTGTGCAGTTTGTCAACAATCCAAGGTGAATAAAAAAACATTAGCACAAACCACCAGTGCAGATTTAGCTATAAGCAAAATAAATTATTTCAACGAATCGATTAGTTAATAATATCTTTAGAAATTTATAACCAATGACTTTGTCAGCTATAAAGTTGTTTTGAATTTAAAATTAGCAGTTACAATTTATTTTGCCTAAAGCAGGATTCATTATTATTTAAATATAAATATCAAAGCCCACTGGGTTTGCTGGGTTTTGATATTTATATTTAAAGTTACTTTCCGCCTGGTATATCCCTGGTCACAATTCATTTTAATTTAGCTGTTTTTTTAAAATCAAGACAGATTATTCATTAATTTATTTTTTTACTTGCATCAAATTGACTAAAAGTTCATATATTTGTGAAAATAAAACTAAATTAATTTCTTTGGCAAACGTTTGATTTGTTGCAAGAACTTCCACGTGAAAAATTTCAAATTTTTGATTTATTGTGAAGAAAGGTCATATATATCGAGGAATCCGCTCCTCAGCTGGTTCACTAACACTCTTCGTTTTGAAACTTTTATTTTACAATCCACAAGTAAAATAAATCACTGGAGTATTTCTACGCCATCTGTTAGTGTTAATTATTTACATGCATTTGTTGCTGCCGAGCGTCAGTGAGGCAGCACATATTTTGACAGTAATTCACTCGACCCAGTCTTTTACACGACCTTTATATTGTTAAAGTCTCGATTTTAACAGACACACGAAATCTTGATCTCGTGTGCCTGTTAAAATTTCCAGACGCCACAAACTAGAAGATTATTTTAATGTGGGGGAGTGGATAATAAAAATGTTAAGTTGCGCAAGCATGTTTTTTATGTTAATAAACATTTGTAACGAACAGAAAGAAAATTTTTGAAGAATATCAGCACTAGCTGTTGTATGTTTTTTTAACGACTGCTGATTTGCTTCAAGATGATTAACTGAGTTCGAAAAGCAATATACTTTCATGTTATTATCGGCTGTTTTAATGGCACGAATAACTCATTGACTGCATCACACATGATAGACAAAAGTACATTTTAAAATAATAGCAATAATATGGCTTTTCAACGGTTGATGATTTGCATCAAGGCGATTCACTCGGTTAGAAATGCACTGTGCTTTCATGTTATTATAAGAACTTTTAATGACACGAATATTTTATTGACCGCACGGTGGACAAGAGTACATTTAATGTGTTATTACAAGTAGACAATAAATTATGAAGAATGTTTTTATGCATTGCGGTGTTTGAAATTAAATGAACAATTGATCTTCGCACTTTGCTGGACAATTTAAGCAATTGTCTCATGGACCTGGTCAGAGCACAGCACCGGCACCGCAGAGGTCATGGGTTCGAATCCCGTTGAGTCACCTGAATTTTTCAGGTTCATGAGGCAATTGCTTAAATTGTCCAGCAAAGTTGAAGATCATATCTTCATGTAATTTTAGACAATAAATTACTAAAAGCTCTCAATAGTGACTTTACAGGCAAGAAATGTTTCATGTAGTATACCCATTTGAGCATCTCAAATGATTTTCGTCAAAATATGTACGTATGTGTAATGTGATGGCCAAGAAAGGGATTCTAATCCGTTAATTTTACCAGGACAACTTAACTAATGAACTAACAGCGAAGTTTTGCTTTTACATGATAAACTCATTTGATCATCACTCTGTTGACTCTTCATTTACAGAATAAAATTTCGTTCGATTTATCCGTGAAGGACGATTTACTCTTCACAAAGCGTTTGGACGACAAATGACGATATAGTATTTATCTAATAAAAACGGTTTTCATTCAAAATAGCAATGAATTTTATGTTAAATGTGCGAGGACGTCTCTATAATCGTCGCAAGTAAAGCACCGGAAGCGGACATTTTTATATATGCTCGCTCGAGCTTGCCGTCGGCTTTCAGAGCGCGTGACACTTATATAGCAGTACATTTTCATATTTTAAGGAACAACATTACAGTTTGCGAAAGACATGGACCAACAGGTCCCATTCTCCTTTGGTAATGTATAGTCAGTCCTATACAACAAATCAATTCCATGCTCATGATCACTGTATGTATAATGTATGTAAATAGATGCCAATGTACCATATATAATGACCGTTACATGGAATGTACCCATCAAGTTTGCATGTGTATAAAAGTGATTCCTTGCTGAAAACAGCTGAGTAACATGAATCCAGATAAAATCAAATAATATAGTTACACACAAACACTGGGAGACTAAGAGATACATATATGACACCATATAATTGTTGCTGTTAATGGTGTGTTAATCTTGTGCTGGTTGGCAACAAATTGAACAAAATACAGAAAATATCCTTTAAGCTCCAGTTAGCATGATTTAATTGGTTATTGGCTGAGTTCTAACTTTCATGTCAATCATATACATGTAAAGATCAATAATTTAAATGAAACAATTGCTTCACTACAGCTTGCCTTTAGCATGCAAATTTTGTGAAATAAACTTTGGAAAAGTGTTCGTCCAATTATTCCTAATTTAATATTTGCATATTATAGATACATACAGTGTTATTTCTTGCTGTTACTTTTATAAATTGACTTAGTTATATGAGAATTTGAAAATAAAATTGATACAATTACTTTGTCTGAATTAAGTGACAAAATATACTAGATATTGCAGTTTGTTACTCATCATATCAATAGTATGTTTTAAAAATTACTGTGCTTTTGTCCATTTGGTAATGTGTCGCTTATAACAGATGATAAATGATTGCAAATAGCACTTTCTGACTAAACGGTGCGAGAGGCACCAATTACCTAGCGATAGTAGCTCCTAGTACTAACGGCAATTCCAACAAAGCATAAGTCAGGCTTTCCTTTTATGTCATTAGCAGTACTCACTCGTTCATTGCGTTTCAAGTTCTCACGTGTTGCAACAAAAAAGAACTACAAAACATACTTAAAACAAAGAAATGTTAAACGGAAACTAACTTAGCCACGACAGTTTTATTGCTATGCTCAAAAGAATGCAATATCTCACAATATAGTCATTTTATGACCGTACAATTAGCAAGTTTGTCGCTTTTTCTCGCAAAAAAAAAACACAAACATCACCAACTGCAATATCTGCTTCTCTTTCAATAACTCTATTTCTTTCATTAATTTTAGCCATCTTAAATTTGCGTCATGATAACATTATGATACGCTTATAGCAACAAAACTACTGCTAGAATCAAAAATATATTAACAGCGTAAGTCATGTAACGAATTTGGAAACATTTTTTGATATTCATATATTTCAATTAAGCAAACAAATGCTGCTTCGACGTCATGTTAAATCACACCCTATAAAAACTTGCTACCTTAATACAAAATTCAAGTCTTAAAATTTATACTGTTCCATTGTAATGATGAATGATTTATTTATTGTTCCAAAACTTTTACAGCGCGGAACATAAAACCAGGATCGGCTCCAAGGACCAAATCATCTGCAGGACTAGTTCCTTTGACATTCCAAGGTTGTAATGACAACTTACCCTTGCCATTACTGTATAAGAGCAGATCAGGTCCACCTTCTTTTTGATCTTTATACTTTTGTAGCACAAAGAAACCATCATTTGGCGTCCTTAATTCTTTCGGAGATAGATAAAACGAGCTTGAGCTCTAAAAATTAAATGCAGTGTCAATTCTTTTTACCGTTTTTATCGATTTTTTTAAGTCATAGCTATAATTTTTCTTCCTTTTACAACTACACCTTTGAAAGTCCGGAGACTTTTCTAAATTGACTTTATTTGGGTTTTTTTTGTTCTGAAACATTTGTCACACAGTGCATTAAATAGCAAACTCAAAACAACTTCCAACCTTTTTCGATCAGTATGTTTTAGATATGTTTTCGATTTAAGACACGTTGGGACAAAACATTTAAAGCGAAATTCTATAATTTTTTGAGTTAAGATGTGTGCATCACAATCAGAGAGTAACTAGAACGTTAGTTGGGGTGCATTTTTATATTCCGTTGTGCCTACTGATTTCTTTTGAAAGTGATTTGAATTTCAAAAGAAATCAGTAGGGACAACTGAATATATGAATAAACACCCCCACCAATTAAAGTTCTAGTTACACCTCTGATCACAATGCGGCTATAATTATGTTTTTTTATTATGTCAATTTAATGTAGCAAAACAAACCAAGAGTTAACAAAAATTTAATCTTATGAATGCATATAGAAAGGGATGACCCAAAGGGGCAGAGGGTTAGAAGCGGTAGACCTCAAAACTTCATACGATATTGAGAAGTAAAACGTGTCTTTTTACCGATTGTTCCTTCTTCGCGTTTCTCCGCATTTACTTTTTTCGTTAACAAATAAATATTTTATAGTTAACTGCATGTACTGGTTGAAATTTAAAGATTCCTCTTTAATCATGAGCAAAACAACCAAACGTAGTAAATACCTTTGCATTAGAAACTACAAGATATAATTATTAAAGTCATAATTTATGTTTTCCATCCCAGTTTGTCTAAACTGTCAGTACGAGTAAATGCTTCTAGTGGACTTAATATAAAACATATAATAAACAAAAATTTTTTTGCAAACCAACAACGCAAGCATTCCATAATTTTGTTCAATTTCAGCGTTCTAAAATATTTCAATTTGATGTAGAACCTCGTACAAAACTCAGGCTCGTCCAGTTGCATCCTAGAACAAATGCTGCTTTAACTTCCTAAATGATCTCGTTTATTCTTCTGACTATCCCAAAATTTTAAGACAAATTTATACAATATAAATATTTAAATGTGATAGTCACTTCTTACGATATTGATATAATCTAAACAAAAAGTGTTTTCATTACCACAGTAAGTCTATTTTCCTCTTTCACATTTAACATTTGGGTCATTCAAAAAAAGAGATACCTTTCAAAGCTGCATAACTGTGACGAGATAATTTTGTCTTAAGAACAGACTTTCAGTAATTTAAAAAAATCTCATTTCATTCATATGCGAAATAGAGACTTAACATTTCAAAGGTTTTTTTCAGTAAGACTTGAAATTTCTTTATATAATTCTATTTAGGCCTTCAAACTACCCATTCCTTTGCATGAACTTTGCCAAGTATTTTGTTCAAAACTTACAGGAACGTACTGTTGCTCTCCTTGCAACGAGCCCTCCACACATATAAGATTCCAATGCAAAACACAAACCATGCTATAAGTTCTTCTTACCATATAATATCAAATACATGTTTACGGAAGTGTTATAATAATATTATATTCTAAGTATGTATAATATGCTCTCAGTTCGTATAGCTTAAGCAATCTCGGAAATGTTTAAAGAGCGTCTTAATAAGACGTATTCTTCCAGTTAGTAACCCACCCAATGCTCACAAGTAAAACTTAAGCACTCGGGAGAAGTGTATAGTTATACAAATTGTATTATTTATATTAAATAAATATGATTTATATTTAGCTCTGCTAACATGCATTGAGTAATCTACAACTGTATCAAAATCTAAGCTTCATTAATTATATTTTTACGCATAACGGATTATGAAGTCTGTCCATGACTCCATGCACAAATTAATAATCACTGCGTTGTACAATATACAGTTAGCATTTTATTTCAAACAGCTTAATTATGCAGGACTTTCTTCACAGAACTGCAATTTTAAATTCTCATTCCTATTTTGCAGTTTCTAACCAAAATTTTTGCAATATTTGAAGTATTTATAAAAGCAAAATTGAATATTATACCTTTTCACTGCAAAATTTTGCCACTCTTCATCTAAACAGTACGTCTCTTCATTTTTTGCAAACAGCAGGTTGTAAAAATCTGCCTCGTGTATATCCGAGCTTTTGCAAACTTTATCCGTGCTTCAGCTAAGAAAAAGATTGTACATTAAATTGCTACAGCACGAATCCAGAGTATCAGCTTAATGATATGAGATAGTAAATTGCATGTATCACATAGCAATAAATTATTGCACGTTAATGATAACAGCCCAAGTTATGAAATTTAAACATCTGAAGTTAAGCTGATGAGAATCTTTTCTTCGCATTCATAAATGCTGTCCGAAGAAAATCGTTATTGCAACATAGCATTATTGAAGCTTAACGAACAAATTCGAACCACATGCAAGCTGCATGCACCATATACTTTAACATATCGTTTTAGAAACTTTGTCAAACCTCGTTACTATTTGACTTTTCTTAACCGGCTTTTACTGTCGTCACTAACTGTACAAACTGTAATTTGTAGATATGATGTCATAACTACAGATATCGAGAATGATTTGCAGTTAGTTGACCAATCACAACCGACATTGTTTACATAGTAAGTATAATAATACTAATTGGCTTGTATTTATCGTGTGCATTTCGTAAGCAAATAAACACATATAAATTTATCGTGCAAATATTTTTCATACTGTTTGCAATTTAATAATTACTTTTCCCAAGGCTCCAAAGATGTATATGCTTTATTAGCAGCATTCTCTGGTTGGGAAAAATCATTGCATACCTCTTATTACGAGATCATTAATAAGTTAGTAAATTCTAAACTTTTTCATGTTAAAAAAATTTTGGTGTCATTTCTTCATAGGAAATTTGAATTTCTCTGATGATTCAAAAATATAATAAAAATTTACCACAAACTTTACAATAAAGTAAATCGCTTGAACCCGCAGTACCGTCAATAACAAAAAAAACAACAAAACGACTTAAAATTAGCACAAAATTCATCAATCTCAAAAGTCCACTTTTGAGATTTATACAATTGAACATGACCTAATTTTTTAGCACTTGAAAATTTGGTGCTCTTAAAATTACTATTTGTTACACACCATGCCTATTTTATAATATGTCAGGTATTCTTTTGAATGATAAATATCAATCAACGGTGCATGTTTTTTGTTTGTACAAATTTGCATTGGTAATAACATGAAAAGTGTCTACTAGATTGATTTATGTGAAATTAATGTAAATGCCGTGACAATACCAAGTAAAGATTATACCTTCAGATTCTCCATTCGCTTTTACTTTACCTATGGAAACTGCAATGCAAAAATGTCAATCTGGCTGAAACATGTCAGGTTCAAAACTAGAACGTTAAGGGAGGGAGAGGTGGGAGTACCGAATACTCATATATTCCAATAAAATAATTTCAATTTAATTTCATATATGAAACAGAATTTCATATATAAAATAGACAGGGGTTGTTCCAAGTGGGTGTATCAACTTTCTAATGTAAGCCGTTGTCTATAGTCTGTCAGTGCTGTAAGTAATGCATTTTGCCGAGTACCAGTTAATGTTGTGCGTTGTCAGTTGATGATGTTCGGCAATGTGATTAGTTTTGTCTTGTTTCTTTGTACCTCGTTTGTGTTCAGTAAGTCTTATGTTTAAGTTCCTCCAGTTTCCCGATATAGGAGTGGGCAGTGGAGCAGTTTATTTTGTAAACTGCACCTTGTCGTTCGTCGAGTTGTTCTTTGTCCTTAATGTTCGTAAGTACTTGTCGTAGCGTTGTGATTGGTTTATGTGTGACAGGTATGTTGTATGGTCGTTAAATACGCGAGATAGTCTCAGACGTACCTCTGATATAAGTTACCGTTGCTGGTGTTATTGTGTTGTTGGTTCTTTCTATTGTTTTGTAAAGTGTTGCGTTTGATAAAGTCAGAGTTATAGTTGTTTTATATTTTGCATATACATAATCAAGCACACATGCTGTTTTCAAATTTGATAAAATTAACCAATGGTGGTTGTCAAGAGCTCCAGCCTCGCATTCAACATTTTAGTCTTATTTAGCCATCTTTTTTAACACTCGTGAATGAAAGCTCAGCGGTGGCACTTTTCACTCATAATTTCTTTGAAGGACAATAAAGGTTTAGAACTACTGAAGTGCAAGAATAACGATTCACTCAGTAAGTTCAAGAGGAAGTTCAGTGGTTTGTTAAAATATTAGCCAAAACGACAACTTAGTAAGTTTTCGTCAAGATTTTAAAGAGAAACAAACTGCTAGCTGTAGAAACTGCCAGGATGGCAGTTATTCATACACGAATGTCCTCTAACTGGTAACCAAAATCGAGGGGATAACGGATTTGATAAAATAATGATAAAAATATTTTCATACCATTCTTTTCCACGGATAAAATAAGGCAACTTCCTTTATTACTGTTGTAGGACCACAATCGGTGTTTACCTTCTCCAAAATTATTAAACTAGGATCACATAGCTGAAAAACTGGAAATTGTGTAAACTGTGCATTAGGTTCTTCCATAAATTACATTTTTCGTTTTATACATTTGTCAATTCCATTCGAACCATACATTTAAATATTTTGTTATTGACGCCTTAAATCCACACAATATCATATTTTCGTCACACGAGCACTGTCACAATAGCGGATATACGGCTGCTTAAATATTGTGGAATATTGTAGCCAGTAAGGAATGTTGTTGACAGTAAGGAAAGGTAAGATTAGATTCCTTATGTTTTTAAAGAACCAAATTCAACCTTAAGATAATCATTCTATGAATCAATTTTGATGAACTTAAACTGATGATGTAAAACATTCGTACATAAAATTGCGGAAAGATTCAATCGCAGTGAAATTTTGTATGTTTTCATAGAAACAAAGACGAGCCAAGATTATAATGACAGACTCTTTTAATATTCTAGGACTGTTTGCATTTGTTTGTTACACTTTTTTCATTGCTTTGCTATTACAAATATCATTTTATATGAATTATATTTGGAAAGACAATGATCCAGCAAACAAACAACTCAACGACAACAGCAGCAATACCTTATATCAAAGGTACGTCTGAGACTATGTCTTACAACCATACAAAATACGTGTCCCTCATAACCAAATTACAACGTTACGACAAGAACTAACAAACGTCAAGGACAAAGAACAACAAACGAATCTTTTTCAACTTCCAAGACGACAGGACATCGATGAAAGACAATGTGTATAATAGGTTTGGTAGAGGCGTCAAAACGTCTGTATTATCACTTTTATCGGACGCCGACAAAAACATTTCGTATTTTTTCTTTTATAATATTGTAAACAAAAATCTCGTCAGTTTATGGAACGTATATTCAGAGGCGTAGCTGGGGCGCCGTGGCATATAACTCAACGACAATAAAGCAATACCTTATATCAAAGGTACGGCTGAGACTATCTCGCGTGTCTCTCATAAACAAACTACAACGTTACGACAAGCACTAACAAACGTCAAGGACAAAGAACAACCAAACGAACGATAATAAACATTTGACAAGGTGCAGTTTACAAGAAAAACTGCTTCGACTGCCACACCTCCTATATCGGGGAGGCAGACAGGAACTTGATCATAAGACTTACTGAGGACGAACAAGTAACAAAGAAACAAGACAAAACCAATAACATTGCGGAACATCACCGACTGACAAAACACAACATTGGCAGTGAGTCGGCAAATTGCATTACTACAGCACTGACTACAGACAACGGCTTACATTAAAAAGTTGGATCACAACAATTTTCGGCACCTTACAAACGACTTATTCCCAACCTCAAAAAAAGGAAACTATTGGCATTTGGACTATAGCTAACCACAATAACAATACGCAATTGACACCCACACTCACTCATTTCCTACACATACAATACGATGAAGTATAAACCAGACCAAAAATACGGCAAACCAGACTCTGAAAATGACCACTGCTAAGGGCTAAGGTTGTCAAAACACCAACAGTCCTTCTCAGGACTCTACTAACCAGGGCCATCTACATCTACGCACTTGAAATTTTAGATAGCAATAACTCATGATCAATGGAATATGACTTTTTTCAAATGACATTCGTATTTTGTGGATATCGGTTGATAACATTTGAAACAGGACTAAAGTTATCAAAATTAACAAACAAATTTCAGTTTTCTCATTCCTGATTTTCCCATCCCTGCATCCATTTCCCCATTCCTTTTTAGATAGCCGAAAGAATTTTTGTCAATTTTGATGCTCCGTTGAGCATCGAAACTTCATATCACCACCTCAAAGGCCGTTTGACTTCACATGCAAACACTTTATACTTGCCGAATGTCATCACAATATTTTCAGCATGTCTTCAAAATGCAATAGTAATTATACTATAATAACAAAAGCATGTACATGTTGAATGTACAAATAACTTGGATAAAACAATGATCATCGTTCAACAATTCATTATAAAAATATGACTTCAATTTATCGAAAATTTATTTATATCAAATATGAATATCAAATTAGCTTTGAACATCAAATTATATGAATATCAAATTAGCTTTGAACTGAATGCATGGTTGAGCCAAAGAGTATTGTTAGGTGCTCGTACATGTAGATCGTCCACGTTAATAAAGTATTGAAAGACGGTTAATTGGTGTTAGGGCCGTCTGACACAGCAGAGGTCTCGTTCTGAAGATGAGACAGTTCTCGACAATTGACGGCTGACCCTTTCTCTTGTCGATACGTTTTGTGTTCAATCTCAAAGCATGTACACAATACTTGTCATTATTTCGATTGACCAAAGTTTGTTGATAAACTATTTTGAAATTTCGTAAAACACCCTTTGTAAAATAACCTCTTAATCTGTTACGTAGACAGCCAGTAAATTTCATAGAATCGCTGTGTAAAATCTTTCAGATCATTTTGCGCAAATTAGTTACTACCTAGTTCAAGCAAAAATTGGATCATTCAAATCACGCTTACGTACCTCTAAAAACAAAATGTACCAAAAATTTCCGTGCTACAATCAGTGATTCCACTGGAAATCGTACTTGCCAGTCTTGCTTACGAATTACAAATAATCACCTAACATACATTCATGTCATTAAAACACAAATCTTTACGTTCAACTTCCGTAGGATAACAGGACATCGATGAAGACAATGTGGCTGTATAATGGGGCTTGGTAGAGGCGTCAAAACGTCTGTATTATCACTTTTATCGGACGCCGACAAGAATATTTCGTATTGTTTCTTTATAATATTATACAACAAAAATCTCGTCAGTTTATGGAACGTATATTCAGAGGCTTAGCTAGGGGTTACAAATAACTCAACGACAATAAAGCAATACTTTATATCAAAGGTACGTCTGAGACTATCTCGCGTCTCTCTCATAAACAAATTACAACGTTACGACAAGCACTAACAAACGTCAAGGACAAAGAACAACCAAACGAACGATAATAAACATTTGACAAGATGCAGTTTACAAGATAAACTGCTCCGACTGCCACACCTCCTATATCGGGGAGACAGGCAGGAACTTGATTATAAGACTTACTGAACACAAACAAGTAACAAAGAAACAAGACAAAACCAATAACATTGCCGAACATCACTTACTGACAAACAGTGTTGCCAGATGGGCGTTTTCCCCAATTGGGCTGGTTTATAAGCCTGTTTGCGGGAAATTTTGGGAGGTTGCGGGTTTGCAGAGTTTTGGGCTGGGATAACTTTCCGCGATTTTTTGGGCTGGAAAAATTTTGATGATCTAAGCTTCCACGTGTTTTTGTTTTGTAGTGGTAAACAGCAACTGCGCTAATATTGTAGTGACGTACATAACGTGCGTATATTATTCATCTCGATTTATGTATTAGCAATGAGAAATAGCCAACCTACACTTACTCAAACGCGCTACTTAAACTTACGCACTTTACTTTATAATTACGTAAACTACTCAAATTTCAAATTACATTATCCGCCTTGTAATAACTGCACCTTACGATATACGATATACGATATCAATGTGTAGTTTGGTTTAAATTAAATATTTTCAACAGACTAGGTGTAGTTTTTACTTGTTTTGATGCAAATTTGGGCTATTTCTTGCAAAATATAATTGGGCTATTTTTGGGCTACTTTTAAAGGTAGCTCGGGCGGGTTTGCAGGCTACCTATCTCGCAACACTGCTGACAAAACACATTGACGGTGACTCGGCAAAATGCATTACTACAGCACTGACTACAGATAACAGCTTACATTAAAAAGTTGGATCACAACAATTACCGGCACCTTACAAACGACTTATTCCCAATCTCAAAAAAACTATTCGCATTATTTAGCTAACCACAATAACAATACGCAATTGACACACACTCACTCATTTCCTATACATACTATACGATGAAGTATAAACCAGACCAAAAATACGGCAAACCAGACTCTGAAAATGACCACTGCTAAGGGCTAAGGTTGTCAAAACACCAACAGTCCTTCTCGGCACTCTACTAACCAGGGCCATCTACATCTACGCACTTGAAATTTTAGATAGCAATAACTCATGATCAATGGAATATGACTTTTTTCAAATGACATTCGTATTTTTGTGGATATCGGTTGATAACATTTGAAACAGGACGAAAGTTATCAAAATTAACAAACAAATTTCAGTTTTCTCATTCCTGATTTTCCCATCCCTGCATCCATTTCCCCATTCCTTTTTTACAGATAGCCGAAAGAATTTTTGTCAATTTTGATGCTCCGTTGAGCATCGAAACTTTGCATATCACCACCTCAAAAGGCCGTTTGACTTCACATGCAAACACTTTATACTTGCCGAATGTCATCACAATATTTTCAGCATGTCTTCAAAATGCAATAGTAATTATACTATAATAACAAAAGCATGTACATGTTGAATGTACAAATAACTTGGATAAAACAATGATCATCGTTCAACTTAATTCATTATAAAAATATGAACTTCAATTTATCGAAAATTTATTTATATCAAATATGAATATCAAATTAGCTTTGAACATCAAATTATATGAATATCAAATTAGCTTTGAACTGAATGCATGGTTGAGCCAAAGAGTATTGTTAGGTGCTCGTACATGTAGATCGTCCACGTTAATAAAGTATTGAAAGACGGTTAATTGGTGTTAGGGCCGTCTGACACAGCAGAGGTCTCGTTCTGAAGATGAGACAGTTCTCGACAATTGACGGCTGACCCTTTCTCTTGTCGATACGTTTTGTGTTCAATCTCAAATGTACACAATACTTGTCATTATTTCGATTGACCAAAGTTTGTTGATAAACTATTTTGAAATTTCGTAAAACACCCTTCGTAAAATAACCTCTTAATCTGTTACGTAGACAGCCAGCAAATTTCATAGAATCGCTGTGTAAAATCTTTAAGATCATTTTGCGCAAATTATTTACTACCTACTTCAAGCAAAAATTGGACAATTCAAATCACGCTTACGTACCTCTAAAACAAAACGTACCAAAAGTTCCGTGTTACAATCAGTGATTCCACTGGAAATCGTACTTGCCAGTCTTGCTTACGAATTACAAATAATCACTTAACATACATTCATGTCATTAAAACACAAATCTTCGCTCAACTTCCGTAGGATGACAGGACATCGATGAAAGACAATGTGGCTGTATAATGGGGCTTGGTAGAAGCGTCAAAACGGATCGTGACTAAAACACCACACGAGTACATACGAGTACATACGAGTACACGAGTAACATACGAGTACATACGAGTACATACGAGTAACATACAAGTACATACGAGTAACATACGAGTACATACAGTGACATACGACTATTTTCTGGTCAACAAATGAGAAACAACACAATTTCTTCAATACATTGATATTTGCGTTTATTTTTCCTTGTATTTGTGTGGACTTTGGGGCAACCATTTGATTGATTTAAATGCTGAAAAGTATTTTACTTTCATACTACATTCATTTGTATGTTTTAGTTGAATTTGTTATAGATATTTTGTCGATGCGATTTGCCAGTATTTGAGCGCTTTTTGACACTTTCACCTAGAAATACATATTTATGAAAGCGATTATACATTCATTTTGACTCTGAAAATGACTACCGCTAAGGTTGTCGAAACGTCAGTCAACAACAACAAAACAGTCCTTCTCAGGACTATACCAACCTGGACGATCTACATTTACAAACATGTAACGATACCGGGTTCAAACCATTTACTTTATAGATAAGGATCCAAAATGCACGAATTTCACCGAATGGCTAAGTATAGTTAACTGTTTTGCCATTTAAATACTCACTCGATCTGTTTTGCAATTTTACTTCCTACACTTTTTAAAATAAAATCAACGATGAAAATCAACTTTGTTTTCTAAAAAATATTACCATATTTAAACTTAATTAAAACTATAGCTATAAACAATAAATCTTACGCTATTTCTTGAATATCAACATTTACGTAAAACGTTTACATATATAATGTACATTTATTTCATATAGCACGTTTTGGCATTATTTATACGTTGTTTATTTAATCGCTTTCATAAATATGTATTTCCTAGTTGAAAGTGTGTCAAAAAGCGCTCAAATACTGGCAAATTGCATCGACAAAATATCTGTAACAAATTCAACTAAAACATACAAATGAATGTAGTATGAAAGTAAAATACCTTTTCAGCATTTAAATCCATCAAATGGTTGCCCCAAAGTCCACACAAATACAAGGAAAAATAAACGCAAATATCAATCTATCGAAGAAATTGTGTTGTTTCTCATTTGTTGACCAGAAAATAGTCGTATGTCACTCGTATCTACTCGTATGTTACTCGTATGTACTCGTATGTACTCGTATGTACTCGTATGTACTCGTATGTACTCGTATGTACTCGTGTGGTGTTTTAGTCACGATCGTCAAAACGTCTGGGGCCGGTTGTATAAAGCTCTTAACTACTTTTTAACTACACTTTTGCAGTTAAAAGTAGTTAAATTAACCACGCAGTTAAGTCGGTTGTATAAAAAGTAGTTAGCGCTAAATGCAGTTAAAGGTAGTTAAAGTTAACTATGCTATGGAGCATAGTTAACTTTCAAACTGAGTTAAATATGGCGGCTTACCTTCTCAAAGACAATTATGGGTAGATGTTGTTGATCAACAACGTTTTACCTTGAGTTTTAATCACATATGTATCTTCCATGGCAAAGGCTTTTAGAATAAGAGCTTTATGGACAATGTACTACATTCGTCAGTGCTGTAAAACATCCCAAGTTTTTTGTTGACGAAAAACAGCCAACAATTTATCCACGTAACAAATCCTTTTTTACACAAGAGCAATTGCATTTTGTATTATCTTTCTTGCGTCCGGTAGCTCTTTGCAACTCATAAGCGAGACTCTCAATTGAGATAGAGCCACTTCTTTAAGATTAGTGCACATAACTCGCTGACATTGTCTTACAAATACGTACAATTCGTTCAATGACAAGAAAAACAAAGAATGTTATTCGAGCAATGAATCCTATAGCCTTGGATGTATCAAATATTCAAATCGCGGGTTTTTCCCTATGCATTTTGCTTGATTGAATATCATATGCATCATATAAACTCTTTGCTCTATGGAAAATAAGCTAGATTATGTTAAAACAAATAGGTACTACAGTATAAATGTTGTGCTAAATATACCAATGATAATACATATGACCTTTACAACAGTTTTAATTCATGACTACTCTTTGTGTATCAGCTGCATGAGATACAATGATTTTAGTTCCTTAAATACATAAAACATTTCATCAGCATGCATGGTGAAGGTCCATGTTGCTTGATATATGCACATTATCCATTGCATATTGTTTATTACACAAGAGAAAAATATACATGACAGTCAATTAGTGTGTTTTATTGATATTTCATCAAGTATTTCCTATGTAAAATTTTTATTTTCAATGTACATACAATCTTGCCTGCCAATAAAGATCTAGCTACTGTTTGATGACTTAAAAAGTAGAAAAAAATGAATAAAACTCCCAAGTTTTAGAGAAAGATAGGCTAATAAATCACAAAG